ACTAATGAAGCTGTGACGTAAAAGGTGGAGTGGGGGGTTCCATCTGGTGAATGAAATTGATATGTAGTCCTTAATTGACAAGCAGAAAACAGAGCCATCGTAGGTTTCATATGTGATAATTAGGTATGTATTTCACCAATTTGTTAGTTTGTTTGCATTATTTTTATTTATTTATTGTATATATTATAACTTCTTCATATTTTGTTTGTTTTTAAAAATTATTATGTTGATATTGATTAGAGGATTTTCGGCCTGAAGCCTCTTCCCCCCCCCCCCCAAAAAATGGTAAAATGTAACTTTGTTTTACTGAAAAAAAAAAAAATATTAAAAACTATCTCTTACAGTATTCTTGTTCGTATAATTACATTTAATAGGATTTCATATTGATAGTTAATTTCTTTCTTTTTTTTTTAAAATTAATTATCATTATATGTATATGAAAAAAAAAACATTCGGGCTGAAGCCCCCCTAAAATTAAATCCGGGATCCGCTAGTTTCTTCTTGTGTACAAACATTACAGATAATGTCATATAGAGATGGGCAAATGCTATTCTGGGTACTGAGTAACAAGTATTTTACTCAAGTCCTGAACTTTTTTGAGTACCAATAAATTTACTTACTACTTCAATTGATGTCAAACGATTAACTGATGTAGTGATTGAATTCTCAACAGTGATTAAATTTGAGTAAAATACTTGATGCTCGGTAATCAGAATAGCATTTGCCCATCTCTGGCGTCATATTAAATTATAAATGTTAATAATAATGAAAAAAAAATCGTTGAATATTGATAATTATTGAATTATTCCTTACCCTTATGAAGACTTATAATCCTCAATCGGTTGCTCAGAAAATTAAAATAAATAAAAAACATGAAGACACCATACCTAAGAAAAACAAAGTGAATTACAATCGATTTTAGGTAAATGTTAGAGTTTTATTTTTTTGAAGTTGAACTGTATCAGTTTTGTTTTCTGTTTGTCTCGTCGCTGAGATAAAAGAAAAAAAAATTATTTTTGCGAGTCGTTATAACTGTTATGACCTTTTTGTTGAAATCATCTCTCAGGGTCATTTACAGTGCTACCATTTCGGGTATTATTTTCTGATTTAAAAAAATAGTTAGTCTATCGGGCAGGAAAGTAATCGGCGATGCTTGTGGGATTTTAGCCTCCCTGAAATGAGTTTTTTATTTGTAATTTACTTTATAAAATATCCAGGAATCTCTTTATACGAAGAAGCACTAACGGATCCAGGATTTAATTTTGGGGAGAGGGCTTCAGCCCGAAACATTTTTTTTTTCATTAAAATAACGATACTTATTTTGGAAAAACAGAAAGAAACTAACTATCTATATGAAATGGTGTTTAAGTGATTCCTTAAGTCCTTTTAAATTTAATTACATGAACAATAATACTTTAAGAGATAATTTTGTAATATATTTTTCCATAAAACATGGTTATATTTTACCATTTTGGGGGGGGGGCTTCAGCCCGAAAGTCCCTCCCTCCCCTCCCCCCGTAGATCCGCCCGTGCTCGAATTGATTCCTCAAAATTGACTCGAGAAGAAACATTATAAATATTGAAACTTTAAGTCTTCTCATAAGTTAAATCCGTCCAGTGCGACATAAAGATTTATTAAGGAATTAATCTTTTCATAAATATATTAATTTTTCTTTGTGGTTATACAATTATGATCAGTTTTATTAAATATAATTGTTTTGATTTCCTCGAAATAATAGTCTATTTTCATGAACACTATCTTATATACCCATGAAATACTATCTTTTTAAAAACAATTTGCTTGCTTTTGGATATATTTTAACTTATCTATTTTTTTAAAGTTTGAGGTTTTTTATTAAATTATCGGAGGCGCCTTTTATGAAAATACAATCGATTTTAGTACCACTCATGCATATATCGATTTAAATTAGCATATATTATTTCTTCGATATTTTGATTCATAATTGCGCTATTGGAGGTTTAGTTTATGAAAATACCATAAGTTTAAAATTTGCGCGTAAACATGCGAAAAATCACTACCGATGACGTAATAAAGGGTCATCAAAGAACTCTAAAAATTTCAAATCAATTCGCGTTAGCAAAATCTTGTAATCGATAGTACTTTCATGATAAAAACTTGTCCACTGATTTTTCGCTGAAATTAGAAACGGTCAGATGTATTTTCGATGCCTATCAATGGTCTCAGTGCTGAGTTAAAGAACTTGCCCTTTTTATGGCGCCATTTTTAACTTAAATTTGAATAACACAAGACTAACAAATTATAAAAAAAAATTGATTAAATTGAAAAATATTAAGTTATACTAAAATCGGTGAATCAATACTTCATTGAGCATATCATATAGATTCGATGGGTCTTCTAGACAGTATTTGTTTAAATAAGAAATATATGTTTTGAAATGTTTCATCATTCAACAAGTAGTTGAATCAGCTCGTACTCAATCCCGAACAACTTATTTCCTTCCAATAATGCCGCAATAATTACCCTTGACATTGAAAAGACAAATGGTGTTTTTTTGAAGATTAAAACCACTTAAGATAACCGTAGATTTTACGCGATTAGGCAATCTTATATCACAAGATGTATATATTATCCCCACTTCGTGTGGGGGTTCCGATATCAGTGGAACTGTCAGTCTGAAATTATCGAAGGTTACGCGAAGCGAATTTCGCCACAACGTTTGTTTTGGTTGACGCCGGGCTTTTATCTGTTATCTTCAGTGTTACCGGTTTTTTAAAATTGTGAATCATAGTTTACTTAGCTTATCATTTAGGATTATCTTCAGGTTTGTCTTATCTCTAATCAAACTATTAACTGAAACTTGACTTTATTTCGCAGTTTTGATGAAATTTCTCTTGTGTCACCGTGAATCAGTTATACTCTTTTACAGAAAATGAATTGGCATGGAGTCATCTACTTTTTAACATCTAAATTTGACTTAGTTTCTTTGGATTTCTCTTAAAATCCTTTCAGTTCAATTTTGAGCACTAGAATTTATTAAACATCTCTTGCCTTCTTTAGTTTTATGTGTAACAAAATTTAAACACAATATATAATAAAATACTGCATTTACACATTTAAAGTAAGTATTGATATAGAAGTGCCAGAATAAGTATTAATTAAATTTTACTCTATTAAATGAAATATAAATGTTTTTATTGTCTCATTATGTCTGCACTATAGGTATAATAGGAGAATAAAGGCACTATTTATTCTCACCGCAAATAAACAGTGCATTGTTTGTTTACACTTTGCAATTGCTGGAGTTAAATGTACATTGTTTGCTTATCATTATTTGCTATTAGATTCATATTTTTTACTGTGTCGACCAAAAGAACAATTGGTACCATGTCAAAATCTTTCTAAAAAAAATTTAATTTTCAAAACAAGTTTGACCGTCTTTGGAAAGTGATGCAACATCGTTTGAGATTTTATAATAATCTCAGAATTTGAGGACAATATGAATATTCTTTTTAATATGAAGAGAATTTTCATAAAAGTATTAATGGATTTATTAAATAATTATGTTATTGCAAGTGGGCTGAGAACTCAAAATGTTAATAAAATGATAATGAACTAATAATAAAATTACTAAAAGGAAGATTTTATTCATAAGTATTAAATATAATAACTAAAATTTCTTCCTGTATTAATGAAATAAAGGATGGATCAATGTAAAGACCATTTAAAGAGAATTTGCAATATTTTCAGAGAAGGATTATTGGACATTTTAAATTATTATGTTATAGCAAGTCTTAATGATTAGTTAAGACCTAGAAATATCTACAATAAAATGATAAAAAATCAACAATAAAATTATCAAATGGAAGAATTTATTCGGCGACCCTTAATAAAATAATTAAAATTTCTTCATTCTAGTAAGAAAATAAGAGATAGAAAAATTTTCAGAGAATGATTATTGGAAATAGAAAGAAAGTATATTTTATTCTTGGACACTGTGCATTCTAAGAATAATGGAGTTTTACAATTAAAAATTTTATAAGAAAGAATCTAAAGGTTTGTGGGTTCTCCTGTTTAAAGAGTAAACTGAAGAACAAGGAGTGAAGAAATCAAGGATGTAAGGAGGCCTTTTGGTTTTAAAGTATCGATAAAGGTATATGCCAAGGAAATATTAAATTATTATATTACTGTAAGTCCTGATGTTGTGACAGGACTTTAAACCATTGACAATAAAATAAGTATTTTATTTACACTCTCTTAATAAAATATTTTGAATTTCACAAAAATATTAATACTTCAGATTCATTAATAATGTACTCAATGACTTTTTGCTATGGATTGACAATTTCTTTTATCAAAAAGTAAATAAATAAAAAGCAATTAGTGTTTTGTCTTCATTAATTTTTTTTTAATGTGATGGGAAAAAAGTTCAATAAATTGAGAATAGTAAGTTTATTTTTCAAGTTATGTTATTACTTTACTGATGTTTCATCTGTGAAACTGGGCCAACATCATATTGAAAGGTTCGTTTCAATGTTGAATGGTTTGTTTATCTCTTTTGATGAAACGTAGCTAATGTTGTCATCTAATTAAAGTGAGGTTAAAACCATGAACATGGTTGTTATTATCCAGCAATTTTCAGATGTGATTAATTTGATCTTGACCCTGCTATGGTGTTGGAATGATACTTGTGAAGTTTTGTAAATAGTCAAATAACTTAAGTAAAATCTTTTTATTTGTATGTTATTAAGATAATAATCAATTTAAAAATTAGTGTCCACAATTGAAAGATTGTCAAACATATCAAAATGTAATAGATATGGTATATCTGACAAAGTAGCTTTCTGAATTTATTTATAATGAGGTTTTTTTCTTCTTAAGCTAAATTTTTGTTCATAAAGTTCTCTCATAAGTTGTTTACCTATATACAAATGATCTAATGGACCTAATTTAAAATGTTTCTAACCACCTTTTTCTTTTTTTCTCAAACTAGGATTCGGAAGATATTAAAATTAAGTAAATGGCGGAAGATGGTGTTTTAGAAAAGTTAGATCATGAAAGGTATTTATTAATATTTGATTGCTTTCCTGATGTACTTTTTTCAGTTTTTGATACTTAATAAGTAATTTTTTAGTTCAAAAGAAGAGTTTGAAACATCTTATTTTAAATCAAATAATAATGATGCCTCATACCATTACGTACCGAAACATGGAATGTCTAGATACAACACTGCCCTCAAGAATATTGTTCCGTTCAGGAGAAAAAAGAAGTAAGTAACTGTTTTTCTACTGTATATTTTAATTTATTTTTATTATTACTAACTGTAAAAATTTAAAAATTAATTTGACTTTATTGAGGGGTTATCTTAAACGTTTTATTTGTGATGTTTTTCTTATTTCATCTCCTTCTCACTATTACAGTCAACTTGTGAGTTATGGTATACAAAATTTACTTCTGTCATCCGGTTGTGTGCTGCTGATTTGAAGGTACTCCCACACTATCAATATATTTCTGGCTTTATAGACCATTTGTAGTTTTGGTCTTCGAGATCTCCTTGTCACATATGTATGATAAGATGTTTTTTGGGATCTTGGCCCTCTCATTGAAGCTGCCCTGTATGTTTATACCTTGTAATATCAGGGTCCTTGACCAAACTATAGATTCCCTAGTTCGTCTTTTTCCATGAACCTTTAACTTAGCTCATCCTTTTTTGCTCATTGTCCATGATTCTAAAGGAGTAGCCTAGTAAGGGTTTTCTAGACAGTATGTTGCCTTTTATTTGATGCCACAACCTTCAGAAGTAGCGGTTCGCAAACTGCCAATGACAGTTTCAACTGAAACTCCATGCCGACCATATCATTGAAGAATACGTGCATAGTTGGGTCGAGACATTACTTTTGAATAAAATAGTTTTTTTTTTTTTTTTTTTATGATTGCCACCCCCGGACTATTTCCTTCCTGAAATTGTTTTTATATGTTCATAAAATTTAACTTAAGCATGCAAATATTTCTTAGTTGATAAATCACATTTTTTTAATTTAGAAATAGCAGAAATCTTGGTATCGATGAAGCTGGGCTCTGGCAGTTTGTTACGTACAATTGGATGACGAAATATATGACCCAAGCAAATAAGGAAGGTCTCACAACAGATGACATACCTAATCCTTGTCCTCAAGATAGTTGTGCTTATAATACTGAAAGGTACGTATGTTCCATAAGTTACAAATATATATAATTAAACCCTTTTGTTACGATTGGTTTGTTTGTTTGTTTATCAGTACACAAACAATAATCGAAAATCTTATTGATGATGTGTACACACCAATTACATTCCACACCATTGAATTATCTTTGTTTACAAGACGAAGTACGTATTAATACTCTTGATTCCAGCATCTAATTGTACATTATAAAATTATTGTCCATGTTACCAACCCTATCAAATTATTAACATTCCCTAAAACTTCTTGAAAAGCTTCATCTCATCATAGCCTACAACTTTTTTATTTACACAAATTCTTAGAATTTATGGGCATTTCCAATCTGTAAATTGGCAAACTTTGTCTATTTAATTAGATTCTATAAACCCATAAACACCCATTTGCTTTGAAGATAATTTGATCACAAAATTGAGAATAAAGGTAGACTATAAAAATATTAGGCCTTTCAGAGTGACCTCTACCTCCAATAAATCATACTAACGAAGTTATATAGGCCAAACAGCTCAATGTTTTTGTAGCGACCTTTTTTTCCCCTTAATTTTGTGATCAAATTATCTTACGATTCAAGTGGTAAGTAAATGGGTTTCAGAATTTAATTTAATTAATTAATTTAATGAGAAAACGCACTATTTCTGAGAATTTTCAGAGGTTTGTACGTTATGGTAAGATAAAGCCATTCACAGATGTTCAGGGGTGCCCATCCTCCCAAAAGCCGATGGCGCAAGAACCTATCCCACCCCACTCCACAAATATTTTATTGCTCATCTTTTCTTAAAAACAGAACAAGCGAAGGTAGAATGAGAAAACCCATAGATCACATACAATTACACTTACTGTGGTCTGTTCTATGTTTTCCCCTTGACCGTTAGTATGAAACTTTTCATACTGAAAATTTATAACCTCAACGAAATGTGTATCCCTCAAAAATTCAAAAACATGCACAAAAGCGCCATCAAACCCTCTTCTGGGCACTCCTGCGGATGTTAATAATTTGATAAACAGGGGTCTGTACCACGGACTACAATACAAGTGTCCATTGTGTTATCATTGTTTTGTTTATTTTTGATTTTCTTTGTTTAAATATGTTTAATATTAATCAGTTATTTTGGATTTTGCTCTTCTCATCTTTACTGTGTTTGGATTTAGAGTTCTATTTCTTGCAGGTAACTGTTTGGGATGAGACCTTTATTGTGAGTAAGTATTTTTCAGATGGAAATTTGTCACATGTACTTACTGTATTTATTTTATTTTTGCCCAATTTTAGACTCGAAGGCCTCTGGCAGGACGAGCTGGCGAGGAAAGGGCCAGAAAAAGCTTCTTTAAACCGTGTCACCTGGAGGTTTATGAGGACTAGATTTATATTTACCTCTTTGCTGCTTATCTTTATTAACTTATTTGTGTTTGTAGGCGTTGTAAGTATTTATCGATTATTTTTAAAATATTGTTCAATAATTCTAATAATTGAAGGAGTGAGTGAATAAAAGAATTTACTCTTCTTTTTTTTTTCAAATGAGTTATTGTTAGAAATAAAGAAGGCAAAAATAGGTCTGTTTTTTAGTACTTCCATTAAATCTGCAGAAACTTCATCAAGTTTGATATCCTTGTCTAATGGAGGAATGTAAACATTGGAAAAAAAAATTTTGATATGTATCTTGTTAATATTTTTTAAAAGTAATTAAATATGTTAAAAATATATATTGATATTTTTAATCTTCAAAAATAGTAGTGATTTAAATATTTGACAATAATATCGATACATATTATATTGTTAATTTGTAAAATGAAAAGAAAAATACAAAGTTTGTGAATAAGAGGTTGTATGTACAAGATTTAGGGAGTGGGGTAGCTCATCGAGTAAGGTATTGTGCTCCCATGCTTCAGGTCTCGGGTTCTATTTTCTTCCTTCATTATGATATTTTATTTTGTTCTTATTGTACATTGCTTTCTTATTACCTTATTTATTTTTGATTCTGTAAATATGGTGTGAATGTGCTCTCTGAATTCTATTTTAAGTGTCCTTAATTGAGACAGATTGTAATATTTATCAATAAACAAGTAATCTAATTAAAAAAAAAAAGTATCATAATGACAACTTTTAAGGATGAATATCTCAAAACAGATGTGATGTTGCTTATTCCCTTTATCTACTCACTCCGTCAGTTATGAATTAGAGACTTCGGATAATTTATTTGGAATAATAAATACAAAAATATATATGTATTTATAACTAAAATTAAATCATTATTTTATTTTAAATTTGCAGGCCTTTTTCATGAGATATCTATTGGAGTATGCAGAATCAGAGGAGCAATCCTTTCTTACCGGTTTCAAATGGGCAATATTGTTTGTACTGGCGGAATTTAGTAGAGTTGTGTTGTATCCTATAGCTTGGACAACAAATTATCGGTAATATTTATCAGTGTCTATTTGTTGTTAAGTTTCTAATTATTTATTTGCCACTCTCCCTTGCCTATAAGGCTTTACGGGTGTTTGCAGGAGTGTGTTATTATGCATGATGGTATAACAACACACTACTAACAGTAGCAGTGATAGAAGTTTCTATTACTTCTTACAACTTCGGTGATCTCTGTTAAATTTGGTAATCATCATCATCATAGATGGTAAAAGGAATGTTGAATAGCGCTAGGAAGGTCACAAATATAAATAGAGAAAAGCGTTGGCGAGAGCGAGGAACTCTAAGGAACACCTCATGTTAATTGAAGGGGAGAGGATGGAGTTTTGTTCGGAATTATGTCTGTCTGAGATCGATTGGATAAGAAGGAGGGGAACCATTTTAGGACACTATGGTATGGGCAGGCTTTGGAGTTTGTAAAGGAGCATCTCATGATTGATGGAATCAAACACTTTAGAAAAGTCAAAAAGGTTTAGTTTAATATGGAGATTTTCTGTTTACCTATGGCAGATTGGAGGTTTTCGTTAATCATTAGCAAAGCAGACTGGGTGGAATAATGGGAGCGGAAGCCAGGTTGTAAAGAATCAAGGAGTAGGTTTTGCTTGAAAAAGCTGTTTGACTGAGAGTGGACTAATCTTTCTAGAGGCTTGGATAGATTGGATAAAATGGAGATAGGTCTGAAGTCGGAAGCAGATGAAGGAGTAAGTACTTTGTTCAACGGGCGGACTATGGCTCTTTTCCAGGATTTGGGAAAAATGGAATTTTGGAGAGGAAAATTATATATGTATGAAGTAAGGCTGGATGTTATTAATGCCGTTTTGGTTATAAAAAAAAATTATGGTATTTTTAATTTTATATAGAATTGATAATGAATAATTTATTTTTATTTAAAATGAGTAGATTAAAAAAAAAATCCCATACTTGTCAGATATGTATATATTTTTTAATTTGTAATGGGAAGGAGCCCTTATCATTTTATTTCAGAATGTAAACAAAATGAATTGTCCATATTATTATTCTGCATGGGCTGTGAAGCATTAAATTAGGTAAATACTGCAGTACAACTTCTTACGGCTAAATTTTTAATTTCACCAAAATTTTAAAAACACTCATGAATAAAATGTTGTCAAACTTTTGCGGTACAGAAAAATATATGGTTTTGTATCTAACTATAGAATAGGGAAAAATGTGCTGAAATGTGTTAAAACTTTAATGGAACTTTTGAAAAAGTTCGAAGGAACTCTTTTGAAATAAAAGTTTTGTAATAGAATTTTCAGGAAACCTTTTTTTGCTATGAAGCTCTAAGTTTATTACAAAAATTTAATTTTTATTTATTTAAGTTCTTAAAAAAACTTTTGTTAAATATTAAGAAAAAACAATTATATAATTAAAGGAAAGGCAAAGAGCCAACAGGACAGAAAAAAATGATAGTATTTCTTTTTTACTTTCACTTAACTATATATTTCAGATTAAAGTCAGTACTTAATATGAATTTAATTTAAAATATGTGTATATATATGTTTTTGTTATAGTATTTTTACAAAAACATATTTACTCACCATTTAGAATAGAATAGAATAGAATAGAAAATTAAACTTTATTCTGGGACAAAGTCCCTTTAGAATAACAATGATGAGTTAATACAAAGTAAAGTACAAATCTGGCCATAACTTATAAAAATTTTAATATTATATACATTATTTAAAAAGTATGTAACCAGTAAAAAATAAAAAATAAAATATATATACAAATGAACATAAAATCTTCTTAAAATTACTTAATTGTGATGAAAAAAAAAAGAAGAGAAATTAAATATTTATATATACATAACTACATAATTTATAAACAGTAGGCTATCTAATAGAAAACTAACTTAATACAAAATGTAATAATATCTACAGTGGTTTATATAATAATATGCAGACACTAAGATAAAATAAAATCTTAGGATACTTGTGGTGTAATGGAAAAAAAAAATAAGTAAAATAAATAAAAGGAACTATTTATACGTACATTCTCATATTGGCACACATAAAGACAAAAATATAAAATATAAGCATATATACCCGAAAGAAAAAGCACAACCTGAGGAGAAGAGAAAAATACATAAATAGTAAAAATAATAGTCAAACTAGGTGACAAAGATCATTGCTGTTTTATGTTAAAACTTAAACAGTAGGCACCACTATTTACTTCATGCAAATTCAGTTCATGAAATGAAATTTATGGTGGTAAATCTTCTGTTTGGGATGTAAGGAGATATTGGAAAAGGAGGTATTTGAAAGTTGACAGGGAAGAGGCATGATGGATGTTATGTGGCAAAGAATTCCAGTAGGAGACGGAACGGGCTAAGAAGGAACGTTCATAGGTTTTTGTCCTGTGGAATGGAATATAGAGGTCAGAAACACGGGATCTCGTTTTTATTGAGTGGACTAAGGGTTTAGGCTGGAGGAGACAACAGATATAGGAAGGGTGCTGGGAGTTGATCGTTTGGTATAAGAAATTTCCAAGGAAGTATAGGCGGCGGGAAGAGGGGAAGAGCCACTTTGACTCGGCATATAGGTGGGACACATTTATGTTGTGATTAGTAAATAAAAGAATCAACAGAAGATTAATTTAATTTATTCTCTCCTTTCTCCTTCCATAAATAATTATACTGCCCTTTTTTAAACATTATTCAATTTCATCTTCAAATCAAACGTAAGAGGGAATTTTATCAATGATTTTTTTTTAGTATTATTTATTTCGTACATCAACTATGAACTTCGATGTCAAAACTAAACTTCAAAATCAGACAAATTGAATGGAATATTTTTCTGAATAATAAAGGTGCCAGAATAGAGTTTTTTTTTTTGTATGAAATTCTGAAGCAAATTTATTTTTTTTCCATATATGAAATAAATCAAATCTATTTTAGTACTAAATTATAAAAAAATAATCTATTTTAATGTAAAATTGAAAAAAATAACCTGTAAGATTTTGTATTTTGAAATCTACAATCCATGGAGAACTCTGTTTTCCGTTGAACAGAGAAAAGAGATGGTCCTAGAAAAAGAATTTGTGAGACAAGAAGAGTGAAAAGACCTCGGCTCCGATGGACTATGAACTTCGATGTCAAAACTAAACTTCAAAATCAGACAAATTGAATGGAATATTTTTCTGAATAATAAAGGTGCCAGAATAGAGTTTTTTTTTTGTATGAAATTCTGAAGCAAATTTATTTTTTTTCCAAATATGAAATAAATAAAATCTATTTTAGTACTAAATTATAAAAAAATAATTTATTTTAGTGTAAAATTGAAAAAAATAACCTGTAACATTTTGTATTTTGAAATCTACAATCCATGGAGAACTCTGTTTTCCGTTGAACAGAGAAAAGAGATGGTCCTAGAAAAAGAATTTGTGAGACAAGAAGAGTGAAAAGACCTCGGCTCCGATAGATGCCAGGTCTATCTTGAGAATCCGCAATTGGAGAACAGCATCAACCGATAGAGAAGACTGGCAGACGAAGCTGCAGGTGTGTTCGAAGATGGAGTGAAATAGCACGGAACCATGGAGATTAGTTGGCTGTAGTAGAGTATCTATTATAATAAATAAAAGCTGATGAAATATATTTTAAACTAAATATTTTTATTCTGAGAAAACATATTGCTTGAATGAAGTTTTGAAAAATTTCTAAAAAGTGTCTGGTAATCAACGGTATGAGCTAGAATCTGGCAACCCTTGAAATAGTTGTAATAAATTTAAAACATAGCTCATGTGAAATGTAATTAAATTCTCTAAACAAAAAATAAAATAAATAAATAAAATCATCAAATGATACTAGTATTAATTAAGATCCATCCATTAAAAACATTAAATTTTTATTAGTTAAATTATTCAAATACTATACATATCTTGCAATATTCTAGATATTTGTTTGAAAAGTATTTAAATTCCTCATAAAGTTAAAATGGAAATATAAATTGGATCATCATTGAAATTGCTTAGGAATTTGGTTCTTGCTATTTTATAAATATATTTTCAGTTTCAAACTTATTAGAATATTTAAAATAATATTATTTATTGCTGCTTCCAGAACTGCTTCACGTTTGAGAGCTGGTTGCTTGGGTATGCTGTTCAATAAAATTATGAGGGTTCATCATTTTGGCGACAAGTCCATAGGAGAGGTAATTGACTCGCTCAGTGATGAATTATATCTTGGATCAATCCATTTGAAATCATCTAGACCGTGTTGCTTGACTTTTATATTTATTTTACTAGTTATTCTCTATTAAATAGCGAGTTCAAAACTACGGTTATGGTTAACTATAGTTCAAGATTTTATATTGCAGGATGCTGATTTATCGTTTAGATAATTCAATTTTCATCCGTATTTGATACAAAATAACTCTAAAACTATCTCAATCACTAGATTTATTCCTTACATTTCTATTATAAACAGATATGAACACTATAAGTTTTATAATATTTAACTCAGTCTCTTTTTTGATATTGAACTTCAAAAATTTCCAAAAATGACATGCACATTTTTAAAAATTTGAATTTAAAAAAGAACAAAGTTTACAAAATTAAAATTTCTTCAGCATGCTGAATACTGATATAGCTATACAAGAAAAAAAAAAATCATTGGCGAGTCTCTTTTCATTATTATAATGTTTAAGTGGTAAAAATCTTGTTTTATTTTAACTTTAATAATTTTTTTAAATTAATTACCTTCGGTCTTAGGTGATGTAATGAAAGATAAAAAAATCATCATAATTTGGTTTGATATCTACAAAATTACCAGAGTTAAAAAAGACATTTTTCATATTTTCAGTTGAAAAAAAAAATTTAAATGGACGCAAAGGAAAAAGTATGGGCCTTGAAAAATATCTTAAGCTTAGTTTTGAACTCATCATTTAATAGTAAATAACTGGTGTGAATACAAATTAAAAATGTTAATTTACATAATTAATTCAAATTAGACTATTTCAAATGGATTGGCTCTCTATTTATTTTATTCTATTCAACTATATATGTATTATTTTCCCAATTTGTAAATATATCTAATCTAATTTGTATTATCATAATGATATGGAGATGGCTGACTGTGATTAGAATTTGAGAAGGAGTTAGTCGGGTGTGCAGTCAATATGTAGTTATTGGTATATATTGTAGCGCGGACACTAAATCACTTATATCATTTTATAATTTCTTCAAATTCTTTATCTGGTCATCTGCACTAGTTCAATATCAGCTGTTTTTATTCATTTTCATTAATATTTATAGTTTGTATCTTTTTTAGCTCCAATGAAGACCTTCAATGTGAGTCAAAACGTCTATAAATATAATAAAATACTATTGTAATTTGTAGTTTTATATATTAACCACATCAACAAACAACTCCTCAAAAGTAAATATTATCATTTTCTTATTCCTTTTTCTTTTTTTTCTAGCTTATTAATATATTTTCTAACGATGGTCAGAGGTTTCATGATGTTGTTTTATTCGGCCCTATGATTGGAATTGGTCCAGTTTGTATACTTCTTGGATTTGGATATATTTATTGGGCGCTCGGACCGTGGCCAGTTTTAGGCCTCTGCTCAATGTTTATATTCTATCCATTACAAGTAAGAATAAACATTTCTTCATATATAAGCATGTTTATAAGTTAATTAAGTCTTATTTAGTTTATTAAAAAATTGAAGATCAAGTTACTTTTTATCCACATTTGATTAATTTTTTCAGTACTTTCTCTCCCGCTTAAGTGGTTTCTTCAAGAGGAAAGTTTTTAGTTTGACTGATAAAAGATTGACAGTGTTATCAGAAATATTAAACTCTATAAAGTTTATAAAACTGTATTCGTGGGCAATGATATATATAAACAAGATTTCAGGTGATTTATATTTTTAACATTTGATTTACGTTAGAATAATGTGTAAACAAAAGAAATCTATATATTATCTAACAATTGAATAAATAATTAATTTATTGGTATGGAAAGGTTTGTTACTGCTTATTTATCAATAAGTTATAAATTCATCAAATTATACTAAATAACCAGGATTATTTGGAAGTTCAGAAGAATGTTTATAGTCTGTACCATTTTAGCAATTTATCATCATAGTTCTATATTGTTTGGTTTTCAGACACTGTTATAAGCTCAACAAATCTTCGTGTTTTATAATAATGCACTGTTTTATTGTTGGAATGTGCAATGTCAAAAACATGATGGCTTTTGGTGCATTGTGGGTAATTGTTTATAATTTTCATGAATATGTTTTGAACCACTTTAAATTTTCTGTAGTTTGACTTGCATTTGTGTAACTCCATATTAGGGCTGTAAAAACAAGTCTCAAGCTTTGACTCTAGTGCCTTTGGACTTTGAATCTTCAAGGCTCGAGCTAAAGGCTCAGAAGTTTTGAGCGTAAACTGTATCCGGGTTATATAATTGAGCTAATGTCATCAATCAAATAGGCTTGTAAAGTTGTTGGGCTTAGTAACGAGAGAATTCCTAAAAGGTTAATATTTGCTGAGCTGAATGGTAAGCGTCCGAGGAGTAGACCGAAGCGAAGGTGGGAAGATTGCATTAAAGCTGATCTGAAGGGACTGGGTTTGGTCGGCGAACGGTGGAGGGAGGTGTGTAATAAGCGATTGGTGGTGTTGTCATCGAACCTTCAGGTTCGCTAAGCCTTTTATTATTATTATTATTATTATTATACATTTTCATGAAAAATTATATTTTTCAGAAGGAGTTAGTAGGGATGCGGTGAAATACAATACTGTTTTAATATATAGTATTGTATTTGACCGCACCTCTGACTACCTCCTCAAATTGCAATCATCGTCAACCGACTCCACAACATAAGGTGGGCGGGCTAAGTTCGCGCCCCGATGCCAAGGGAGTCTTTTAAATCCCTGTCCACACCCCCTGGCCCGGAAAAACCCCGTATAGCTTTAACGGTGAGAAAGGGGAGGACAAAAAAAAACAAAAAAAAAATTCCACAACATATTTTTTTTTCTGTTGGTAGTAACAATATGAATATATTATTATTTTTTTTTATAGTAGCAATGTGAATATATTTCTGAAATATAATGTGAATAAATAGATAGGAAAAAATAAGTAGGGCTCGAGCCTTGGTCGATTCGAGAAATCTTGAACCTTTTGGGCTTCAGCATTATAGCCTTCTCATCAAACTCTTTTACATCACTGTTCCGTACTGGTGCAGATAGAGCAGATTACTACTGCTGTATATAGAATCAGCTTGTTATTTAAAGTTAATTGGGAGTATCTGTTAAAATATGGGGACATTTTGCTAATCATGTTTTTTGGTTTATTTTGCTTGTTATTAAAATGTTGGTTGAAATTTATATTTGAAATATTTAGGGGGCGGGGTGGCCAAATGGGCTAAAGCGTGTGCACAGCACCGCGAGTTCTCTGGCAACCGGATTACAGATTTGAGAAGATTTAAAAAAAAAAAGTACGAATTCGCGTCCCGGTGCCGGAGGGGATTTTAAATTCCCCGCCCTCACTCCCCGGCCCGGGAAAATCCCGTATAGCCTAAAAGGCGAGGTAGGGAAGAAAAAAAAAAAAAAGAAATATTAGAAATATTTCACTGGGTTTACCCAAAGGATCTGTCCTTTTTTTATACATAGTTTTTACCATCAATTAATATATATTTTATTCTTTGAACAATATGAAAAAAAAAATGGTTTATACTTTAATTAAATTTAGCTAAACATATATTTTTATTTACATATTTATTTATTTTTATAGAAATTCGTAAAAAAGAGCTTTCATTACTCTACAAGGTTTTTTATTGCAATAGTTTTGCAAATTCGCTGTCGCTGAACGCTCCCATTATAGCTGCCATCCTCACATTATTTATCCACATTATTGTTACAGGATCATTAACCGTCTCTCAGGTATTATTAAATCAATTTGTTATTTTATTAATTTTATATTTGTAATTGTATCAGTTTTTTCTATTAGTGATAGTATTATAGGAAACATGGATCAAAAATATTTTAATTACAATTCTTATTATTCCATTAATAAATATTGATGGAGTTAACCATTTATGAAATCTAGAAGATGATATTTGGAAACTGCATTCTGGATTGAAATATACAGGAATTTTTACTGTTTGTATGTCAATGTTTTAGAACTTTTTCCAAGAGAAACAAAGTCAAGGCCTCCCGAATTTGATCCTCTAGCCATTTCGCATTGGCTGACACGTCATCCATCCATTCCAACCATGGTCTTCCCACTCTTCTGGTAGCATAGATTTTTTTCATCCAGTATCTTGAAAGGTATCTGATCTGTTGTCATCCTTGCTATATGGTCAGCCCTCCAGAGAGGACAAAACTTAATAACTCTTGTAATACTATGGTTCTTATACAGTTCTCCTAATTCTGAGTTTGTTCATGTTCACTACATACCATTAATATTTATGGGGCAAAATATTTTTGCAAGTATGTCATTCAAATCGAAGGAGAAGAGAAAAAATCCTAAAGATAGATAGGTTTTAAGTTAGGAGATGTAAAGCTCATATTAGCTGTTATTATTTACAATCTTTACTTGTCATGATGTTACATTATAAGAATATATACAAATGTGTTCATTTGATACACCAAACATTTTATAATTTGATCATCAATTTTTTTGATGAACAATAATTGTTATAAGGCTCACAGAACTTCGTTTTGTACTCAAAAACATGCCAGAAAGTAAACGAAAAAGCAGAAATACATCATAGATAAAAATATCTGTTAAACACTTATAAAGAGAGATGAAAATTTTTTTAAAATTACTTAATTATCTATTAATCCTAAAATTAATGTTTCATGGTTAATGATGTCAGGAAAAAATGTCATATTTGACATTCATTAAAGAAAAGGCAGTGGAAAATATTTAAGTAATTTAGAACATATCATTAATTTGTAGCTGAAAATAAATGAAAACAATTTTTTATAATGATTTAGTTTTTCATTATATTTTTGTTGCGATAATGTTTTGTATTATTTTTTTCAGGCATTTACTGTACTTATGTTGTACTCGAAGATGCTACGTAGGGTACTTCTTTTCACTCAAGAGGCATTCCGAAGTATTATAGACTTCACTTTAGCTCTGCAGCGTTTAAAGGTTCGAGAAATCACTGCTTGACATTAACGAGCAATTAAGTTATTAATGTAATTAATTGTTTGATTTGGTATATTACTTTATTTATTACTAAAACTTATATTTATTGGATCCATTTTTTTGTTTGTCTACTTCTTATTAAAATAAATTCTTATACATAATGTCTTCAATATAGGGCTCAAATATATTATAGATTTTAATGTACTTTGTAGGGTGTATTGCTGTTAAACGAAAACACCACCATCCTGTCAAAACCAGTCGACAAATCACAATCTGTCTGTATTGCGGACGGAACATTTGCTTATTACATGACTAGTAAAGCGAATGCTGCTGGCATCAAGAAAGAGTTAGTTTTATATTTTAAATACTAAATATAATTAATATTAATAAATTAATCAATATCATGTCTATTAAATTGGAGATAATGTAGGTGTTTTCAATTATTTTCAGGAAAAGTACTGCTGACAAAAAAAGTAAAGACTTAAAAAAAGAAGATGGGAATGAAACAAACATACTTAACCATACTGAACATGAAAATTTTTTCAATTCAAACTACAAAGAAATTCTTTTCGATATAAATTTTTTTGCTCCTAAGGTATGTTATATTAATTGGTTTGTTATTTTCTAATTATATAAGCAAATTATAGATCATTCTTCATATTAGGTGTTATTTATTTATCAAAATCACTTTTGAGTTATCAAAGTTGCGTTAACCATTGATTTATTTTGTTTAAATCTTTTTTTTTTAAAGATCTTTTTATTGGTAATGATACATTTTGACACTCTTAAGGGCACTGAGTACTAGAGCTGAGTGAGGTTCATTCATACCATATATACAATACAATAAAAACAATAAATAAATAAAAAAATATATATCTATAAAACAAGGCAAAAACTATAATAAAACCAAAGAAATGTAACTTGGAGATAAAATTAAATGAAATACAGAAAGTTTTAGCAAAAATAAATAAAATATAAGTAATAGAAATTTTAAAAAATATATTAAAAAGAAAAACATTCATACTTAATTACAATTTAAATCTAGAGACTGTTTTTTAAGTATCTAATTACTCTCTTTTATACAGCTAAGATAGTAACTATCTGTTTCATCTAATTACTAGAATTATTAATCATTATTACCAATAGGTTTGAGGCCGGTTGATGAATGAATATTAATTTTTTATCAAATTTGGATATACTCTGGGGTTAGGAGACCCTCCTGGGCCATACCCAGCCTCTATAAAGTGAGTACTCTTAATTAAGGGAAAAACCTGGCGGTTGAGCATGATCCTGGCCTCCCCTCGTTGCACAACCGTTGATCTTGAAACAGTACTTTCCTTAAATAGTACTGAACCTAAGAATCTTCATGGGTTGTAATGTTGCAGTTTTATTTCATTTATTTATTTTTCTGTAGTTGGATAAGCTTGACATTTTACTATTCGAAATCACTTATATATATTAAACCAGTTTGTAGAAAAAAATACCTGTGCATAGCTCCTCCTTATTTAAGATATTTTCTAATAGAGTGCATTCTACTCACCAGACATGTACTTTGAAACTTCTAATTTTTAGGCAATTATTTTATTGGAACATTATCAGAGGATTATGCTGAAATTATGACTTAATTAATTTTCATTTTAATATTAATTATTTTTTCTTTTAGGGAAGTTTAATTGGAGTATGTGGTCCAGTTGGTTGCGGTAAAACATCACTCCTTACTAGTATCCTCGGCCATCTCTACATGACGAAAGGCAAGCTGTGCCGTGAAGGGGAATGTGCCTACGTTTCTCAACAGCCGTGGCTTGTCAATGCTACCGTCCGTGAGAACATTTTGTTTGGAGAAAAATTTATACCTCGGAAGTAAGTACATCCATTATAATGAAAATATATTTTATTATTCTGACACTGTTGTCCCTTTAGAACAAATCATAAGTATAGATTGCATGTCTGTGTGGTCATAAATAAATTATAAATTTACAATAATAATTAATTGAAAATAAAAATACCGAAGAAGAGAGAGAAAAAGACAAGAAAATCATACATATGTATAAGACAGACATAGGAAATTAAAATAATATAAATAAATTTAAGTAGTCTCTGGGGGTACTTAAATAGTTCTCTTAGGTATATTTTGTAATCAGTCAGATTAAGAAAGGAGTAGGTGTTTAAAGAGAAGAGATTTGTAAGAGGAAACTGATTGTGCATGTTGAATATCAGCAGGGATGGAATTCCAGAGGGAGGCGACTTGAATTGCTAAGGATTTGTCAAATTCAGGAATTCTTTGAGGAGAAGGATAGAGGCCAGAAGTACGAGATCTAGTGGAAAGGGATTAGATGGAGTACTTAAATTGTAAAGTTTGAAAAATATAGGAGGGTCGATGAGTTCTAACGATATGGTACAGAAAGGTAGCTAAGAAGTACTGACGGTGATAGGATGAATAGAGCCACTTCAACTCAGTGTAATACTGGGTAATATGCATATCCCTTGAGATTCCGAAAACAAATCGTAGTGCGCAATTCATTAGGCGTTTAAGTTTGACCTCGGAATCTCCCGAGAGTCCACCGTACACCATACAGCCTTAGATAAAGTGGGGGAAAACAAGAGAGGAAACTAGGAGTTGACGAGACTTATATGGAAGGAGATAACGTAAATGATTGAACTGTTTTAGGGTGGAGATAAAGTGACAGGAAATTTGGGAGATGTGTGGTTTCCAGGAGAGGGTTTGATTTAAATTAACACCTAGATTTTTTACAGTAGTATGAAGTAAGATAGGTAAGTTGTTCCGGAGAAGATTGGAGAATACTGGGAAGGATTTGAGGAGTGAAGGAGATCCGATCAAGATGGCTTTTGTCTTCTCGGCATTTAGAGTGAGCCTGTTGAGGCTTGTCCAAGCATTTATTCTATTAATATCTTCTTGGAGTTTTAGAATGGCATCTGAGAAAGTGGTTGGATTAAAGGAGAGGTAAGTTTGAATGTCGTCAGCATACAGGTGGTATTGACAGTGCAGGATAGAGGATGGGAGGTCATTTATATAGATGGAAAAAATGATAAGGAAGAGCCTTGTGGGACGCCTCTGGACAGAGGTAGGGATTCTGATGGGGAGCTATTAGGAATTACAACAGACTGGAATTACAATTACATTATAGAATTATTGCTCTCAATGTTGTTTTCAGGATTGCCAGACACTACTGTATTCACATTTTTTTTTTCTATAATGGTAATTACACCTGGATACATAAAAATAAAAAACTATATTGAATTATGATCATGTGGTCCTTAAAGCACTATTAAAAAAATAAAAAATTGGTTATAACAGAAACAATAATGGCTTTTAGGGATAATTTTTTATAATTCTTTGTTAACATGTGCTTATATTTAATCATTTTAAAGAGAAAACATGTTACAATTGTTGAATTAAGTTTACTCACTGAAACCATTATGAACAAGTTAAAAAAAAAATACATTTTTCCATTTTCTTGTCATATTTTTTAGGTTTGTGTCATTTTTTATGTTTTTTTTAATGAATGCGTTATAGACGAACATCGCACTTAATATCTTCTACTAAGGAGAAATAAAAATGATATTCAATGAAATAAGGGAATGATCAACTGACAAATTATATTATAATGATATATCTATAAAAAAATTTATAAAGCGGTTCATGAATCCTGAAAATGGCTCGAGAAACTGAAACTTTGAATAATAAATACATAATGTGAAAACATTTATTATTGGTGACCTTTGGCCTAATGCTTTTAAAAAAAAATGATCTTTTTTCCATTTTGGGATGGTTCTTCAGTCGAAATTTTATTCAATTTAAAACATTTTCTAGTAATAGCACAAGTAATAACACAAGGTTCTTCTTTTAAAAAAAGTTACATACATTAAAGTTTGATTGTTCTAACGGGACCTTCTCCCAGATTAGCGAAGGTATTTTTCTTTTCATTTTATTAATCTTAGTTATTGATAAATAAGTGGTATTAATGGAATTTACTTCAGGCAAGGCTTATAAATTAATAGTTGATTTCTATGGGTTTCAACTTATATTGTTACAGATACTACGATGTTATTCAATGCTGTGATCTTGGAAGGGACTTAGATTCATTACCTGCAGGTGACAATACAGAAGTTGGAGAACGAGGTGTCAATTTGTCAGGTGGCCAGAAACAGAGAATTTCCTTAGCAAGAGCTCTTTATTCTGCCAGGTAACATCTGTTATTTATAATTGTAATTCTTATGAATTTTTGAAGTGAAGACTTCTTTAGGCGTATTTTGCACTATTTCTAAATATTGAATTTGATTGAGCCGTCAGATTTCCGATGTGTAAAGCTTGGCTTAAGTCGGCTAGAGTCGACTAATTGAAGTGTTTTTGCATATAAATTAAAATAGGAGATAGTGGTAAGTAAAAGTCTTGTGATGGGAGCACTAATTTTTTTTTTTATAATGATCTATTATTTATAATTTATATTTCATATTATTAATGTTTCACTTCTATCGTGTGGTCCAAAGCACATACTTCATGTTTTTTTATATTTATTAATATTGTATAAAAACAGATATTCTTAGGTTTTTTTGCTAACCCTCATTCGGGGGCTAAATCTTAAGTCTTTCATATGATAATATCAGTAAATTTAGAATTTGTTATTAATATACCAAATATTCTTTTTTATACTTTACAATCCTTGCTTGAAGTTTAAACTAAATAAATTCACTTAATATATAAAACACTTGTTGAAAAAACACTATGATAGGATGTTTGCTCTATGAATGGTCTATTTCATGAAAAGAAGACTCTTTCCAGACTATCTGTGCTCATGCAAGCAATATATGTCTGTATTAGTAAAAAAGATTCCATGCGCACTAAGCATGTTCCCCTGAAGTTGTTCCCCTATATATTTTATGATTTAATTTTAATTTGTTTAGAGATATATATTTACTGGATGATCCTTTGAGTGCAGTGGATAGCGAAGTTGCCAATCATATATTTGAAAAAACAATTTTGAAAGCCTTGCGATCAAAAACTGTGATATTTGTTTCCCACCAAGTTCAGGTATAATATGCCTTAATAATTATATCGTAAGTTGGTAAATAATTTTATCTCAAGTGATATCGATATTTATCTGTTAATTTTATTTTATTTTTTTGACCTAGTTCCTAAACCAATGTGATGAAGTAGTCATCTTGAAAGAAGGGAGAATCATTGAAAGAGGGACGCCTAGCGATTTGTCTTGTAAAGAAAGCAATTATAAGTTAATAATAGAATCGTTGTCAAAAGTTGATTTAGAGGCACAGTTGAGTAAATTATTCACATTATTATTTTGATTTTTGTATTTATTTTATAAAAGTTTACCTCTTACTTGTTTCAGAGCTGAAAGTAAAGGAACAAAAACAACTGATAACAAGAAGAAACCTACTGATAATGGAAAAAATCCAAAGGTCAATGGTATGTCATATCCTTCTTAAGAAAATTCAGTAATATTTTTTATTTTAAGGTTTAAGTTTATCATGTAGGAAACGAACAGAATGTATCTTGCAAATACTATTTAGGATGGGTTCCAACAACTTAATAATCACACACATTTATCTGTTTTTAAAACATACATAAATCTAATTACCAGCTATATATATATACATACCAATTCTAACAGTTTTCTAACTAACAGGCTTCTCTGTCCTGCCGACACAAGACAGTTGATAATTTTGTTACTTAGCCGGAACCGTCTAGTAGTACCATAAATATTATCCTCTTGGTGAATGTTCCAGTGTTTTCTTTTATTGCACCAATTGCAGATCGTCTCTTCTTAATGTCCCAAGAAACTAAACTTTCCACCACTTGGAGGATCTTCCTTCTCTTGATCATCCATGTAATCATTCAAACAACTTCACTACTCGCTCATACTTATGGCTCTCCTTTCCTCCTGTATTTCTCACTTACCATTTCTAAAATAAGTTCCCGATGACATCACTATTTCTTCGTGCCACCATTAAAACCCATCAGTCTCATCAACCGTTTGTTGTATCCTACAATCTTAATATCCAACTCTATTACATTACATTTTATATACTGTAAGGTTACGTTCCCTTCGTAAAGTAAACAAAACAGTTTGTTAATAAAATAATATTTATTTTAATCAATAATTAATTTCCAGGTTGGGTTGAGACAACTAACACACTTCCTCAATTGAAATGAAAATATTTTTTTACTATCCTGGGACTGTTGTCCCTTTAGAACAAATTACAGATACAGAATAAATGCCTGTGTGGCCATACATAAAATTAATTATTTACAATTATTATTAAGATAAAGATTTTGAAAAATGAATAAAACAAAAAATAGAACTATTACATTAAAAACATTCTGATATGTATAATACAAAAACGTGGGAAAATAAAATAGCATAAGTAAAGAAAATCATTTCTGGGGGAACTTTAAAGTTCTCTTATCTACATTTCATGATCAATCGAGTTGGGAAAGGAGTAAGTGGTTAAAAAGGAGAGATTTAAATGAGGAAACTGATTGTACATGTCGGATATTGGGAAGGATAGTACGGCTTGAATTATAAAGGATTTGTCAAATGCTGCAGTTCGGTGGGGAGGTGGATAGAGGTTGGAGGTACAAGATCTAGTGAGACGGGATTGAATGGAATATTATATTATACAATATAAAAGCATACATTAATCATACAACACTTTTATGAATTCCCATTAAATTTGTCGGAGTCTACACTTGGCACCCTTTCGAACTGTCACTATATATTCTTCACTCACCCTGTTCTGCAGCGACTTCTCTGAATTGCTGCATTCAACTTCCACAACCTTCTACTGACACTGAATACTTGTTAACTCATTTTCTTCCCTAGATCCTCTTTGCTTGCCGGCTGGCTACCTTCTCCCTCTCATCTGGAACTTGCTTCCATCTGTCATTCCTTGTCCATTCCTGTTAGTAGTTTGTGACGTCACCACCTTCGCGCCATATTTACATTACAATATATAATATACACAGTCCAGTTGACCATTTGAAGACGGTGTTGAAGCAGTTTGAATAGAAGTGGGATATACGAACCTATTGAAGATTGACACCAGATGAACTACTTAATCGTTTTATACCTTTTTCCACTGGCATATCCGATGAAGTGCCAAGTTGCTCGGTTCTATTATATTAATTATACAATATATTATGACATTTGATGAATAAAATAAAGACATGAACAATTCATCTAAATTTGTTTGCCGTGTCCTCATTACAGTTTTATTTTTCAGCCAAACAAGACGGTGTGTTGATAAGAGAAGAGATAAAAGAAAAAGGAGAAATCAAATTTAGTACTTTTCTCAGTTATGTACATGCTTGTGGTGGATGGTTTTTCTTTTTGTCATTGGTAATTGCAATGTTCATGAACATTGGTTCTTTGTCGATGAGCTCTTGGTGGTTACAAGCATGGATAAAAGCGGGCGGTGGGGTGAGTTTATTTATTTTATAGTTAATTTTTTTTTTTTTTTTTGATCAGCGACGATAAAGTATTTGTATATTCTTTCAGAATGTTACTTATACCGATGCCGATAATAAGACAGTCTTGAGCAACCGTATTGTTGATAATCCTGATTATGTGATGTATCGAGATGTCTATTGTTACATTTTCTTAGCAATTATAGTTTCAAACTTTGTTCGTGGGTTTGTTTATACTCAGGTATGTATATATATCTATATCTATTTTCAACTGTTAATAATTTACAGCACCATTTCACAAGATTACTATCAATTTTTCTGATATTTCCTACTTAATGAGATTTAGCAGATCTGATGTTATTCCACTCCTCAGCTCATTTTATTTTATTGTTTACAGAGCTTTAATTAGGGGGTGGGAGCAAAGAGAGCATTTGTCCTGGGCTGTGAATTCCAATGAAATTTTATATTCTGTTTAATTAGAAAGTATTATTTCTACATTTTGAATTTTTTAAGATTAATTCAGTTCAAAAATTAATACACCTTTGCAATTATCCTGGCATCTTGAAAATATTCGATAGCTTCTTCTTCTGAAGATGGCAATTCAAACAATGTAACAACATCCATAATTTTATTAAAATAACACTAATGGAATAAAAATAAACGATGGAATAACTCACAGCTTACAAGAGGAACAAAATATAAACAATGGAATAACTTAGATTAGAGGAGATAGAAGGGAGGTTATGTGATATAAGATAAGATAACAAGGGAGGTTTCGACCCGACCGGCTATTTTAGGAGTACCTGAATATTTATAATGTTCATAATGAATATAATAATGAAAACTTTTTTATGAATTTTTAGGTTACATTGAAAGCATCCTCTAAGTTTCATAGCACTCTCGTGGACAAGTTGATGAAGGCATATCTATCATTTTTCGAAACTACACCAGCGGGAAGGATTCAAAATCTGTTTGCTAAAGATATGGATGAGGGTGAGTTTAATTATACACACACACACACACACGCATATATATATATATATATATATATATATATATATATATATATATATATATATATATATATATATATATATATGTATATATATATAGGTCAACCTTATGAGGGAAATTTTGAATTTGATTCCTAAAAAATATTGTTTTATATGAAATATTGATATTTGAAAATATTCCTAGCAAAGATCAATAACATTTTTAAAATTTAAAATATTTAACTATTAGAAAATACCTATCTTACTAAGCATTATAATATCAGAATTAAAAGACCCCACAATAATTACAACTCTGATACAAATCTGAAAAGGACCAGTCACCATATGTTGCTTTCGCTCAGCTGATTGGTAACTCATGGATACCGTGAGATATCTTAAAGGAAGAGCTATAGCACCATTAGGTGCTAAAACAATGAAAACGGAGGATGTGATTGGTTGACCCAAAACCTCCTAGAATTAATCTATTAACTAATTGCATACCATCATGATTGTTGTTTGGATTAATCTAATTGCTGCTGTTTAAGTACCCTAACTCAGCTTCCAGTGGCCATACTAACAATACCATTGTTGACATTGTTGATAGAGAAGCACTGGGATCTGGAATCCTGCTTTCCCCTTCACTATTGTGAGCAAGCTTGGTTCCGAGTTCTCCAAGCTGAGGATACATGACTATGTTTATGATTTTTTTTTTAATCTACATTTTATAACTATTTATTCATATACAGAGTGTCTCGTAAGTAGAGGGAAATTTTTAGAGGAGCTGAGAGCAACAAAAAAGTTTATATAAATAATGGGCCAAATTTTAGCAGAAAAGTAGGAAATTAATGTTTTGTGTTTTTTAAAATTAGTCACGTTTTTTGTTGTATTGGAAACGATAACTAAAAAAAACTATTTTATTTAAGTAATTAACAATTACTTCACTGTAAACTAGATAAAATTTACTTTAAATGAAAATTAAAGGCAACTTTTGAGCAACTTAACTAAGCTAAGTTCTATTTTAAAAAAAAATGATAAATTATTCGTGATTTTTTTTTATCATTTTATCTAACTTTACTACAGCACTACACTTTTACAAAAACTTTCTAGTTTAATAAGCTTCAAATACCTTTAAAATTAAGTTGACATTTATTAGGAAATAACGTGAAATTCACCTCAGGTTGTGTAAAAAAATTATGTAATTTTATATCCTGTTACATAAAATTTTCGGCAAAAATTGCAGAAATGGATCTGTATTTATAAGTGAAAAAATAAATTTTACTGATCCTATTATGTTACTTTATGTTAGACGACGAATAATAATACGACGAATAATTTATGTTACTTTCTGTTACACAACGAAAAAAAAAAGGTTTTATTGTGCAATATATTTTTTCAGTGGAAAATCAACTTCCTGTGACTTTGGATAACTTGATACAGGGACTGTTGATTACAGCGTCTTCGATGTTATTTATTTGTTTGGCATTTCCACTCTTCGCCATTTTTTTGTTAATTTTATTTTTTATTTATTACTTCAAAATTCATCGAACTTTCAGGTATTTTACTGTCTTATTATGATTTAATTTTCCTTAAATAATTAAGCTTTAATTATTTTTTATCATTATTTTATTTATAAATTAAAGATCTGGACTCCGTGAATTGAAGAGACTTGACAACATGAGTCGCTCTCCAGTTTTTAGTAACGTGTCAACTGCCATTCAAGGATTGGACAGTATACATGCTTTCGGAAAGGAGCAAGGATTCATTCAAAGGTGAGTTTGATTTATTGAAATATTTTTTATTTATTCAAATGCCTTAGATAGATTATTACTTAAGAAAAGTAAAAATTAAAAAAAAAAAATGAACCCAAATTCCAATGTTATATTTCTATCAGATATGTACCAATCCCTTAAATCCAAATGGAAATATCAACTCTAGACCCTAGAAGGAGGAATAGAAAAACTTCAACTCCAGTTCAAAAGAGAAGTACTCCAATGGACATCAGAGCACTGCAGACTAAATGGAAATTAAATAGCCAACCGACTAGCAATAGAAGGAGCTGCATCTTCTCAAACAAACTACACTCAAACTCTACAGGAGGTTATCTCTACAAATAAAGCTGCTTTACGAAAAAAGTGGAATGATGCCCATCCGCATTACAATCCTGAAGACGATTATTATAAAATGAGCAGGAAAGAGCATGTTTTATTTTCTAGACTCAGAACAGGTCACAACAGGATGAAGGCATACCTCTAAGAGAGATTTAAAATTGGAGAAAGCCCTCTCTCTGTAGCTGTGGAACAGGTTACCAGAATACAGAGCATATCCTTCAGACTTGTCCTGAGTTAGACGAAATCAGAAAATTTGGCCAAATCCCAATAACTTGACGATGAAGCTCTACAGTGGTCTACCAGTCTGAAAAATACCTTCGAGTTTATACTCTTAATCCCAGACATCACCATTTGAAGGAAGTTCAAAGAAGAACTAAAAACACGCTGCAAATTATTCCACAATTGTTTATTATTTCCAAACAAATATACATCTAAAGTAACATTACCTTCCTAGTTACAAAGAAAAATAAATAAAAGATGGTTCCAATTATTGGACTAAACTTTTTTTTTTAATCATTAGTAATATGCTAAAAAAAAAAATAGCATTACTTCAGTAACACATTCAAAATTTAAAAACCAAACAAAGGATATAACAATAACATTTGGAGTAGAACATATAAAAAAAAAAAAAAAAAAAAAAAACAGGAGACCATATCTTTGCTCCTAATTGTCCAATTTTTTTTTTTTTTTTTTTTTGGAAATTCCGTAAACTTTTAAAAAACCATACACAATATCAACAAAAAAGTGTATGCTTTTTAAGTTATTCAGAATTAAATTTTACCATCCCTTGTAACATTTTTTCCAGCTTCTTTTCGTTGAAGTATGTTATATAGATAAATTTAAAGGGCGTCAAGAAAAGGACTTTAGCGAAGTTTCATTGAAATTAGTTTATTCGTTTAAGTGCTACAGTCTGCAGCAACGGAGGTTTTTCGGCTGCCATTTTGAAAGTAAAAGGCGGATAGTAACGTCGATGAAGGAGAATCATCCTCGAGTGACTCTAATTTTATATCCAAATTTGAAAAAAATCGGTCCAATAGTTTCGGAAAAAATGCACGGGCGGTGGACGAACAAAAAAATTGTTATTCGTTTTTCGGATTCTACGCATCCTGCAACGTGAAACTTCAAATTTTGAGTGGGGGTTAAGTTTTTGAATTTTTTGGTCGATCACAATGGTTGATTATTGAAAATAATAAACCAAAAAAATAACTAATCAGTTATTAGAGTGTCAGGTATATTGTGTGTTTTTAGACAGTCCAAGTCTGTTGGCTTCATCCAAAGATTTACATATCTGGGGATTTCTAGTGGAAAATTTGTGTTTAAGTTAGCCCCATAAAAAAGCTGAATTGGGTTACAAAAAGTCTAGTAATTTTGGTTTTCAGATATATTCTTATGGAAGGCGAGATAAGATAAAGAGTTTAAGTTTAGACAAGTTTTCATGATCACTATGAATGGATTTATGAACTGAAATTTTTATGAGATTTTCTTTAATATCTTACTTAATACCATGAGTTTTTTTTTTCAATTGTTTCTTTCGTCTTCAAAGGGATGAAATATGGGTTTTCCTGAGAGTTGTCATTTTCCTCATTTTACCACAGCTGTGATGATTAAAAGATCAGGGATTTTAAAAAATCATAACAAACAACTTAAACAAGAAATATAATACTGTGAAAGAAAACAAACTTTTATTAAAATATACCAAAATGAAATGCTATAAAGCCGCATTTATTGTCCCTGTGACTGGCATCTATCTGGTCCCATCCGAAACACTCAGAATGAGCATTAAGGCATTTGCAGTACCTGTACCTGTACCACAGCTCATCCTTGCCTTCCTCCGACCACAAGAATCAGAATTCATCATCACATTTTGACCAAACTAAAAATCATCAGTAACCACAACTGTCGTAAAAGAAATGAGTCTTATATTAGTTTCTGGTATGGAGTTGTATATTCAGAATATTTTAGTGAGAAAGTTGACAAATTCTTAGGCTGCTGATTCCTTGTGTTTTGAGATTCCAAAATTACTTCAAAGTGTTCTGTATGTGAACATTTGGTCATAACATAACTCAACATGGACATACATTTGTTTATACTTGAGAGTTACATAGTCCACCACTACACAATATTATGCTGACTAGGACATGCTGCTAACTGTAATTCATACTGAGAAATATAGAATTCGTCATTTTATTCCGTCTTCCTGTCTATATTAATCCCCACGTTAAAAATCTATGATTTTGACTTCCCTCTCCTTGTATCTTTTCTGCTATCTTCAAGAAAAATTAATTTTTTTCCTTAAAAATCCTTTAAAAACATTTTTTTTTTGTACTTCAGTCAAAAAGATGTTATTAACAATGTTAAATAACATAAAATGTTTCCATATTATATTATTATTTCCAAATATAATGATTAAATTGAGGAGTCATAGGTATTTATATGTGTTCTTGTTTAGTCACACACTTATTATGAATTCACCATCATCTAACATTTTTATTTCAGGTTTTCTTCATCCTTCGACTTCAACTCAGTTTGTTACTATATGTCTAATGTTGCCAACAGGTGGATTGCGATTCGTGTAGATACTGTTGCAGGTAATTGTTTTTTTTTTTTTATTTAATTTTAAAATTAATGTGCACAAAGAGTAATAGAAATTTTGTTATATTATGATCCGATTCGCATGATTTCTTTCGTTTTTGCCTTTTTTTGACATGTCTGAAACTATCTGTTAAAAAACTTTTGGTATGATCAGCAATTATTCGTGTATAAAAATGGAAAAAATTTAAATTAAATTTCGATTAAACAAAAAAAAAAAAAAAAAAAACCTGTTCCGCTACTACCCATGAAGGGTGTTGGGTTCAGTACTATTTAGGGAAAGCACTTTTTCTTAGTATACGGTTGTGCAAAGAGATGATTTGACCTAGATCATGTTCAACCACCAGATTTTTCTCCTTAATTATTTTAATTAAGAGTATCCACTTTATAGAGGCTGGGTGTGCCCCAGGGGAGTCTACCTATTCAGAGTCGCCCCACGGCCAATGAAATAGAATAAATAATTTTTCTGCCATGAGCCGGGATTCAAACCTCTGGGACCTTTACCATTGGAAGCTCGGTGCCCTACCACTGAGCTACCCCACTCTCTCAAATTATGGTAAAAGGATGCAATAAAGAGCTGCAATATTTTAGAAGTATTAAATAGTAAATATTGGTTTTGATAATCACCGTTTTTTATTTTAACAAACCTTAAATGTGATAATTACAATCCAGATTTTCATGTATACAAACGCTTTCCATGGCGGAAATTCACGAATTACGGTTTGAACTTGCTTGACCATCACCCTGCCTTACTCACCTGATCTAGCCCCAAGCGACTTCTTTTTGTTTCCTTATCTAAAAATTGTTCTCGGAGGGCAGAGATTTTCATCAAATGAAGAGGCAATCACCTTCATGAACAATTATTTTGCAGAGAAAAACACCAGTTTTGGACGGTTTACAGAGATGGGAGCATTGCTGGGAGATGCTTGTAGAGTTAGAAGGCGAATATGTTGAAAAAAAAAAAAATGTCTAATATTTTTGTTAGACTGAAGGCGGGAAATGCTTGTTATTTTTCTGTGACAAAACTACTTAGTTCGTGCCTATTGTCCCGGAACTTAAAAATTAGAATCTATAAAACAATTATCTTGCCTACAGTTCTTTATGGATGCGAAACTTGGGCTTACCTTAAGGGATGAGCAGAATCTTAAGGTTTTTGAAAATAAAGTATTGTGTAGAATATTCGGACCGAAGAAGGATGAGTTAACCGGAGAGTACAGACGAATACACAACGCCGAATTGCGTGAACTGTATCCGGGTAATATAATTGAGGTAATTTCATGGCGGCGAATCAAATGGGCTTGTAAAGTTGTTGGGCTTAGTAACGAGAGAATTCCTAATAGGTTAATATTTGCTGTGCCGAATGGTAAGCGTCCGAGGGGTAGACGGAAGCGAAGGTGGGAAGATTGCATTAAAGCCGATCTGAAGGGACTGGGTTTGGATGGCGAACAGTGGAGGGAGGTGTGTAATAAGCGATTGGTGGTGTCGGCATCGAACCTTCGGGTTCGCTAAGCCTTTTATTATTATTATTAATATTTTTGTCAGGTCGGAAACTTTTCAGACCTCCTATATAAGAATAACAAAAGTTAATGAAAATTAAAAAGAATTGTGTATAAATTAAAATTTAAAATTACTTTATAATATAAAGGATCAGATTATGACAAAAAATATAACAAATAACTTGTATTCAGTCAGTATATATTTGTTTTATTTAATAATTTCTGTATAAATACTGCAGTATAACTTCCAATTTTAGCTATTATTTAATTAATTTCAGATTTGCACCAACGAGTAAATTGCCCAATTAATGATGGCAAAACAATAACATAGAAACAAAAGAGATTGACTACAAAAGCTTGTATAAGTGCATTCGCAAAAAAAAATAAAATTATTTGAAAGAGTAAATTAACTACATATTTTTTATTTTATAATTTGATTTTTGGTTCAATTTTTACTGCATGTTTAAGATAGACATGTAACGTTTTTGTTTTGTATTTCTGATTTTATGGCAGGCTAAAATTGGCCAGAAAACCTCAAAACTATACTTACAGGCTTTTACAGTTTGGCTGTCAATATACATCATCTAAAATAATATATATAAATGAGATATACAATTTTATCTATTTATATTTTTTTATTCAGATATATTTACCCCTCTATAATTTTGTATTCTTTAACTTATAATGATGTTTTTATAATAAATAAATTAAATTAACTCATTGATTATTGTTCTCTATCCCCAGTTTTCATTCTATTTTGTGTTACGATGTGTGCAATTTGGATGAAGGGCACCATACCATCATCCCTGGCCGGGCTGGCGATAGCTTATGCTGCAGATTTAAGCGGAATGTTGCAGTATACACTTGTCCTTATCGCCGATATTGAAGTAAAATTTATTTCTGTGGAGAGGATAAACTCTTACCTAGGTGTATGTATAAATAGTTTTATTTACATTTTTAAAAATATAATTACCTTGCAAAATGATAGCTTGTTGCATTCCTGTAGATGTCAAAAAGCACAGAAAAATAATAATTAAAAGTTGAGAGGTTTGTCGAGTTCTAGCTGAAAATTGATGTAAGTGATACAAAGATGGCCAATACTCATTTTTCAGGAATAATTTCTGAATTTTGGGACCAATATCAATTGTATCAACACAAAAAACATTTCATTCTGTACGTCTGGGCTTTTGCTTCATGAAGGGTTAATGAAATGAATGGTTGTTATTATATTTTTGTTTACAGGAAATAAAGTAGAACCTTGATTTGTTTTAATGTGGGTTTAAATAAAACTTTCTGTTGTATTTATTTTATGCCTAGCCTAATAGGAACAGGAATAAGAACTTTAAAGATTAAAAAAAAATTTATAGATAGATAGAAAATAAACTTTATTCTGGGACGAGGTCCCTTATGAATAACAATTGTGAACAAAAAAATAAAAACCACATCAGGCCAAAAATTACATTAATCAACATTAAAGAATATATATGCACTATCTTCAGTGAAAGTATATTAAAACAAAAAAAAAAAAAGTAACACCATTTTGAAAAAAACAAAAACATTATTTAAATGAAAAGAAAAACAGAAATCAGGTAAAATAAAAAACAAAATAATATAAGCATGAGTTGATTTTTAAAATTAACACTAAAACAATTTCAACAACCATTCTCCTCAGTCAAAATTTGTTTCACAATATTTATTTCATTGTAAAACATCATTTTGGGATGTGAGAAGGAATTGGTAGAGATGATATTTGAATGAGGACAAGGAAGAAGCATGGCAGATATCAGATGGCAAGGAATTCCAGAAGGCAGTTGATTGGGCAATAAAGGAATATTCAAATGTCTTAGTTCTATGGGAAGGGATGTAAAGGTCGGAAACACGGGATCTTGTTTTCAGGGAGTGGACCACGGGTTTGAACTGTAGGAGACTGTAGATGTAGGAAGGGTGTCGGGTGTTGATCGTTTGGAATAGGAAAGATCCTAGAAAATATCGTCTGTGGAAAGAAGGGAAGAGCCACTTTAACTCTTCGTAAAGGTGGGATACATGAGACCGGCTCGATGTACCGAAGACAAATCTTAAGAATTCATGAGTCACTTCAATCTATCCTCGAGTACCATCTTGATGCCTCTGTACATCACACAGCCGTAGTCAAAGTGGGGGAAAATAAGGGAGGATACAAGGAGCTTGTGGATGGGTTGTGGGAGTAGATGGCGGGAGCGATGAAATAACTTAAGGGTACCTATTGACTTTCGGGAAATGAGGGCGATATGGGGTTTCCAGGAGAGGTTTTCGTCATTTGCGATTCCTAGGTTTTTAACGGAGGAGCTGAATGTGATAGGATGATCGTTAATGACTAAAGGAGAAAGGAAGGAGATGGATTTAAGAATAAAACTGGAACCTATAATAATGGCCTGAGTTTTCATTGTGTTTAGCTTTAAATTATTTATAAATAAATTATTATCTTTGTTTTTATATTTATAAGAGATTAGGGCTGGATCTAAACCAGCATTTTATCCAAAACTTTTGAATAAGAAATTAAGCTGTATATTTAATTTTGTATATTTAATTTTGAATAATATTATTAAGTTATGGCATGATTTGTCAAAGGAGGTTACGTGAATATATTTCATTTTAGAATACCATTTCAATATGTTTTTATAATCAATGTATTAATATTATGTAATTTTTTCATGTAAAGATTCTTAAGGCCAAAGAGGAAGGAGGTTGCGGTCCGAAGGGGATGCCGGAAGAAAACTGGCCCGAGCGTGGATCTATAAAATTCTCTAAAGTTGAATTGAAGTATAAAGATGATGCCGATCCAGTGCTTAAAGGAATCAGTTTCCACATTAAACCTGAAGAGAAAATTGGTAATATTTTATTTATTTACGGATGAAACAAAATATTCAGAAATTTCAATCAAAATTTCTTTAATCAGTTAGCCGACTTTTTGACCCTTCATGTGGCGGTCATCATCACGGTTCATTTCTTGTATGTACATTATCAGGCGAGAGGACGGAATATAATGAAGAAACCTGCGGCGAAGAAGAAGACACAGAGTGTTACGGAGAAACTAGTTTGTGAAAAAAATGAAAATATTTTTTTATTATCCTGGAACTATTGTCCCTTTAGGCCAAATTATAGATACAGAATAAATGCCTCAGTGGCCATACATTAAATTAAATATATACAATTCTTATTAAGATTAAAATTTTGTAAAAAGAATAAAATAAAACAATAACACTAAAAATATATAGAAAAGTATAATACAAACGTGGGAAAATAAAATAACATAAGTAAAGCAAATCATTTTTGGGGGAACTTTAAAAAGTTCTCTTACCCACATTTCATGATCAATCGGGTTGGGAAAGGAGTAGGTGCTTAAAAAGGAGAGATTTAAATGAGGAAACTGATTGTACATGTCTGATATCGGGACAACCAATTATGAATAAAAATCCATACACAGAAAAATTTAGAACTTTGTATGAAATTCAAAATAAAAATAGTCTGTGTTTTTATACAAACCCTAAAGATCAACAATAATCTTAAGATGCGTTCAAACATTTCACGAATTATGAGTCAAATAAATATATAAATGGTTATTTGACTATCCCATTAGTATTATGTGAAGTTACTTATTTCTTATCTGGTGCGGTGCACCCATCACACAGCATTATTCGATCTTATATATAAAATAAAATATTACACAGTCACTAAACACTTTTTTATATAATAGAGATATATATATATTTCAATATTGTTGGTTAGGATTCCATTTTATTATTAAATTTTAGATTTTTTGTGTTTTAGGTATAATTGGCAGAACTGGTGCAGGTAAAAGTTCCATTATGACTGCTTTGTTCAGGCTTGTCGAAATATCCAATGGAAACATAATTATTGACAATCTAGATATAGCTAATTTAAATTTGATCGAACTTCGACGCAGATTATCCATAATTCCACAAGATCCTGTAATATTTTCTGGAACTATAAGGTAAATATATCTAATTGATGTATAAGTGATAATAGTTTATTATTATATTCTTAATACATTACATTTCTTTTTTTTTTTTTAAGTGAAATCTTTAAGCGCGTTTTGTACTTTTCTTGTGGAGCGTGAATTAGATTGAGCCGTCAAATCTCTGATGTGTAACGCTCGGGTAAAGTAGACTAAGTGAAGTGTTTTTGCATATGGATTAAAATATCTCAAAAACTAAAACTAATGTAAATGAGGGAATTGTTCAGAATTTTATCCTCTCTGTAATTGGCTATTATTCAAAATTATATCTTTACACTACACCATGTTAGAGAGAAGAAAAGGGAAAAAAATTGTGTCAGAAGCCAAATGATAAGAATTTTTATTGAAGATATATATTAAAATATCTCAGAAATTAAAATTGGACCTGCATACTGTATACGAGAGCATTGTTCAACATTTCATCCTCTTTATAATGAACTATTATTTATAATTTATATTTAATATTATTAAACTCACCTTGTTGATGTTTTCACTTCTATCGTGTGGTCTAAAGCGCGTTTTGTTTTTTTATTGGAGCATTTTTAAATATTACAGATATTGTCAAATTTTACCGTGTTTTAGATCACAAAAATTCTTCTAAATTTACCACCAATGGTGCTAGAATAATAATTTATTACTCATTTTAAAAAAAAAAAAAACATGTCTTCCTTGTTTTCAAAATTTAAAAATAAATCACGTAAATCCAGACATAGATCAGATCAGGCTATATCATCTAAAGAGCCCTTCAGGCCTCTGGTAATTAATTATAAATTTACCCAGTTAACAATTTTTAAATCTAATAGCTTTTTTTTCGAAAATTTTTAACCAAAGATCATATATATATATATATATATATATATATATATATATATATATATATATATATATATATATATGGCATATGTAAAAATAAAAATAAATATTATCATTTATATTTGCCTTCTTTTTTGACTGGCCACCCCAACTATTCTTCTCTTCATTGTCCATGACAGTCAACCATTTACCAATTATTAACCAAAGATCAATCAGTTTACAGATAGCATTAATATTACTATGTATCTATAATAATCCACAGTACAGACACATTTTTATCAAATTATTAATGTACATCTAAAGCTGCGTGAACGGCTTCATCTTATAGTAACTTGGTCACCCCTGCCTCATTAAATAGAAAAAAATTACCAATCTTCAGATTGAAAATATCCCATTTCTAAAAATTATCATAAATAACAAAGTTGTAGATTAATAACCGACTCCTGAAATTTAAGAGAGATGTTAATAATTTAATAAAGATGGATCTGTACTATTATTATATTTCATTCTGTTAGAAATTCTTAAAAAAAGACTTCATTATATCTATGTATCCTATCTAATTTAAATTTTGTTATCTGAATTTGTTTTAGTTTTAATTTAATTTTAAATTTAGTTCATTAAATTTTCAGGTCAAATTTAGATCCACTCGAGAAATATAAGGATGAAGAGATTTGGTCAGCTCTTGAAAAAACTAGTCTTAAAGAGCGAGTGATGATGACCGAGAACAAACTTCATGCTAAAGTTGATTTCAACGGTAGCAATTTATCAACAGGAGAAAAACAATTACTCAGTCTAGCGAGGGCATTATTAAAGAATTCCAAGGTATCTTTTGGATAACTTTGTTATGAGTAATACTTTTTTTTTTTTTTTTTTTTTTTTTTATTGGACTACCTCCTGCCCACCATTTTTGGCACACAGGAGGGTTGTTCTATAGCTACAACCAAACCTATTCTACCCAGAGTGGGAGGGTTGAGTTTTATTCTGTGGCTCTGCCATGAAATAAAAGTCAACCCCTAACAGGCTGGATTCAAAATTTCAGAATTCAGACTCAAAATGTCACTAGGCATGAGGATGCTAGACCGGGCAACGCTCCAACACACTCGCCCATCACTACCTCTGTTATGAATAATCATCTCATAGGCGCAGACTTCAGGGGGACGATGCCCCTGCCTCCAATATAAATAGAGAGGTTGCGGGAATATTATTTCATCCCTTCCCCAATATTCCGAAGAACAAAAATAAAGTCAAAATCAATAATAATTAATCTACATGAATGAATTATATTAGATAATTAGATTTAGCAACCAATCCTAGGATTTTATCACATTTCCTGCAACAAATTTGAAGCATTAGAAAATTGAGAGTTCATCTCACTGCCTCGAACCTTTAAATAAAAGTAAAAATATGTATTCAATTCAATTTCTTTGTTAACATATTTTCAAATAAATCCATACAAAAAAACAATATATAAACTTATTTTTTTTTATATATAGTATTATACTGTTCATTTTTCAATAATTATGTTGATTATCACTCATAATTTTTATACATATTAACTCCCTAAACTTTTTGGGGGGATCCATCGCCTCCCCAATCTGTATGGAAAATCTGCGTTTATGAATCATCATCATAATTAACAATGTATCTGATATCTTTACTTGTTTTTTTTTGCAATTCTTATGTTTTAGAAAACACAATAAAGCAAAATATTTAATCTGAACTATTTCTTTTAAGATTTTGGTACTGGATGAGGCCACATCTGGTCTGGATTTCGAAACTGAGAAAATTATCCAGAGAACTTTATTCGAAGAAATGAAACATTGCACGGTTTTACTAATAGCTCACAGGTTGGAGACGATAACGTCCTGCAATCGTATTCTTGTTATGGACAGCGGAGAGGTAATGAATGTTTTATTATTAATTGGGGAAAAAACTTGGTGGTTGAGGGTCCTCCTGTCAAATTTATTTTCTTGCCCGATTTACAACTTATACACTACTAATTGTATTTGCTCCCATATTTTTTTAGCATAAAATATGCTCCCATGTTTCATTCAGGTACACCGAGTTGAAGTGGCTTTATCCTGCTTCCCGACGACAATTCCTCCTTGGCGTTTTCCTTTTCCAAGTCCTCAGAACCAAAAACCCTCCCTACATCCTGGATCTCCTTAATTTACGTTTCTTTATCCACTCTCTCAATACCAGGTCTCAATCTATAGATTTATATATCCTCTCTCATAAAACTACTTCCTTCGGCAAATCCTTTGTTGTTCGTGCTGCCTCCTTTTGGAACTCTCTACCTAACTCCATTCGCCAATCCTCATCCACAAATTCCTTCAAACAACTCCTGTTCCACCACCTACTCCATATTTAAACTTATGCAAACATGTAAAATTCACTTGCGTCTCTACAAAGTCTAAATAAATCGACTGCACGATTGCAATAACAATCAACAGTTAATTAGGCACGATTTTGTATTTATCTAAGGCAGACTAATGTACTTAATTATATAACTGTTATTATTCTTAGGGGACTGTAGTACCAGAATAAAATTATTTTTCATTTCATTTCATCTCTACAACTGTTTAGTTCTAATAATTTATATACCATTTACCTAATAGTTTATATGATAACATAATTGTCATTTTACGTTTACAAATTAATTAACGCTTAATGTTATAACCTGTTTCCCTATTCTTAGATTGCTGAATTCGATGAACCTGCTGTACTCCTCAACAACAGTAACTCCTTGTACTACCGCATGATGGCCGCCTCTAACCAAAATGAATTCTAAATGATTCTTTTTATATTATATTTTCTTACGGAAACTCTCTAATTCAAGGTCATTCGCTCCTTTGGCACTCTATTACGTCATCTTTCTGAAAATATGTCTGACGTTGTTCAATTGTGGATATTATTAGCTTTTCAGACTCTACAGCTCTTAATTTTTTTTTTTTAAATGAGCTTGTTCCTTTCTTTGAAATGTTAATTTCAAACAAATGTGATCGTTTTAAATTTTATTAAAAGTTACTACATATGTGCTAGCCTTCCATTCAGATATCTAAAGTTTTATTTATTAATTTTTTTAGTTCAATATCTCTTTGGCCTAAATCTCAGTATTTTGGCCCTTCTATTAACCCTCCCTTCTCTCCATAATGATTTGTAGGATTTCATAAATGTTCTAATTATTTATTTATGTTTACAAAAAATAATATATTTATTATTACATTAATAATGTATAATTTTAAGATAATTAGGCTTTCTTCCTAAAGCTTTTCCGTTTTAATTATATCGTTTTATTACCTTCGTTTTCAAGGTACTTTTTAGTATTCCATTGTAAAAAGCCAAAATTAATTAAAGCATATTAAATGTGTTCTTTTCAAAACAAAAGATTTTGCAAATTATCTCGTAGTGATTTATAGCTCTTCCTGAAAGCCAACAAAGAATAAATTTATGCATTGAATTGCTTATAATTATGAATAAATTTTTTATTCATGTAATCTAGTGGTGTAATTTGTATGTATGGACAGTTTAACTATTGAAACTTATTTGAAAACATTTACTAAATCATATTGACTAATGTAGCGACATTATATAGTCTTTTCCCGTGGATGATGCGAAAGTCCCAAAAGAAACAACTGTCATGAACAACTAATGAAACTGTCTTTACTATTTAGCTTGAAAACTCATTGAAATGTCAACGACTTAGCAGACGAATGAAGTCGTTGAGTGTGAAAGGAGCCTTATTGTTGGATGAATTAGATTGTGATAAAATATACTTAAAGGACTCAGGATTATCCATTAGAAGAATTTTATTAATAATATTATCGAGCAGTATTTTTATTAAAAATATATATATTATTATTTTTTCAGAACATTTGAGCTTTATGACAATAGTTGATTAATTACTTATTTCAAGACTGAGATGCCTTTGAAAAAAAATGTATATATATGTATATATCTGGTACAAAATACGATTACTTAGTAAAATTGTACTTAATTTCCATAAATGATAAATGCCAATATAGTTATTTAAGATTTAATGTTATTTATAATAATAGAATTTCACATTTGATCCAGCAATCTTTCTTTATTTTTTATTCACTGACGTTTCGGTCATTTTCATTGGGAAAAAAATAAATAAAACATCTCAGCCTTATAATTCATATTAATTATTTTTATGATAACATTTCCACTTATCTGCTTACATAGATAATTTTAAAATTTAACAAATTTTGGGATAATTTGCCTCTATAAAATTTTTATCTAGTTCTATATATTCTAAAATTATGTTTATTCACAACTTATTGCTTGGTAATTGCAAAAAGTCATTAAGTGACATTTCATAACGATAAATAATAAAAGAACTTGGATTAATTTTGTGAAAATGGAAAATTGTGCATTTAGTATAACTGTATATGATAAATAAAAGTTTGTATTATTTTCATACACGTATGTTGTTTTTGTATGGATAAGTTAAGATTGAAAATTAACCTGAATCAAAAATGAACTTCATCACTTTTAGCAATAAACTCCATCAATCTTAATTATATCTTAAGTTTAATTATATCAATAATGAAAAATGTTTTCAATAAATATAACATTATGAGAAGAGGTTTTAGTATTGTATAAAAATGGTTTTAAAAAATTAACCCATAAGGTTTGAATTTTAAAATAAATTAAGTCAACAGATAAATGAAAAATGTGATTATTAAAATAATTATTATAAACTATAATGAGCCTGTGATATGTTTTTTTTCTTTTGAAAATAGTCCAAAGTTCCGAAATGTTGATGAATGACAAAATTAAGTAAGATTGATGGATCAAATGTGAAGTTAAATTAAATTTAATTTAATGGATTAAAATTTGATTGAAAATAAAAATGAAACTAATAAAACTACAATGTGGAAATTGTAGAATTATGTTTTCTTAATAATTTATTCTTACGGAGAACAATGATTGTTTTAAATTTTATTGTGATAGTTTATCCAAAGTTGTCTGTTTAGGAAAATTGTTTTTATATATGTTTATAAATATTGTTATAAATTTATTGCTTTATTAAAAAAAATCTATAAATGTTTGTTATACAAACGATGTTTGGTGCTATGAATTAGATAAGCTCTTGCCTTAATAGCTTTTTAAAGAGATAAGGTCTTCCTTCATGGAATAATTATTTGAATAAAAATAATGTTCATTATTTTTATTATTTATTCATTGTATTAACATTTAAAAAAAATAAAAAAGTGTCAAAGTCATATTAAGAACTAGTCTAATTCAAAAATCTATTATCTTCTTTCCTGTCCTTTTCCTTGAAACTCTCAAATTCACTACTAATTCTATATAAAACATCTTAGAATTATGTTTAATCTAAAATTATAGCTTTAACTTTCTACTGTTTGTTACTAAGATTGAAATATTACTAAGGAAATGGGGAATGTGAAAATATAAAAATAGTAAAATGTTCTACCGTTGTACTTGTTTTAATATGTTTATTCACAAAGACATAGAAAAATGACTTAAATCGTCTTGGTCGAAGTCGACAGCATCAGTAACTACCATTGAAATATAATTTTCAAACACATTCCGTAATTTATCACTGTCTTCGAAGATGTTCACACGCTCGTAAGTAGTTTTGGACATTTCATCACCTGTTACAGAGATTATGTAAGAAAAACAAATTATTTTACTATGGAAAAATTTAATATTATAAGTATAAGATATCCTGTGAATTTGCTTAATAATTTTTTTTTTAAATTATATGCTTTCTTAATCCAGTACCAGTATATTATTTTAAAGGATAAAAAGGTCACTTGATATTGAAAAAGTACATTTATAATAGTCTTTCCTCTTTAAAATTTTAGTTTTATGATAGTACTAAATATAAAAAAGAGTAAAATGCAAACATAGCCATTTTCAAAATGTATAAGTGAACAAATATTATAAGACGTATGCTTGAATATGAGAAAATAATTTCTGAAAGGTTGAAAATGTCATGCACATACTGTATGAACAAAGCATTTAATATTTGATTATTTAAAAATAAAGTAAAATGTTGAAATTATTGTATACCGAAATCAGGCATTGAAGCCTTGAAACCTGTTTTTTTTGTATGAGCCATAATGAGAGTATTCTTTTTCGGAACGTAGCTATTAGTAACAAACTGTTCGTAGTATTTTTCTAATTGTGAACTTTGTTCCATATCTTCTGGATTGTAAATTAATATGACACCGTGAGCATTCCACAGAAACACTGGCCAATAGCTTTCATATCTGTGAATCGAACAAACATAAAACTAAATTAAAACGTTGTTTATAACACTAAATCTAGTCTAGTCCCAGACTTTTGTATGGTTAAGATTAATTTTGAAAGATCTATTTTACGTTTACCAACCTCATTTCTCCGGAGCAGTCCCAAAGCTCAATCTCTGTTTGAGATGATTCGTTATTTTTCAGTTCAAATTCTAAAATCCTTACTCCTGGCGTAGGGCGGTATTCTGTATTCGTGTAATCAATAGCTTCAGAGAGAAAATTAGCAATTGTTGATTTGCCTGACTAGATTAAAAATATTCTATATCAATCAAACACAGATTACAAAATCAAAGAACAACAAAAATATTTAAACATACTTTACTAGGACCAATCAAAACAATTTTTAGTTTAATCATGTTGTTGCTTTCTCAAATAACAAGTTGAACATAATATATTTCAAAACATTTAAGAGGGAAACCTAAGAACACTGCATTGTATAATCAATCACTGACATGTACATCGCCATGGTAACCAGTCACAACTTATGCCATGTTGGATTTTAAATCTGATAACAACTGTATTTAATGAACAACAACAACAGTATTTAAGTTTTTAATGAAATGTTTTATATCTATCCCCATTAACCATTTATAGCCTCACTGTGGTATAAATTATGAATTAAATCGAAGTTACTATTTTTAAATCTAATTCAGATATTGAGATGTCTAGCATAAAAAAATAAAACTGATTATAAAAAATCCTTAGATTTATTATATAAGGTAATAAAGAATATTTATTTAATTTTTTATAATGAAGTACAGTGTTTTTTATATTTAATCTTTAAAAAAGGAATATATTCTTCAATCATTTCGTGGATTTAATAAGCAAAATAATTTAAAAGTTGATGATACCATTTTATGATGATGTTAATATAATTTAACATTTAAGAAAAATGAAAATCCTTAAGTTATATAAATAAAAATAATTTCAAGAAAATAAATTATTAAAATTTGTAGAAATGACAATGTTGTAAACCCTGTTAAAAAAATGTCCTCTAATTAAAAAACCACAGCTGTAAATATAAGTTATATTAAATAGGCTATCAGCTCTGTATGTAATAGGATTTTTCGGCAATTTGCATGCAGTTTATTGCATCTTTGTTGATTCTACCTATCCATTTGCTTTTTGGCCTTATACGTGGTCTCTTGTTAAATATTGAGGCATTCATTATTGTGTAGAGGCGTCCTGATGGATTGCTCCTATATACCCATCTTCATCTTTAACCTCTTTGCCTTCATATCATGAAATATTTATTGATCGATCAGTTTCTGTAAGCAGCTCTTTGTTGGTGAATACATAACCATGTTAATAATAAACAAGGATATGGTCTGCATAGCAGTGAAGATTGCATTAAAAATAACAAAAAAAAAAATGATTGAATACCAATGTTTCAAGGCTCAACAGAATTTCTAAGACAAAACTTATGAAAATATATTGATAGTAAAGTAATAAATGAATAACAATGACGCATCGAAAAATCACAAGTTGACATTGTAACTGAATATGGAAGATAAAGTAATAGATTAAAATTGAATAGATTTAATTTTGTAAACAGCTGAGATTTTCATCTTTATTGTATATTATATTCTTTGTTTTTGCCCTGAAGATTTTTTTTGTCCTCCCCTTTCTTGCCTTTTAGGCTATACAGGGACGGGGGATTAATTCCAGAGTTAAAAGCCCACCTTAGCACCGGGAGGCGAAATCATTATTATTTTATCAAATTATCTTCTATCTCAGTTGCCAGACAACACAGTGATGTGCACACCCCTTAACCCTGAAGAACTTTAACATTAAATAAGTAGTTTTTCAGTGACTTTCAGTATCTTGACCGTCACTGGGGATTATTTTCTCTTTTGTTATCGTATACAAGATAATTTGTCAGTTTTGTCAAAAATAATTTTACTATTTTTAAAATATTTGTTTTTTACCCAATCAGTTTCAGGACTAATAAATAAGTACATAAGAATGGTTAAAAACAAATATTTTAAGTGAAAAATTGAATGGACTTAATACTGAACGTATCTCAAAAGATATCAATGCCATAAAAATATAAAATCTGAATATCTATAATGAGTTTTTAATTCAACGTTTTTTTTACATGCTTGAATTTTTTTTTAATGTTTCCCAATTTTTTTTGTTTTGGCCAGTCTAAGGTACTTCTTACTGAAAAGTAGATGTAATAGTCTTGGAAATAATAAAACACTTCATTCATTTAGCCATTTATTAACAGGCATAAACATCTATTATCTAGCAAATACATATAAAAATAAACATATATATACACATTAATACAATAAATATTTGTAGCAGAGCAAATTAATAAGCTTATAAGTTAATAAATACAAAAATACTGTCATAACATGAACTGAGAGAACACATAAAATAAATAAATTTTATAATAAGAATAAAAGAAAAACTTTATCAATCCAACCAAATCCAATGAAGGGTTGTGCGGGTTGTACAGATGTGTGATTTTCGACCTTATGATATTCTTGGAAGATGCGATACTTAAGAAAGCTTTTATTTTCTGGATAATATCAAATATTCATTAAAAATTTAGTGGTCCCAGGATCTTTAAAAGGATGGATCACATCTTTATGAAGCCCACTAATATTCTGTTCATCGAAAATTTTAACTGAATTCTTTTTTAGACTAGTTATAGAAAAAGTGCTCTTAGCAATGTCAAAGAAAAATCCAAAGATTCAATTATAAAAATAAAACAAGACTTATAATATGTACAATATATGTATAATCAATGTATGTATTAGTAATTGAATAGTGGTGCTTTTATTGGAATAGTAAGCAATCTTTTTCTTTTCATTGAATAATGGTAACCTAAAAAATAATAATACAGTAGAATCCCACTTATTAGAAATATAAAACTAGTTCCTCCTTTTTTTTTTCTCCCTTTTCAGGTGTATGCGTTTTTTTTCTGTGCCAAGGAAGAAGGCAAGAGATTAATGTATGAGTTGAAAGTCCTCCCGGTACCAGGATTTGAACTTATAATCTTCAGTTTATCAGGTTGCTGGACAACGCCGCCCTCACAGCTAGTTCCACTACTTGTCTTTATCTTTTCCTTTTCTCTGCATGATGTCGTAATATTGACTGGTTTCTAACGGCAACTTTCCTTCTATTTTCTTCATTCCTTTATTTCTTCATTTCTACTTTCCTCTACTAAAATTATGAGAACATGCAGTATCATGACCTTTTCAAGACTAGATACCACCTTGATACACTCTATATCCATCTTATCTCAATTTTTTTTTTTTTTTATCTCTCGATATCCTCGCTACTGCATAATTTATTTCTGTGGGCAGGAATTTCTTCTTAAGATCATCTTTTATATTCCAGGTTTCTAATCATAAAAATCAATACTTTTATATATTTTATAAAATTCATAAGTTCATTTGGCTTTTAAAGGGTGAAATGAAACTATTTTTTTCATATGAAGAATATATTTTATTCAATAATGTATTCACCGTTTATTACCATTTTCCCAACAATTCCATTATTCCTCTCTCGTAAAACATCTTTGACTTTGAAGCAAAAAACTGATCAAGATATGTTTTTACATCTCTCTCATCAGCAAACGATTTCCCATTGTGGAAGTTTTGGAGGGACCAGAATAAATGGTAGTCGGATGGTGCAAGGTCCGGAGAATGAGGTGGGTATATTAAAATCGTTCCCGTATATCTTACATATCCTTCGATGGGCCTCCGAAGCTCGCTTGCCGGTTTTGATGCTGAAAATTCACTTTATTATTTGACATATTCACTACATTGTAGCATAAACAAAACTAATGCCAATGAAACCAAATACAACAGTTTTGAATAGCAGACTTTGACCTTTCCGATAAGTATCGTTATTGTCAGATAAGACATACAGAAGATAATTGAAAACAATTTGCACCCCTAACAAAAACCGAATAAACTTATGGATCCACCCAATATATTCCTTTTGGTTTCAAGCATTGTATTTTCTACTCCATAATATTATAATACTCCATAGCAATGATATAATTTTCTCTTCTGTGATCCTTTTTTTTTTTTTTTGTTCTCCACTTCCTCACCTTTTAGGCTATATGGGGTTTTTCCCTGGACCAAGGGATAGTGCAGAGAATTAATGCCAGAATTAAAAGTCATCTGACACTGGGACGTGAACTCGTAATTATTTTATCATAGTGTCTTCATTTATCAGGTTACCGGGCAACGAGTAATTTGCACACTCGTTAGCCCGCTTGGCCACCCCACCCCCTAAAAACACGAAAGAGGAACCTATTATTGAACTGAGGATCTTGACTATATGAGTGTAGCACCACACCATCACTGTACTTTACCTTCTGTGATCGTTATTTTATTTCTACATCGCAGGACCATCTGATTATATTGGGGAGATATGTATTTGAAGCACTGAACTCTTTTCTTTATATTATAATTAATGAATTAAATGGAATGTTTTTTTCACTCTTGCATTTAAAATTAGATAAAATTTAAAATTATAAGATTTATAAGCGATAAGAATTTTTCTTTTACTGATCGTAACATCTCTTATTCAGAATTTCGTGTTGAACGGGAATAACCTTTGCTATATTGTTCCGTTTAAATGAGATTCTACTGTAGTTTAAGAAATAATGCATTTCAGATAGTATACAGCAAAAGTTGAAAGGGGCTGGATACGGAATCGCAGCTTATCCCATACATACACAATAATTCAGAACTGAAACAATAAAAAATTGGATATACATGATAATGGTAGACTTTTTTTAATTTTGTTTTTTTAAGTAAGAATACTCTTTAATAATAATAGATTATTAAATTTTCCACTGACTCGATATCATCCAAAACAGAATTGATTAAAACAGGGTCATAATCCATTATCTTCTTAGAACCTGTTAAGAAAGATGACAACAATTAAAAAGTGCTACAAAAAAATGAAATAATCAATAGTTAAGAAGTGATATCTCGTATCTACATTACGATCCCTTTACAGTAAAGACAAAAATCTATTTTAAAACACAAGTTATGTAAAATTAGTAGTATTTTTGCCTGGAAAACAATCAACAATGAGAGGGAGGATTATTTATTTACTTAATTCCAGGAAATTAGATTTAAAACTAGTAGTCCATGGTAAAGATCGCTTTTTATCAAATTATTAACATCCATCTGAAACTTCATCTCATCTTAATCTAAAACTTTTTTATTTACAAAAATTCTCGGCATTGGTGTGTTTTCAATTTGGAGGTCGGTAAATTTTGTCTATTTAATTAGGTACTAAAAAAATCATGAACACCCATTTGCTTTCTACTTTAATTGTATGATAATTTGATCCCAAAATCGAAAATAAACATGGCCGTTTGGCGTGACCTCCACCCTCAACATGTCAAAATAACAAAGTTTTACAGGTCAAGTGGACAAAAATGTTTGAAGGCAACTTTTTTTCTATTTTTTGATCCAATTATCTTACCATTTAAGTGGAAAGCAAATGGATAATTATATGAGGAAATGCCCCATTTCTGAGAATTTTTGTAATATAAAAATGTTGTAGGTTACGATAAGATGAAGCCAATCATGAAGTTTTAGATAGATGTTAATAATTTTATAAAAGGGGTTGTTACTGCGGACTATTCTGTCCTTAACTTATTTCCTTCCTGATGATGGACTCAACATTTATGAAACAAAGACAGATCAAACTCTTTGCTATTCAACCAGGTAATTTCAGGACTTTGATCACAGCGTAGTCAAAGATAATTAATCAGATTTCTGACAGGAAGCTTATTGTAGTACATGAACAGTTACGAGGTTTCACTCTTAGCCATCAAAATACAACTTAGGTGTTTATTTTAGCATTTAGTATTTTTTTTTTCTTTTTAAATTATGTTGTTTAATTTCTTTAAAATTTTAATATTTATATATATTTTCGAAAATCTGAATATATTTTAACAATATCTGAAAATGTGATTGTTTTATGAAAAAATTAATTCTGAATGAAAATACTACCTGAATAAAAAGGCAAATCTTCATTGAAACAAATATCTGCATTACTAATTGCTTCAGAAAGTAAATCGGTATCACTTCGAGGCTCGACGTTAAACGAAGATATCATACTCGAAAACGAAGATTCGATATCTTTATCTGATAATGAGTAACTTTCATCAGGTGAATCGTTGATCGCTGATAGTGATACATCTCCTGGTGAATTCAGTTCCATGACTGGAGACGGAAGTCTGTCCACGCTGCTCAGAAGCGGTGAGCTCGTGTTCATGATGGAAGAATCATTTAGTACATTACTGTTCCAATTATCTATAAGTGAAGAAGAGGTCCTCATTTCAGACATGGCTGACAGCCTATCTTCGGATTCAGAAGGATCTACGATTGATGGTGATGTTTCTGTTACCGGATTTAGTAAATTATTACTATTTTTTAGTTTATTTAAAGAGTTTCTTCTAGAGTAGGTTTTAAGAACTGGTTGAACTTTAATGGTTTCCATTTCTGATGAATCCGGGGAAGCAGGCCTTTTATTTGTTTGGATTATTGTGTCGTTCATCTCGTCTTCAATGGGATTAAGAAATGAGCATGTTACAGTAACTGAGGCGTTCGGAGATAAAGTTTCTTGAGCTGTCTCCTGATTTTTTTCTGAAAAAAAAATAACAAATTAAAGTATAAATATATTAATAAAAAAAGTACAATAGATGATATTGAGGAAAAGGATATGTAATCCAAATAAAAAATCCAGTGAACTGATATATGCAAACATTTTATTTTGATTGAATATTCAATGGTTGACCGTATTATAATATTGAGGAAAGAGAAGGTCTGGAGTGGTGTTCATAAAAAAAAATAAATAATTAAAATAGTGAAAAACTATTTTATTTTAAGCCAACATTTCGATTCCACCATGCAAGTCAGTCTTCTTTGGAGCTAGAACGAACAAGATACATATTATTATATTCTATTATTTAGGCGTTCCAACAAGGGTTGCCTTTCACGTCAGGGCTGAGCTTCAGAGGTCACGGTCAAGCCAATCCCCATCCTGAAGACCTCGGTCCACCATCTCCTCTTCCACTTCATGTATCCATCTTTTCCTGGGTCATCCTTGCCTCTGTCTTCCCAGCGGTTGCCAATCTAGGATTCGGTTAGACCATCTCTAGGTAAACATCCGTCTTATATGGCTGTACCATATCAGTCTTCGCCATAGAGGAGCCTCCTTCCTGTCTCTAACAACCTTGTTCCTAATTCTATCCATCCTTGTCACACGTAGGAATCTCCTCCAAAAGTCCACTTCCACAGCTTGTTCCTTTGAATATAGCTGGGATGACAACGTCCAGGTTTCAGCTACATACGTCAGGATGGGTTCTACAATGATGTGGTATATCCTTTGCTTGTTTTCTTTTAGAACTCCGTCGTTCCACAAGATACATAGGATGTAGGAAATTTTAACAGTTACAAGATATTTAGAAAATTATAAACAGTATAAATAGAAATTATATAAAAGTATTAAGAACATTAAAATAAAAACTGAGTAAATGAAGTATTAAGAACATTCAAATATAAAACTAAGTAATCAGAAACTAAAATAAAATGAAAAAAATTAGTAACAATAAATGAAGATAAGAAAAAATGAATACAATAAAGAGGATGGATGATATAGGAATCATAAATACAATATGGCAAATCCTAAAGAAAGATTAAAAAGAAAGCGAATGAATATAAAAAGTATAGAAGGAAGAATTAACAAATGGATAGAAGAATAAAAAAATAATGGACATAAAAGGGATTTGGAAAAACTGAAAAGAGTGATAAAGACTTGTGTATGGTTGGGATGGAGTTCCATGCGAAACTGCCAAGTCATTAGAATAGACAATGGAGTAATTAGCTGATATTGTTGGGGGCATAGAGGGAGTAAGAGTAGTAAAGGAAAATTATGAAAAACAAGAATAAAGAAATTTAAATTTTAAAGATATTAATGAATAAGAGAAAAATTATGATATCAACATAATTTGTTCATAGATTGAAGATTCAACGTTCTTAATACTTCATTTACTCTGTTTATATTTGAATGTTTGTAATACTTTTATATACATTCTATTTACAAGGTTTATAATTTTCTTAATTTTTTATCTAAGCATTTTGTAATTCCTAAAATTTTCTATATCCTTTACATCTTGTTTGTTTTATCCCTAATGAAGACCTGCATATTTGCATCCAAAGGTTAGCTTAAAATAAAATAGTTTTTCACTATTTTAAGATTTTTTTGATGACCCCCACCCCATACCATCTCTTTCTTCAGTTTCATTTTGATTTCTTCCCAAATAATTTCTAGAATTAAACTATAATTATTAAAATATAAAGGATAAATTAAACAATGAACATTCAGCCATCCTCTCCTCAATATTTTATGAAGTGGAGCAGAATTCACTGGCTATTTAATATTTCAGTCATATATTTTAAAAATAACTCACAAAGAGTTCAATAAACTAAATTAGTAATAATTGTATTATTAACTGATGACTGGATTAATTTATGCATATAAATATAATTACGATTTAACTTTACTAACAACATGAAATAAATTTTCAAACACTTCTTGATATAAAAATATAACCTTTAAACTGATAAGAGCCTTCTTCATAAAGAACTCACTAGCGCTAGAATCATTGAATTTAAACTCTCTAACCTATATCACCATTTCTTGCAAATGGGGAGGAGGGCGGGGAGGAGTTGATCTAAAGGTTCAACCAAACCTATTCAGTGGGACTGCCACAAAATAAATATTAACCCGCCAAGGCCGGGTTTGAACCAGCGTAGCTAGACTCGAGAATACTAAAAGAGGCAACACTTCTACATGCTCGGTCATCATGGCCTCATGGCCATTAACTGAATTCAACCGAACTATTAACTCAATTCTTATTGCTAGTTAATAGTGTAGCAATTGCTACATTGCTAGTGTAGCAATGTTGAAATAGCCAACGGAACCTTCCAGATTCGGACCAAAATCATTCCCTTGAATCTTATTGGTTGAAATCCGCCACCAATTTTCAAATTATGCATAACTTTTTCTATTTCATAATATTTGACACTCAAAACTATTATAATATTATATTTAACAAATTATGTATACTCAAAAGTAAATATTACAAACAATTAAATTTCAATAAATATCTATGAAACGAAACGAAAAATCACTAAAATATCTATTAATACAAACCTTGAGTAGAAAATGGAAACTTTTTAAAAGCAGGATCCTGAAGAAGGTTAGGATTCAATATGACAGCTTCTTTCCATTTGTAAATCATATCAAACGTCTCTGCAATCAGAAATATTTCATTCATCAATAGAAATCTTGATCAATGAATGAGAGCAATAACAATAAAGAAGAGAAAAACATTAAAATATTATCTGAAGACTACAAAATATTAAATTATTAAAAAGCCAAAATTTCGCCTTTTGTGACATATTTAGAACTAAAAATGTGTTGAATTGTCTTACAGTGATCAGTTTATAGTAAAAAATCACAATGTACATTTTTGATGGAGCAAAACTTTTGAATATGTTTTTGAGAATTTCAAGTTTAATTCTTTGATGCAAAAACATACTGAGTGGATCAAAATAACTCACACCATTTTATCCATAACAAATATTTACACTGTGAGCCCAATTTTTTTATCTCACACAGGAGAAAATTCAACAAAGTACTTAGTAATTTAATTTTTTGAAATGTTACTTAATGACTTTATGAAGGAAGTTAGTCGACTGTTCTACATATCATGGGTGATAGATAATCAGGACGCAGTCAATTTTTAAGTTTTTATTGCCAACATTTCACCTATTGAGGCATCTTCAGAACTAAAAATATGTGTTGAATCGTCTTACAGTGATTGGTTTATAGTAAAAAATCACAATCTACATTTTTGAAGGAGCTAAACTTTTAAGTATGTTTTTTGAATTTCAAGCTTAATTTATTGGTGCAAAAACATACTATCAAAATGATATAAACCATTTTATCCATAATAAATATTTACACTGCGAACACAATTTTTGATCTCACAAAGTACTTAGTAATTTAATATTTGAAATGTTACTTAATGACTTTATGAAGGAAGTTAGTCGACTGTTCTACTTATCATGGGTGATAGATAATCAGGAGGCAGTCAAATTTTAAGTTTTTATTGCCAACATTTCTTGTTGTTGGCATGTTTGCAGCCCTGAAGAGGTTCGGGTACTTTCAAACAAGCCAGTAACATGTCCTAATAATGACACAAGCTTGGATTGAAACATCAACAATAAAAACTTAAAAATTGGCTGCGTCCTGACTCATCAAAGACTTTTTGCATTAAACCATCAATATTCAGTGTCATTTCCAAGCACATTGAGGTACATAGAAGAAAAATAAATTTTAACAATATAATTTGTATTCATCATTTATGCTAGTTTCGATAAAATCTCCAAACCTCTAATAAAGTTTCTTATCTCTTATTGAAATAAAATTTTTGGCTTTGAATCTACAAGCTCAAGAAATGAAAATTTTACCTAATTTTCATTACAAAATATTTTTTTATTTTATGAAATGTACAACTGTATTAAAAATACATCAAGCCTTTTTTTAGTCTAGGGAGCAAAAAAAAGTCACAGGAGCCAGGTCTGGTGAATAGGGAGTTGAAAAATTGCTTCACAGACAAAGCAGTATGGATTGAACACACTTACAGCAATCAAATTTCACACTCTGACTCAAGGTGAGTTACCCGACAGAACAGTTCCGAAAAACTGTATTCCCAACGCACACCTCCCCTCTCCCAACATAGATCCATTCCCGAAACTTTTGGATCTCTCTCGTATTTAAATTCAGGAATTCACAACTGATCAAGAAAAATGGATACTAACATATAACGTAAAATATTTTAAAGTACTTACCTGTCTTGGGTATTGAAGGAGATACAGGAGATCCATCCAATGCCATCGGCCCATGATCTGAAATGTTTATATCAATAATATTAGGTTATAAACATTGCATTATCACATTGTTATAAGATGTTAATTAATTCTAGTCTCTAGGAAGTCTCTACGTAACAATGAATGCCTCAATAGAAGGCAAAAGACCACGTGGAAGGCCAAAAAAGCAGATGGATAGATAGAATCAACAAAGATGCATTAGAGCTACGTGCAGATAAATGGAAAGAAATAGCCTAAGACAGACAGGCTTGTTAAGGCGGCAAAAGATCTACATGGTCTGTAATGGCAACAGAAAAAAAAATATTTTTCTTTTAATGAATGAAATTAATGATTTGATTTCAGGTAAATTAAATTATTAGTTAAGAATAGCTTATGTATAAACAAGAGAAAGTTATTTGAAAATTATCATAAAACATTCATTATAATTGTTTTAAAAATAACTATGACTTACATACTGGAGGGTGTAAAGTTGGGAAAGCAGGCTTCACCAATCTCGCGCTCAAACAATTCAAGAACATCCTCTTTTCAAAATGTTTTTCGCAGAGAGCATAACATTTTTGCTCACTAAGTACATTTTCTAAAGCCGCAAAATTAGCCCACACAACAAATCTAAGAAATATTTAGAAACAAAATTAAATTAATTAATTACCAAAAATGACAATAAATTGGCTCAATATAAGAATTTGGGTTAGAATTGAACAGAACAAAGTTAAGCTATAAAATATTTTTATTTTTACAAAACTCAAATTCTGAAGTTATGTCTGATTATTTTATAATAATATAGAGAAAAAGCTTTTTAAATCTTAAATGAAATCTAAATTAATAAATTAAACCTTAATTCAAGGAGAAAAAAATGCACAAATGGTAGTAAATATTTTAAAATTAGTTCTATATATATTTTTTCAAAGTAATTTTTACTTGGATAACAATAACTTATGAAAACAAGTACAAAATGATTTTGCCATTAAAGTTCTTTTGTTTCTACAATTGAGACTATGGATATTTGAGACCTCATAGTTTAAAACAGTTTCAAATATAGCTAAGAATTACATACGATTCGGCACCTATATCAACTTATTTAGAATACTCTCTGATAACAAACAAAAGAAATGTCCCAAATTGATGTATTTTCAAAACGATAGTTTTATTCTAAAGCTGTGCCTTTTACAAACCTCTCAGTAGCTTCTGGGCCTTTCCCTTGAGGAAATTTGTGGACTTTTTCCGTCGTGAAACAGATACAACAAGTTTTCTTGTGGTTCATCTAAACATTTAAAAAAACTATATTTGTATTGATGAAATAAAAAAAAATAAAAGAGCTTTGTATTTACTTAAACATTAAGAATTTTAATTTAATCATTAATAGAAATAAGGAAGTATTGACAGATCCTTATTTATATATAAAAAAAAATAATAAAAAATCATGACTTATGTTTGTTTTCTATTAATACAAAATTTTAAAAAATGGGCTCCATATAAACTTGTACTTTTCTTGAACTACAACGAACCACTAAGCATAAAAAACCAGATTAAAATCTGTCCATTGGAAAACATATATTTTTTAGAAATTAATTAAATATATAAATTACTTAAATAATTCTATTAAAAATAAATTTTAAATAATAACACAATAAATTGGAGTGATCTAATATATCAATATGGAATTATTAAATTAATAATCCAGTCAACTAGTTGAATAGTTTTTTCATATAAGTAATTTCCTAGAAACAGAAAAAATGTATATTTTTAAAATAATAAAACATCATGTTTGTTTACACAAATGTATATTTCAGTAAACATATGAAATATTTTAAGAATGGGACCATCATTGCACTATTTTATTTATGGCTACAAAATAAAATTAAAAGAATATAATGAAAACTTTGATTTCTGAATAGTAAATTGACAACTATAAGTACTATTTATTTGTAAATTAAAGTTAATACATCCATACCATAATATGATTAGATGAAAATATCACCCTGCCACATTACAATTTTAATGCCAAGTATTTTAACATGTTTACCAAACTAATCAATACAGGATTGCATCTGTTGAGAAAAAAAAGAGGTTTCTGACATCACCAATAATCCTACTGCAGGTAATTATTACTTTATGAAAATTATTTTAAATGATACTGATAATTTATAATAAAGATTAGTTAAATTTAAAAATGAGTGTAAAAAACTAAATTAATAATGATAAAAGTAAAACATTAATCATAACATTAATATTTATTAACAAAAGTGAAGAATAATTACCCTCAGAGCCTTAGAATTTAAAAGAAAATCATCAAATACACCAAAACTTGTAAATTAGAAAATATCCCATTTAGAAAAAAAGGAACGAAAATAACGCCAATAACTTGTCGTTGGGAGACGAACATACACGAACTCTTCCGAAGATTGACAGCTACTGAAAATCAGTGTTACCTTATAATGTCGTTTATCTTTAAATAATAAACAGGATTGTTTAAACAATTTTAAATGTAAATGATAATTGTTTTATTTGTATTAGTTATTAATATAATGTACTTGATTATTTTTCGACGGGAGGCCCAAATATTTTGTTTAATATAAAAATAACTTTAATTTATTTTAACCTAAATAATCACTTTTCAAGAGAGGAGGTGATTTCTCAAACCCTCATAAATAAACTTAGGAAATCAATTTACGATGCTTTAATTATTGTAGCGGTATTCATATTAGAGCGATAATAGTTTAATAGTTAGTTCCTTGGTATTAGTATTGAAGTTTTCACTCCATTTGAATAATGGTTGAGATCTAAATCACACTATATAGTCATAAATCACAAGGAATGCTCAAAGTAGCCCTGTATGGACAATCAGCGGCGGATCTACGTGGGAATGGTGAGAGGGACTAAAGTCCTTCCCAAAATGGTAAAATGTAATCATCTTTTATGGTAATAATTATTTCTTAAAGTATTATTGTTCGTGTAATTACATTTAATAGGATTTCAAGAATCACTTAAACACTATTTCATAGAGGTAATTAGTTTCTTTCTTTTTTTTAACAAAGTAATTATCATTATATATATGGAAAAAAAATCTTTCGGGGTGATGCCCTCCCCGAAAATTTAATCCTGAATCTGCTAGTTTGGGCAATGATGTCCACAAAGACAGGCATATTCCCAATTATACAAAATATTTATTAGTCAAGAACTTGATTGAGTTTTCAGCATAACTTCGTTTGAAGAATAGGATGACTTTATTGACCCCAATTGCATTGCTATACAACTATAAAGGTGCGTGTGGACATTTCACGAACTAACAAATATATTTTACTATGCTAGTAATTTTGTTTCTTGTTTTTGATATTTTTCATCTGCTGTCAGTATCAAGAGTAATCAAATAAATTATATTGGATTTAGCAATAATGTCGCGGGTAGTTAAGTTAGATAATTATGTTTTTCATAGTTTGTGAAATGTCTAAACGCACCTTAATAGTTGGATTAATAAAGATAATAGTTGATTATAAAAAACACAAATATTGATGTTTTTCAATGTTTTCATATTAACATCAGATATAAGTTTTATTACACTGAGTATTTGAGTATTATAATTATTTGAGTATTGAGTAAAATACTCAAAAAGTATTTGATTATTTTACACAAATACTAGGTAAAATATTAGGGAGTCAGAGTAGTTTTTTTCCCTATTAAATATAAAAACGAATCGTCAAGACTCTGCAATATATTATCCATCTTTCAGTTATTCCAAAGGTACGGTCAAGACAAAAATTTAACAAAATGTTCAATAATTCGTATTGTAAGTGTAGCGACCACACTATTTGGCCAATATGAAATATTGAACATTTAAAAAGAATTTCTGGCTAGTACTTTGAGCAAAACAGTCGTATCTCGTATCGATTATCTGTATTTCTTATATTCTGCTGCAAATGCACGAAAGAAGATACTTTCGTTCGCACATGGCTAAACGACTGAATGTATTTTTCAAAACAAAATTAAAAATAAAAGAAACTGACAATCTTTTATTACTGTTTCGAACCATTATTTATAATCTTATAAAGAGGACTTGATGGCCAAGGAAGTTGTATTTCGGTTTTCTAAGTGCCCGGTTTTGAACGTTACCGGGTTAGAGTCCTACCTAGATCAGTTAATATTTATTTCTCGGTGATTGTTAATATTTAGACTCTAAGCAGCCTTCAGAGTTTGGCATATAGGATCACAAGGTTCACCTGTAAGACTAGTTTTAGAATATTCATAATGATAAAATAATAAAGGGTTTTAAAATGAAATATTAGTAAAGGAAATAACGTTTGGCTAGGTTTAATTAACCAATTCTACTCCTTTTATTCCATAATTAATATTCTGTTTGTGGTACCCTCTTCCAATTTATTATGTTTATCTCGTTCCTCTTTCTTTAAATATTTTCTCTAGTTCTTAAAACTAATTGTGATGGCCATAAAAATATTTTCTCTAATTTTTTTTATGGAAAACAGCAGAAATATAGAGGAATTCACAAATTATTCATGAACTCATTCCAAAAAGTTTTTTCACCAATCGCAGGTCGTTAAGCACGCAATTTATAACTTAGATGATCTTTAGACTCTAATGATTCATTCAATATTTATAAAATTACTTTACAGTTTTTAGATGTAAAAATAATATTCACCAATGGTTTAATAGATAATTTTAAGTTATAGATGAAAATTAACAGGTTATTTGATGAATATGCATTTTCCGGTAGAAGAGTTACCCAATTTGTATATTACTTTTATAAGCACATTTCTCAGAAATTTAGACAGTTAAAATTGTGTACACATACTTTTCTAACAAGGAAATAGAATTCTGAGAAAACTGAATTATAGTTTATTTGAATGGATGGAGTACATATTGAAAATATATCTCTTTACGCACTTATTCTTACAAATAGATAAATTTTGCCTAAAATGTCATTTATCATGTTTATCCATTTAGTCCTTTCACTATATTCTTATCTCTTTTCAACTATCTGGTAATACTTACTTTCTTGTAATATACTTCGAATGTATTGACCTGACGTTCTTGAACGACTCAAACTTTTCATGATATTTAGATCACCTTTATAGTACTGGAAATTAATTTAAATGTAAAATGATTCAGTCTAATCCGATGTATAAGTATGTAGCATGTTGTATTTGCCAATCCAAAACAACCCGTGCTCACAGATTACCAGCCTTGTCCACAAATGAAGAAAAATTACTTAGGTATGAACATACTTAACTTTTTACCCTAATTTGTTTATCTTTTTAATAATCGGTCTGTTGCCACAATATAGATATTTATAGAGTAGATCTTGTTTTTAGATATGCCAAATGGGTAAATTTTGCTGCAATTGAAAATGTTTATAACAAAAGAAAATATTATTGGATTTGTGAAATCCATTTTGAAGACAGTGCATTTTGTAACCACTTGAAGCTCAAGATACTTCGGACTGCTGTTCCAACTTTAAATCCCCCAATATGTGAGCATCCCTTTTTCTTTTTTTTATTTGATGTAAATTAAGCTTTTTATAAATTGTAATTTTTATGATTATACAAAGCTGGAGATCCTTTTAGAATGTGTTAATTTCAGAAAGTGGGACCACTGTAATGTCACTTTACTTTCATGGGTGACACAAGATCTCAATCATCGTATTTATTCTATATGTGCTTAACATGACATTTTGTAATTAGCAACTGCCAAAAGTAGTCTGGTACCATGAGAACTAGCTGAGAGGAATATAATATGTAATTATACTCACTCACACTCGCTGTATGGCGTTAAGGTCCATTAAGAACCAAAGTCTCTTCCAATATCCTGCTTCATTCCACTTTATCCCTCGCTTTAGTTCTCCATCACCTATGTTCAACTGGTGGAGGTCCTCTTCCACATCATCCAGCGAATGTCTACGAGCCTTACCTCTTCTTGAGCCACCAGGATGACCGTACAGCATTTCCATAGAAAATCTCGACGTAGGCTTCCTTTCAGCATGTCTTAAGCCAGCCCAATCTTCTTTTCTTTATGACATTAACTATGTCCGCTTCTGGGAAGTTCTTTTAGCACGGTGTTCTATCTTATTCTAAATCCATCACCCTCTTGCACAGAGCCAAATATCCTTCTTAGAACTCTTCTCTCCCATGTCCTTAGCCTTTTCTTGTTAGCTGCTGTTATAATCCAGGTTTCAGTGCTGTAAGTTACTATGAGCCTAATTGTAGTGTTTTAAAGCAATACCTTAGCTTTTCTTGAGAGATTTCAACCTAGGGCAGAACGCATTGCATATAGACATCTATTCTTAGCAGCAACTGGAACCTTCATGTCCTCTGTCGTTTCATTTTCTCTCGTGACGATTTCACCGAGATACTTGAAAGATGCTGTGAAGTGGTGCTCCCCTATCTTAACTTCTTCTTCCTTGAAAATACTATCTCTTGTGGTCTTCAGATATTTCATTTTTAAACAGGCTCAATTCATTAGCAGCTGTTTCAAAATCTTCTAGTGCCGGTAATGATCTTGCCAATATCACTACATCATCGGCACTTTTTCCTTAAAGTGGTTTATATTATGTCAAGTTTATGAGATAAGAGTAGATTTTAAAAGTAACAAAGAAGTGGATCTAAAGTGGTACCAGTTCCGAAATGGACCCCTGATCTCAGTACACTGTGAACATTATTCCATTGTACCAAATTATTTGATGATAAATCAAAAATAATTCATTGAAAGTATTGAAATCGTAAAAAATATCTAGAATGCTATGATGAAGTTAATGCTGATATATAGCTGCGGGACATGGACATTAACCAGCACGCTAGAATGAAGTTTTGAAAGATTTGAGAGAAAAATCTTCCACATGAAAACCGGTAACAACTCACTAAGGAGGAGAACCAATAATGAACTGTTTACGGAGACTAGTCAATCTATATCTCATGATCTGAAAGCAATGAGGTTAAGATGGGGGGACATGTAGCTCAAAGTGATGTATCTGGAAACCTCGTCTTTGACTTCTTGTTTTAAATTTCTGTACGTTCTATTTTCTTTTCTTGGACATAACTTTCTATCCATTGGAATGTTTGTATTACTGAAATTGTACTCTATTTTGTTGTTTCTTTCTACATTACTAACAAGTTATTTTATTTCTATTTTTTAGATGAAGGTCCTTCTACTAAAGATGGGTTACCACCAGGTCCTGTAGAACCGAAGGATGGTTAGTAATTTTAAATTGATTATTTCTCAATTATTATAAGACCAATTGTTAATATGTCTAATTAAAAATTTGTATTAATGTTCAAAAATACAAACTTCTGACCAGCAAAACACAAAAATGGAACTCGTGCTTTATTATGGTTTTAAAATGTTGTTCAATTTAGTTTGATATGTTAGTAACTTGTCTTTTTCCATTTAGTGGAATATCATTTTCAAAATCTTCTCTTTTAATAAAATTCTGTCGTAGTAGCTTGTGAAATTCTGTCTTAATTGTGGGACTAGGAATTTATCCGGGAGGGGCAACATTAATTGTGCCACCTCTTCTTCACCTCCCGCTGCTCTCTCCTCAAAAAACAGTTTACAACAATATTTTGGTTATTATATTTCCTAAAATAAATCATCATCTCATAACATTAAATAATTTTATTGACTAAATTAAGGGTGAAATAACAATTTTTTATTTGATCTAAAAATAATTTCACTCCAAATTTGCCGCCCTTTTAATTCTCCCATTTGGGCATGTTACCTTTGTCCCAACCTTGTTCTGACCATGCCTTCTATATCATTCAACATTCATAGTTTTCATGGCCAAATAGTCATTTTTTTTTTTTTTTTCTGTAAAGAAATAATTTATCAATTAACAATTTATTTTATTTTCCATTTATTCAGATGTTATTGTGTTTTAGAAACACTTCTGAAAATTTTCCAAGAAGTCGTCGATAAACAGTGCAGGACTGAGCCAGTTGGACAGAAAAGGAGGTTTTATAATTTTGTTTCGACTTCACCTGATGAAATTGGTTCTGCAAATATTTCCAAAGAGAAGGAAAATCATTTGAGTAAGTTTAAAACTAAATAATTCCAATAAAGGGCCTAAAGGCAGACGCTATAAAGCTATCTTGACTATCATACTGAATCTTACATTTCTCTTTTGGAACCATTTTATACATTGTCTGATTTAGTTATTAAAAATGTTGTTATTATTAGTTTTAATTTGTATTATTATATTTTTTTTCTTTTCTATTTCTCAACTTGAGGCTCTATGTTGTAAATCTTAGTGATACATCTTATGTCATGAACTAAAATGAATAGAGAGAAGGAGTTAATTGGGTGATACGGTCAAATAAATACTAAATTAAAATATAGTAATTATTTAATTTTTGCCGACTCCTTCTCATATTATAACAACGGTCAACCATCTCTACATCATTAAAATGAATAGACTTGTTCTAGTACAGAAAAATTGAAATATTGCAGACAAAGAGTATTTGTGGTCAATTTGGGGCAGAGCACAAATATATGTGTAGTACCCGTGGGTACTGCTGCTTCAAGATAACCTCTTGCCGAAAATGTGCTTAGGAAGTCCTAAAGATAAACGTGGCTTATTTCAGAAGTTCAAAAGACTTCAAAACTCCACGAAAGAAGAAGTATTCCCTTGTAGAACAAAATTCGACTTATTAGTCCTATTGGAAAGGCTGAAAAGAAGTAGGGAGGTAATTTAGATGCAAACATTTTTTGGAAGGAACAAGAAGACCGTTAGAGAAATTGGTTAAGGAGAGAAATCTGTCTTTAGCCCCCAACATTAAATCCTGAACCTGCTTCGTTATTGATGTATACCAGTTTATAAACTTACGTTTTTTATCTACACTCTATTTGAAGCAGTAATAGCTATTAGGTTTTGTTGAGCATTTTAAAAATCATTGCCAGAGAGAAACACTTTATTTTCATAAAAATATAAAATGCTGCCCAAAAATTCATTAAAATTCATAATAAAGAATGCTGCCCAATTATATTGGGTTGCTATATACACAGCATACTACTCAATCCTTAGGACAATAGATGAACTTATATATAAATATACAGAAGTATTAGTTTATATTAGTAAAATATATATATATATTTTTTTTTCTTACTTTCATTGTTCATGCTTTTTGCTTTTTTTTATTTTCTTTTTTTTTCAACATTTAACATTCCCTTTCTCTCACTTCTCTCTCTTTATCTCTATTGTTTTCAATTTTACATTAAATAAATACATAAACTAAAACTCTCGGGCTAGCCATATACGTGGTGGTGAATGATTCGGGTCGAGGACTATATTTTCAGCCAACCTCGCTACGTCCTTAATATTATTAATTAATAAAAGTAGAATTAAATATATTCTTTGATTAATGTTTTTCCAATATTTAGTTAATAACTTAAGTAAATAAAATGAAAACACTTAATATAATTTTTTATCTTCTAATTATATGCATGCAAATAATGATATTTAAAAATTTTAAACAGTATGAAAATAACTTCATGTATTTCATAGATGTATTTTTGTGTTACCATAGTTTCTCCAAAAAAAAAACATGTAAAACACTAAACCGAAGTAACAATTAATTTGTTTTATCCTTTTTTTAGGAACAAATATTCAGAGCAATCAGCAAACCAGAGTATTTCTAGAACGGAATCCAAAGCAGACTTCAGTACATAATGTCAAAGATGCTGTTAAATTGACATTCGTTAAAGATGCTGCCTCGTCACCAAACATAACCTTCAAAACACCAGCAAAAACAGCTAGCAGTCCTGAAAAGCCAGACTGCTTCGAGAAGGACAATGGCGGGTCGACAAGTTCATCTCTTAGTCAAAGGACGAGGCCTTTGATTCTGAAGAAATTACCAACATGTTCAAAGACTCGTTCTTCAATTATCCAGTCATCCTCGTTTGATGTCTCAGATTTATTAAAAACTCTTTCAGATACCGATTCATCTGTGCATTTCTTGTCTGATTCGGAAGATATTCCCTCTAATACTGAATCTTTACCAAAGCAAATGAAAATAGTTGAAAAAATATCTGCTATTGACAATAAGACACTAGCTGTCGATGATGACCCTAGGGAAAATTTAAACTCTGCAAAAAAGTCTGATGATGTCATAGTTATAGCTGATGATCATCTTTATACTCAAGATTTAAATATGTCATCTATAAATGAAAATATTTGCAAAATTACTAATTCTGTATCTTCTGAAGTAGATGTAACATCAAATGAAAATGGTGAACAATTTGACATCTTGTCGACTGCGATTAACAATTCAGATATTTTGTTTTCGGAGATTCCTTGTATGGGTAAGATTTTTAATTGCTCTATATTAATATTGAAATGAAATGAAAATAGCCTTTATTTATGCATAAATATTACAATTTCTATCAAAAGAAAATAAAGCAATTTTTTTACATTATTATAATATATACAAAACTTTTTGCTATTCTTGCATAGGCCTTCCCTTAGGAATAATAGTCTTTAGCACTTCCCTGGGTGACTAGCCCTACTGGGAAGCGTTTTCTGACCTTAAACCATTTTTCCTTCCACACCTCTCTGTCCCTAGCTGCTCTCCACCAGAGAGGTCCTGCCAAAAGCCTAAGTGCATCGCTCCATCTCTTCATTTGTCGGCCTCTCATCCTTTTCCAGTCATATGGAGTCCATTCGGTGACTATTTTAGACCATCTATTGTCATTGCATCGCAGGAGATGTCCAGCCCATTTCCATTTATCTTTTCTTATTTGGGAGAGTGTGTCTTTGAGCCCTGTTTCTTCTTTTATCTTCTCGCATCTGATTTTATCTATCTTCTTTACTTTCATAATGCTTCTTTCGGTGCTATTTTACCACACCTTGATCTTCCTCTCTTGGGCTTTTGTCAATGACCATGTTTCGGAGCGATAGGTCACCACTGGCATAATACATCTATCGAAAAAGTTTACATATTTTATTCATTCATGTAGATTAATTATTTTGATTTTATTTTTGTTCTTTGAAATATTGGGATGAGTGAGGAGGGCAAAACAATATTCTCGCCCCCTCTCTATTTTAATTGTAGGGGTCCCAAACCCTCCTTGCTCCCCAAAGTCTGTACCTATATCACCTGTCAAAACACTCAGACAGACTAACATCAACTACACTTAACATTAAACACTGTTTGTTTTTAAAATAAAGTCAAGTATGAATTAGCAAGCTAATCTTTTTCTATATACACTGTTCCTTTGTTGCACAGAATTCATTTGTCTTCAAACACACCTTCCAAAATGGTGACACTTTCTTCTACTCAACTCAAGCTCCCTGGGAGGTCCTCTCTCTTGTAATTTCAAACAACTAATGACTCCGCCAAACAATAACTTCCAAGATGGTAATACTATTACTGGGTTTTACCCAATGGAGCCAGGATCTCTTTTCCCATACTCTCTTCATTCCAGCCAAACAACTGCTTGCCAAAACAAAAATCCTTTATCCCCTCTCCTCTTTGGGATTTTCTTCTCTGGAGAAACTACAGAGCACCTATTTTCTTTTCCCTGAACTAGTAAAACTATTTTTCAAATTTAAATATCCCCTGACATTACCAGAACTAGATTGGCTTGCCTATCAATTTACTAAACCATTTTTCCCAACTTCCAATAAAAGTGTATATTGCAAAATATAACTAACTGATTTCATGGCTATCTACATAATAAAAATACTACTAATTGATTTCATGTATATCTACTACATATTAATAAGTTTGAACAAATTTTCTTACTGTCTTATTTTCAGATGATGAAGTTATTTTAGTCGAGAAAGAGACAAATAATAAACAGAATCAGCCGCTGAAATATGTTAAAAAACAACCAGGTATTTCATATTCACTGTTTTTATTATTAATTTGGACGCTGGCATGCTAAAAGTGAACTTATTAATATCAAATTAAATCTGTTTGGAGAGTTTCATAATACCAGATCATAAAATATTATATTGTTGATAAAATGTAAGTAATGAGCATACTATGACTTCAATTTCATCTGTCCCCCGTCTGAAAAGAATTTCAATTTTCTTTATGAATATTCTGTTTGTTTGAACATATTAATTTCTATAACTACTTGTAGGATTTGATAAATTATTTTTATATTAGATAAATCAATTCTGAAGCGGAAGACTTAAGGTTTTATAACATCACAATACGACCCATAGGAACGGAAAGTAGTGAACGTAAATGTCAATCGATCTGGAAAACTGTAGGCAATAACGCTTGTACTGCTTGTATTGCAGTAATTCTAAGTAACACGAAAGGCTGAGCTTTTAGCTAGGTCTGGACAAAAAGTATTTAAATTACAGAGTATTTAAAATGTTTTTAGAACAAGTATTTCAATTATAAAATCCAAAAGTATTTTGTATTTTAATTATATAAACAAAATACTTATTTCTCAACTAGTCTCTTAAAAAAATAGGTTTATTTTTTGCAAGAAATGGAGCAAGGAGATTGGAAGGCAGTGGATATACATAAAAAAATAGATGGGAATCAATATTTTAGTAATTTAATATTATTTCTGAACAATTAATAATATAAGTGACATTCTGTAAAATTATAGCATATTCAATATTCTTTAAGGTGTTGTATAAATTGAATCCTCTCTTTTTCTTTGCTAAAAAGTTCTTGAAAATTAAAAAAAAAAAAAAAAAAAAAAAAAAGGTGTGGGTTTTCTCTAAGAAACACCTGGTGGTCCACCTTTATTTGTTAAATTATCAAAAGATGCTCTTCTACTCTTTCATATGATAGGATCCTGGAGTCATGCATAATTATTTTTAGACTGATCAATTTTATGGCTACAGATAATTTTGTTTAACACAATTCATCTAAAAGACTTTTTAAGTTCATTTTTATATAATGTATTGGAAAGTAAATAAAATTACTTTTTTTGTATTTTATATTTTACTTCTTGAATAAAAAAAGTTTTTTATTTTGTATTTTAAAATATTTCATTTGGAATAGTGCCCTGGTCTGCTTTTAACTATATTGGAGTCAAATTAAGAGAAGTCTGTTTTTATTAAGAATAACTTAAGGTAAATGCACCAGTAATAGACACTTTAAGAGAATTATTCAACATTAATGTGAATAACAACTTATTTTTGCAAATGGGTTTAATTGAAAGCAAATTTAGCCTTTTCTCAATTTTTTTTCTTCCATACAGTCAATTACTTTATTATTCATGAAAAACTTAGGAAATTCTTACATCTTATTTTGTACCAGTAATAGACACTCAGGTTTTGGGGTCAACATATTTTTTTATATAATTAAAAAAATAAATTCTCTACAATTATGAACAAGGAAATGTCAAACGATGGATGAATAAATAAAAAATTCAAACCTATCTCTTAAAGAAAAGTGATAAGGAAAGCTCCCTGAAACAAACACCCAGCCTTGTTACATTGAAAAATCAACCAATCAGCTGTTATGGCATGATATCAGCTGAGGCTCAACCAATCACCTTCCTAACTGCTCTAGCTTCAAATCTAATCATCGTATCCACACTCCCTTTTGGACGTATAAAGCTTATTACATGTTAACGAGTTCAAAACTGTCTATTACTGATATATTTATCTTGTATCTTATCTTGCCTCATCTAAATCGGGTTGCAGAGAAAACCATAAAAAGAAAGAACTAAAAATATTTTTTCTGATGAAGGTGGGTATTGTAAGTTTTATTTAAACAGTTTAAACATACCTTGCTTAAAAAAAAAAGTTATTAAAGAACCATCGAAATGAAGCCACTTTTTGTCATATGTTTTTATTATTCTTTCTTCTGTAGATATTGATGAAGGACTTTCTATTATTTAGCTCTCCAAAATATTTTAGCTTTCATAAGTCTATTTGCTTCCTCTCAGGACTATATGCCACTACGGAAATTTTCTTATTTCAAATTTTATATATCTTGTATTTGTTTAAAATTATATGTTCATTTATTCTTTGGAAATTTCCTTACAGTCAGTAAGAAGAAGTATTACGATCCAGTTTTGATTGATTCCGTTCTGAATAAAATGAAGTAAGTATATATTTCTTCTTCCTTTTTTTTTTTTTTTTTTTTTTTTTTTTTTTTTTTTTTATAATGAATTCGAAGTTAGTGCTTCAATAGTTAGCTTTGATAAAAAGTATTAGTGAAATTTTCTATTGACTTCTATATTAATTTTGTTTAAGCTACATGAGGTATAAGAAGAGTCTTGACAATTGAATTGTAAATAATTTTTTTTTCTTTCAGATTGAAAAAAAGTGGTCCAGTTTGTGTTGTCACTCTTGAAAAGAAACCAGATAGGTTGTTTAAAGGTTTTTCAAAAAGCAAGCTTGTTACTCTCTATAAGCAACAGATAAACAAAAACAGGAAAAATAAAAAAGCAAATCAGGGGATTAATAAGGGTAGTAATGATATGACTAAAAAGGTTAGAAAAAGAAGGCGCTGTACATGCTCCATACACTGTCATCGCAGATTGAACAGTTCTAAAGTTTCATCTCCAGTCATTAATGTAAATTCTGGTGTCGGAGTGAAGTTTGAAGGAACTGCAGTAAACCCAAATATCGTGAACATAGATCCAGATCTAGCTGATGAAGATTTGTTTAATGTAGAAAATGTTTTCAATGTATCGACAATTTTGACAAATGTTCACGATAAATCGCAAATAGAACAGTTATGTCAAATGTTAATAGATAGCATTTTCAGATTGAAAAGTCTTAATATAGAAGGCACAATGGGGAAATTGCAAGTTTATTTTGCTCAAGTGCCAGAAAGTGGAGCTAATAGAACAAGTAGCGATGACCTAACGCCGAATTGTACAATAACAGAAAATAATTTAATTACCAACAATTCAAGCCAGAACATTGAAATGAATAATGTTGTGGAATCTAATACTTTAAATAGTCAAGAGGTTATTTTAAATAATTTCCAGGAAAAAGATTGCAGTCACATACCTTCTTTTATTAACTTAACTAATGAAAAAGATATACCTTTGTATAATATAACCTCTGTTACAACTGAGAGCGAGACAACATATCAATCAGTTAATGATGTTGTTAATGTCAGTAACCCTCAAACGAAGCCTAAAAACGTAAAAGTGAGACTGAGTACATTCCATGACCACAGTTACGTCAAACAAGAATCCAATTATATATTCGAGAAACCCGAATACTTGGTGAAACTGGTCAATATCGAAACTTACAGGTGTCCTCGGAAAATAGCTAAACCGCCTCAGACGGGTATACCCAAGAAAGAAGTCGAAAGGCATAAAAAAGTCTGTCTTAAACTCAATAACAGGATAATGCATTTGAGAGAGCTTATAAAGAAGAAAAATAAAAATATGAAATCCTTGCACAGGAAAATAAAGTATCTTGGAGGTATTGTGTGTCAAGAAAAGGGAATCAAACGTGTCAAATATCCAAAAGCTCCTGAAAATCTACAAGATAAAAGGATAGATTCTTTAAACACTATTTCTGAAGAGCAGTTACAAATGAACAGGAGAGATGAGGCTAAAATTTTAATGGACATGAACATAGACCAGTTGAGGATGGATAACGTTGTAACCATCAACTCTTTTGACTCGACGTCTTTTTTTCAAGAAAGTACCCAAGTAGTTAAACCGAAGAAAGTTCATGCAACTAAAACCAAAAAAAATACGAGTATGGAATCTTTTGACGTTTTGTACGAACATTTAATCGAGGAACTCTGCTGTAATGAGATGCAATATTAATTGCTTCTTTATAGCTAATTGTTTAATGATTGTCAAGTATGAAAAACACATTAATTTTATACTAGAAGAATATTTAAAAGTTTTTATCTTGTTAGTAAATTATATTTTTAACTGGAGTTATATCTTATAAGGCAATTTTATAAATGCATATTGAATATAACTACAACACATTCATTGGAGATATGAATCTTTTAAAAGTAAAAATTTTGATTTTTGTTGTACCACTGGATACAGCCATAATGTATGAGATTAATGTTACCATTATAGTGAAGCTGTGATATTGTTTGTAAAACTTGTAAATTATTTTGTAAATAGTATGTTAATAAATTATGTATTTTTATAGATAATATATTTTTTTATAATTTCTTTGTAATTATAAAAATTTAGTGAATGTTTTTGTTCTTATTTCAACCCTGCATGATGCTACTTTAAAAATCATTTGTGACTTACGTTTGATCAATTTGTTGATATGCCACAAAGAAATAGAAAATCATATTGAGGAGTGATGGATTTCGAAGTGTTCAAAAGGAAACTTTATGAAGTGATGAATTCCAATTTTGGTTTTAAAACTGATACTGGTGTCAATGGATCGAAATTCCATAAATTGTGTTTTAAATATGTCAACGCTGACACCAAGACCTGGTAAAATTCCTTTGGAATATACAGAGCCCTACATTTTTAAGAACTAAAATGTACCCTATTTGTGATAAAATATAATTATTGCCGAAAATCTCCTTGGAGCCACGTGTTATTTATCATGTGAGTCGATCATTTCCAAAGTGAAACCTAATCATTAAACAATTTTTCAGGAAACACAAAAAAACATTGTAATAATTGTAATATCAAAACCATTTTTTAAAATAACAAATTAAGAAATTCTTGATTTGTAGAATGGGGATCAGGGTAGACAATGGGTTAGCGCTGACTTCCAGAGTTCAAGGGCCGAGGTTCAAATCCGGCTGATGACTAGCAATTTTTCATCAGCTGTTAATCGATTATGGGTCTAGGAGACCCTCCTGGCCTAACCATCCTCTATAAAGTGGGTAATCTTAATTAAACAATTAATTAAGGGGGAAAACTTGGCGGTTGAGTATGATCTTAGCCTGATCACCATGTACAAACATTGGTCTAGTAACAGTGCTTCCTCATATTGTACTGAACCCAAGACTCTTCAGGGATTGTTAGTGGTACAGGAATTTTTTTTTAAGAACATTTGCGAAAATCACTGATTATTTCAGTAGGAATTAAAAAATATTAATACTTGAATAAGATAATTTTGGGAAGAAATAAACTTCAAGACCCATTTTCGGACCCAAAAATAGATGATTGGGGTTTGTTTTGGAGAGAAAAAATAACTTTCTGTTTACAATAATGGTACAAAAAATAAATTTATTTTTAATTTTCATTTGAACAAAACTGTTAAAAAAGCTTTTGTTGAATTTTTTTTTCAATAATACTTATGAAACCCAAGTATTCATTACATTCCTTGAAAAAAAAAAAAGGCTGATTTCAGAAATCAATTTCACACCACTTCTTATAACATTTAGTTCGTTTTTGACAAAAAAAATTATTGCATCATTGGATTTATTGGGTGTTTTTACATGGGAATCGATACATATTGATAAAAATCGATCAGGATTTACTTTGGAAATAAGGTACTCATATGTCATTTATTTTAAAAATTAAAATATTTCAATTTATTATAGTCTAGTGCAGGGGTTCCCATTCCCCCTACTAGGTTTGATGGCGCATGAACCTGCCTTCTCCCTTCTTCAAGCTATTTTATTGCTTTCCTCTTCTTGTGAACATTAGAAATAAGAGTACTGTAGGATCATAAAAGCCTTTCAGTTGACAGAATGACTAACTCCAATTTCAATAATTTTGAGTAAAGTCATTTTAATAATATTTCTAGTTGGAAAATTTATATCTGTACAGGCAGTGGGTAAGTTGATTCCAGAGTAGGTGATTGCAGTGTTTAAATATAGAACTGTGAATAAAGGTATAAACTTTCCCACTAGAAATATTACTAAAATTAATAATAAAAAATGTTGAAATTGGAGTTAATCATTTTTCAACTGAAAGGCTCACATCAAAATTTCAAAATCTTGTCAAAATATGCCCCTCTCAAAAATTTAGATGGCACAACTTGTACCATCAAACCCCTTTCTGGACAATGCTGGTCTTGTACAAACTAAAAATTGATTGAAAATATAAACAAATAAGAATAGTTCTTTAGGCACCTTGGATAATAAAGGGAAGTAATTCTGATACAGTGAGGGTAAGGTATTAGTTGGAGGTAATCTCAGTTATAAGTTCTCTATTGGGACTGGTGTATGGCAAGGTGACGCTCCTTCTGCCACACTGTTCAATTTAGCCTTAAAGTAGCAAGCAATTTAAACATAAACGGCAATATTCAAATCTGTCTAGTAGCCCGGAATACCCAAACTCTCAAAGAGTTGGTTACTACTTTGAATAATAAGAATGAAAATATGGAACTCCGAATTAATTAAAAGAAGTTAAAATATATGAAGGTTGGAGGCCCAGGGCAGACTACTGGTGTATAGACCGTAGATGGATATGAATTTAAAAGGGTGAGCAGTTTTATCTACTTGGGAGCAGAATTGAATCAGGAAAATAAAATAGTAAACTGAAGGATTATGTCAGCTAATAGTGCGTATTATGAAAATATAAAATTTTTCAGATCATCACTGTTATGTCACAAATATGTGTTTATGTAAGAATCTTTTTCTAACTAACAGTGTTGAAACTTGAACTCTCATCGCCTTGGTGAACAATAACTGGAGTATTTTCGAACCAAAAATATGAAGTAAGATATACGGACTTGTGTTCAACTTTGAGTCCAATAGGTACATGGAGTATCCACAGTAATGAAGAGCTGTATTCTTTATTCCAAGACACAATTCATAAAATCATTTTGTATCGAATGGTTAGGCCACGTAATAAGGATGGCCACAAATAGAATGCTCAGCAGCTTACTTCATGGTAAAATTATTGGTATAAAAGGAGTTGGTTGGTGACGAAAACGATGAATCTAGGATGTGGAAGGAGAAGGCACGTGGCCGTGACGAATGGAGTCAAATCGTTAAGGAAGCTAAGGTCCACCCCAGGCTGTAGAGCTGCATAGTTAGTAAGTAACTTTTTGAGATTTTAAATTAAAATAAACATGTTTTGTGGATTTTTTTTTTATTTTCTTGATTGTTAATATCACCATAGCAATAATGAAATTTTTAATCTATTCTAGATTCTTTATTGCACTTTCAATAAGAGAGAACTAAACTAAAAACCAAGATTCCTGCTCTTTTATACTAACTCAATTGGTCTCGACAAATATAATATGTTAATATTAATTTACATAACTGAGTCTTATTCCTTAACTGAAGAGATACTTTAGAGCTAGTTGGTTACTTACTACAAGGATTATTATTTAAACGTAATATTTATTAAATATGGAACTTCACCAATTGTATATGTGTTGAATAGACTTTCTTCTGAAAACAAGATAAGTGTAGTAGTAATTACCAAATTCTAGTCAAGTTTCAAAATATTTTTAATAACTTATCATAAAATAAGAATATCATAATCATTAATATATTGTTAAAAAATTAATTTATGACAAGAAATATAAATATTTTTTATTGAATATTTAATAGTTGACCGTTGCATTATAAAGAAAGGAGATGGTCCAGGGTGGCGGTCATAAATAGTGGCGAAACTATTTTATTAAAAGCGAAACGTTTTAACCCGAGTTTGCAGGTCTCCTTCAGGGCTAGAACGGACAAGATACAAAAAGATAGAGAATTGTGGAAGTTACATAATATTAAGACAAAAAATTATAAACAATGTGAATAAGCTTATTACAATTACAAACAGTAAGTACATTAAAATATAAACAGAGTAAGCTAAGCAACAAGATCCTAATGAACTTAGCTTACTCTGTTTATATTTTAATGTACTTACTGTTTATAATTGTAATAAGCTAGCTTATTCACATTGTTTATACTTTTTTATCTAAATGTTATGTAACTTCCACAATTATTTATCTTTTCGTATCTTGTCCTTTCTAACCCTGAAGGAGACCTGCAAAGTGGGGTCGAAACATTGGCTTTTAATAAAATAGTTTTGTCACTATTTAACCTATTTATGACCGCCACCCCGGACCATCTCCTTCCTTTAAATATTTTTTAATTAAAACTAATATTGCTTCTTTTTGAACGTTCAAATAAAGGTGTTTAAATCAATATACCTCTTTGATAAAGGACATTAAGGGTGGTATACGCAGTAAGTTGTACCGCTAAAGACACTTGAACATTCTGTCAAAAAGGAATACTTTTATGAAACTCAATGAAAAAGGATTTCTTTCAGCCAATTTTCTAGCAGAGATGCTTCTATAAAAGAATAACATTGTTATAAATTGAAACAGGCCCATTACCTCCCTCCTTTACTTGATACTCATCAAGTATTCATTCATTTATCTGAAAGGAATCTTTTTATTGAGTTTCGCGAAAGTATTCCATTTTGATTTGAACCTTCAAATGGAGTTAGAGGAATGGCCATGCATATCATTCTTAGTCACTTTGCCCTAACTTTATAGGATACCAGTTTGAATGGAGGTTTGCTTTGGCAAAAAAGTAAAATAAAAATGTGCAACATAACTAAATTATTAAAAAATCGATATATACTCCTATAAATCTTATGTACAGTTATAAATAAAAACTAAGGCAGATCAAAATAAATCATAAAATAAAAACATATTAAATCCAATTAATTCTACTTTATTTTTACTTTGCGTTCAACATTTCAGCCCTTGAGCAATTTTCAAGAGAAAAAACCTTATTTTAATATAAAAATAAAATCATTTCAGGCTAAATTGTCCCTGCCACAATGCGTAATTGTCTATTAAGTATTGTGAAAAGAGACAATTAAGCCCGTATGATTTCTTATTTATATTAAATTAAGATTTCTTTTCCTTTAAAAATGGCATAAGGGCTGAAACGTTGAATGTAAAGTAAAAATAAAGTAGGACTAATTGGATCTAATGTATATTTTTATTATTACAAGTAAATTGAAGTCCTAACCAACAATATTGAAATATATATATATTAAATAAGTTATGGGCTAATGAATAGTTGGAAAGCATTTACCAACATCAGTAAATAATTACAAAAGGTCATCAATAAAATAAAAATACAAATAAAAAATAAAAAATTCTATTTTAAATAACTAAATGAATAAGGATACATAATTATATAATACTGAATGAGATTTTTATATATTTGTACAATACATAGTATGTTAAATTAAAATTTTATGTTTGATATTAATTTCTGAAAGTCAATAAAAATGCATAAAAAACATTAAAAGTTGATAAATGTTAACCTATTAGCGCCATGTTTTACCGCTTGGTAACATAACTGAAGTCATGTTTTGAAATTAATTTAGAATATGTTATAGCTTTTGATATTAAATTATTCCATGAAACAATTTAATCTTAATTTATCTAGTACAATAATGTGACATCCGTTTTTATTTAATTTTATTTGCATCACAATAAACCTCATATTTATGGACAAGTAGGAATATAACTAATTGTAGTATTGTTATTTACTCAAAAATGTATTATTAAATTTTTTTTCTGAATTGTGATGTTATTTGATAGTATTTGATTAAATTATGTGCTTCGTACAGTTGTTAACATACTGATTACTATATGGTAACACTAGGCATTCAAGTATTTTTTATTTATTTTATTAAGTCGGTAAGTTTCATTGACCAGAAATATTTTCAAGAATTAAATTGTACATAAGTATTTGTTTTAATTAATTTTATTATTAAAAATGGAACATTCATCAATAAAATGGTGGTCAGTATTTACCCGGCTATACAGAATATTTTTTACATTAAAAAAAAAAATCAATTAAGCCTTTGGATTTTACACTTAAGTTGGTCAAACCATTTAGTATTAAATAATAATGGAATATTCACCTCAATAAGTTACAAAAGTGATCAAGGAAAAAAATTAAAGACTTATTCATGACAATATATGTGGCTAGTATTATGACATGATAACAGACAAAGTTATCAAAACCAAAAAACTGAAAGTCAAAATTTAATTTTTAACATTATTGTAATAATTTAAAAAAAAAAAATCATGAATAAAAAAATAATTCAGGCGCTAATTGGTCAAATTAGAATCAAAAGGTTTGAATCATCATATATAAACCCTGTACTTGTCGAAAAAGCAAGTTTTAAGTATAAATGACAGACTAAGGTAGCTATTTATAAATATATTTACAATTTTGCAAAAATATATTACCATCTTAAGTACTGTTATTAATTACTAATCAACTATTTAAAAAAAAAACAAAGAACAATACAACACTTGTAGATTAATTGATCTTAATTTTATATATATTTTTTTACAATTAAAGAAATTGTTTTGTACAAAAAGTATAAATTTATTATTTACACTATTTAGCAATTAGTTGATATTCATGATATAAAGGCAGCAGAATGATATTTAAAATTTTTATTCTAGATAATTCTCTTTGGTCGAATAAATTAAGTTATATATCATGAGCTTAATAATTTGTCATTTAGCATCTTCTAATTGACTTTTTTAGCAGCTAAACTTATACTTTATAATTAAAACATAAAACAACAAAAACTATATATACAAAAATCAATCATAGTTTAAAATTTAATTTGAGATTAATGTTGACATAACACTCAAAGTTAATAATTGCCTTTAAAAATGTCGATCTACATGCTATTAAAAATTATTTTGGCAAAATTTATTTTGTTTTTTTTGCAGTCGACATGTAAGTAAATCTTAATCAAAATAATTTAAAAAAAATGTATGAATATGGAATTTAAATTGAATCGCAAGTATTAAAAATTTGTATAAAAATTTTGAAGAGGTAAAACAGCTCTTAATATACTTATATAATATCGGTAGATACAGGAATGTCATTTGTAGTTCTCAAAAAAATATTTAAAATATGGGTTATTTCCATTAGACATTTTCAGACAGCCATTCTTCGATCTGTTTATAACTGTGTTTCATCCAGTTGACGTTGACTTGAACTCTTTCCAGAGACTGGTCGAATACGGCCGTGGCAGAGCCCATTTCACCGATGTGGTCAGCAATAAATTCTTTCAACTGAAATGATTTTAAAATAAAATAAAATAATGAGCGTACGATTTACTTTGAAATTATATCACACAACTGAAGCTGAATCTGAATGTTTATATGTTTCTTCTTTTTAAACAAGATTTCAATGACATTTTTTTTTTTAATTTAATAAAAATAATTTCAATTTAATAAGAAAGTACATTTTGTCTTAAGTTTGTACATTTTTTTAAATATGAAGAATTAAAAATTGATAAGTAAATAAAAATGCATACCATTCTCAAATCAAAATCTGTATTCATGTCTCCTGTAGTCACTTTGATAATAGTACTGATTATAAAGACGGGAGATCCAAAGCTATGGAATAAAACATATCAGTTAGTATATATGTTATTATAAACAAGGGCAAAATCAAAGCATCAAATTTATAATTGTAATATTTTTAAAAAAGTATTGAATGATTTGTGAAAAAAAATTCTCTGCATGATAACTGGAGTGATCTGATAGTGCATGAGTAAGAAAGATCAATAAAAAACTGCTTACAGAAACTAATTAATCAATAGCTCATGATATGAAGGCAAGGAAGATAAGGAGAGCAAAGCATGTAGCTTGAAACAATCCATCCGGAAGTCTCTACGCAACTATAAATGCCTCAATAAGACCATGTGGAAGGAAAAAAAGCTATACAGATGGAATCAACAAAGTTGCAATAGAGCTGCATGCAGATAACTGAAAAGAAGTAGTCCAAGACAGGCAGAGATATAGCTGGCTTGTTAAAGTGACAAAAGATCTACAAATTCCCTAAAAAAAATAGATTATATATTTAAAGATTAGCTGAAGTTTCTGGCTCAATTTTTGCCAATTATGGTACAAATCATGGACAGTGATTTTTCTATTACTTTGTTCTTAGTTAATTTTGCAAACTTTTACCATGTTCTGGATATAGTTAACTTGTTTATTACAACTAAAGTAATGCGTACCAATTCTAATTGATTAAAACTGCAGATTTTACTGATAAACATCTCTTAGAATAAACCATTATACTACCATTTTATTTCAATATATAAATAAATATAAGTAATAGTTGTAAAAACTTGGGGTCGTATAACCTCCTTATTGTGGGGCTCAAGGATTCTTTTTGTATTACTATAGTTTATAATATACTTTGGACAATCTGGTAGTTTTAGAAAAACATAAATTGGTATACCATTAAAATGTTCAACTTTGAATGCACTGCTCAGTTCTGCTATATAAAGATATAATTTTTGTATATGAAATTATATTTGTCATCCTGATTTTGTACGTCAAGTCTGAAAAATTGCATCAATCTAGAAATCAACATTATCCCTCATTTATGCCTTTTTCCCAGTTCGAACAATTAACAACAATATTTACATAACCTGATCCTGAAGACCACTAGAATATTATTTACTGCAGCTCTTGTTCAACTTGCAACTATAATTCACTGAATGATATAACAATGTATCGGTCTTTAAATTATAATATTTATATAAAGACTATTACACTTAATATAAATAAATAAAAATTTCAAGGCAAGTAGGCTGAGATGATCAGGACATGTGGTCAGAATGGAGAATGAACGGGTACAGAAGAAAATATTGGAAGCACGCTACTATGGAAAGAGGAAAAGAGGAAGGCCGAGAAGCAGATGGAAGTATGAAGTGGAGAGAGACGCGAGGAAGTTAGGAGTTCGCAATTGGAAGGGAGTAGCACAGCACACAGAGAAGTGGAGAAGAATAACTCTGGTGGCCAAGGGTGATGAAATGAAATAAAAAAATATTTTATTATTCTGGGACTGTTGTCCCTTTAGAACAAAATATAAATACAGATTGTATGTCTGTGTAGTTACAATTACATTGCATATTTACAATAAGAGTTGACTAAAGGTAAAAATACTGAAAAGAGAAAGAAAAGAACAAGAAAATTGTACGTATATATGAGAAACTAAAATAACATAAATAAATTGAGTTAGTCTCTGGCGGTGCTTAGATATTTTTCTTAAGTATATTTCACTATCAGTCGGATCGAGAAAGGAGTAGGTGTTTAAAGAGGAGAGGTTTGAAAGAGGAAACTGATTGAGCGTGTCGAATATCAGCAGGGATGGAATTCCAGAGGGAGGCGGCTTGTATTGCAAAGGATTTGTCAGACGCAGCAGTTCGGTGAGGAGGAGGATAGAGGTGGGAAGCACGAGATCTAGTGGGATGGGATTGGATGGAGTATTTGAATTGTAAGCTGTGAAAAATATAGGAGGGTCGAAGTCAGCTAATGCTGGCCTGTAGTGCTGGGGGGTTATTAATAATAATGATAGATACTCACTATTTCCTTATCCTCATCCAGTTATCTCTTAAAAATGCAAAGGCCAAAGGTTGACCGATTACATTGTCTGAAACAGCTACAAAGACCGATGATGCGTCTTGCTTTCTTATACCTGATCCTTCAGTTACAGCCCAATGTAAATATCTGAAATTTATGAATTTAATAAGATGTGCTTAATAACATTTTGACATGGATATTATAATGTAACAAAATATAAAGTAATTATAATTTACTAAAAGAAAAAAAATGTATCTGTAATACTTTTACGTGTGTATGTAGATTTAATTAATATGAACATTAAAAGTTACAGTTAAATCATTCTAAATAGGCCACCACGGATCCAATGGATTCACAGAGGGATGTCTGCTGAGAAGGGATATACATATCATTTAAAAAAAAAATATTACATAAATACTTGAACCAAAGTTTAATAATACAATTTTGAGTTATATTTGTATAAATAATATTTTTTGTTTTTAAGTATGTATGTAAGTACCCGATCAGAAATTGTTTATAAAGTCTCTGTTCATATTTTAGATTTTTTTTTTCTTACCTGCTGAGTATCCAAGTTTCTCTTGTGCAAGCTAGGGCTGTCAGAAGAAGTGACTTTTCAGAACCGACGTTGGACTTCAAGTACCTTTCCCAAGCGAAATCCCATTCAGCTTGTCCTCCTTCTCTTATTGCGCTGCAGTATACAGTGGCTTTAAGGTTAGGAGATATCCTGAAATTTAAAAAAAATAAGTTTTTTCCTTGTTATTTAGAAAAATAAATTTAATTTTAATCATAACATAAATTTTAGATCTTGGTGAAACTGTAAACAAGAAGAAAACTAATGAAAAACATTGAATCTTACATTAATTAACATGGATCAATTATTAAGTCAAAAGTGTCATGTCAGGAAGAAGAAATCTGATTCACAATCTTAAGGTATTATTGGAATATTATATTACTCAATAATGATATCAATAAAAATTGATTAATACTAGTAATGGTCTATCCAAATATTTTGGATGATATATTGGTCAGTGATGAAATAGTAAATTGCATTAAATGCAATACGTTTTTAGGAAAATAAATTAATTATTTTTTCTCAGTTGATTATAATGATTAATTATTGAAAATAATAAACCAAAACATGCTTATCAACTTCAAATAGGTTTCATATTTGCTAATAATGCTGTGGTCTTTTGTCTTCTATTGAGGCATTCATTGTTAGATGGAGGCTTCCAGATGTATTACTATGAGCTACATGCCCCGCCCATCTTAACATCAATGTCTTCATATCATAGGATATTGATTGACCAGTTTCTGTAAGCAGTTTTTTATTGGTCTTTCTTCTCCATGTGTTAGTACTCTGATCCTAGATCGCTCTCGTTATCGTGCGGAGGATTTTTCTCTCAAATCTTTTAATACTTTTTTCCACAGTGCTGGTTAGTGTCCAGGTCTCACAGCCATATATTAGAACTGGCTTTATCATAGTATTGTAGACTCTTAGGTTAAGGAACTTAATTTAGTAAATTAAAAAAAACCTATATATAAAAAATTTAGTAAGAAATCTTACGGGTTATTTCGGTCTGGTTGAGGAGAACTTCTCCAGTTCTGGAACTGTGTAACAGCATTACGAACACAATCCTCATGGCCAAGAGAACAAGCCCAGCGTAAGACATCCACGCGCTTATAAACTGTCAGCTGTGGATCTGAAGCATTGTCGACGAATCCCGTTTCATCGTATAATTTTTCTATTAGGCTTAGTATATATTTCTGTAATTGAAAAAAAATATATATATATATATACATAAATCAATCTCTAAACTTTTAAAAACTAAATTTCAAATGTTATTAGAACTATCAAGGTGGAACACGACCGGTTATGTCATCAGGAGAAATGTTATAACATGAATCAGTTAGTTTATGAATTGGTATCCAAGAGAGCATGAAAGGAGGAGAGGATGCCCACCGACAGATTGGAACAAGGAGATGAAGAAGACCTGCGGAGTGGCAACCTGGAAGAGAGTAGTATTGGAGAGGAAAGAATGGAAATAGATGGGACAGGTGCATTATTTAGTGTAGTTGCAAAATAATCAAACTTAAATCTTAAAATAAAACATTAATTTTGTACATACGTGAATATTAAGCATAAAACAAAATATAAAGTTTATGTATATTTTTTACTTTTACTTACCTTTTTATTTATTATTTTTCACCCTACCTTACCTTACGGTAATCTACGATTTTCTGTAAAACGGCTCTAACAATTTTGATTAAACTTAGTATATCAGTGTATTATTAAACAGTTTTTAATATAATGTAGGATTTATTCTCATTGATGTTCTCTAACAGGGCTTAAATGGCTAATTTTTAATATTAGCTTCCTCTAAAGTACCTTAATTTTTTTATTTGAAATAATTAACCATTTCACATTAATCTTTGATAAAATAAATAGTTAAATATAAAATAAGAAAGAATTTGATAATAAACTAAAGGAGATATAAGAGATTGTAAGGGATAATAGTTGTAATGGAAGAACCAAAGGAATACGAGATCGTCCGAAACAGTATATACTTAACATGAGCCTAATATAATATAAACTCCGACAATATTATGTACATATACTTATGCGGTTTTCATAAATGTTATCGTTGGTATTATTTAATATTTAATTGATTGTATAGAATACAGCGATATAAAAATTAAAATTTGTCTATATAAGGATATTTAAACAAATAAAAATGCCCTCAATGAATTGTAAATAAATATAGTGTCTATAACTTTTACTTTCACATCCCCTATGTCTGAAAATACTTATTTCTCCTAAGAAGAGGATGGTAAGTGAAAGTCGTGTGATATGAGCACCAGATTTTTTTATATTGTATGCTCAAATAAAGGTTATTATTATTACAACTATCGAAAGCATTTTAATGATTAATCTATGAAATTACTGAATAGATATTATAGTGAATAAGAGTTATTAATGTAATAAATAAGTGCCCCAAAAAAATCAAGTAATTACCTTAAATTTGTCATAGATAGGCATCTTATTGATCATGGCATCGATGTAGGCAATATCAGAGAAAGCAGCTGCCCACGGAATGTATGAAATTTCTTTATTTAGATATTTTGTGATGTTTAAGGCAACTGAATAATTTAGAATTCCAGCTCTGGCTAAATGAAGACTATCAGCAACTATTTGTGCTCTATTTATTTCACCTTAAACATAAACAAGATAAAAATTCATTATAATTATTTTTAAAATTTCCGATATGTATTAAATAGATAATAATAAGTACAATAGATATATGTATTTATAATTAACAACTATCATTGTAAAATTAATGTATTTAAATCGTGTGATAATCTTGGTTTATTTGAAGAGCTATAACCATTTTTTTTTTCTGTTGACTTTAACAGACCTAGTAAATCTTTTACCGCCTTCTCCATCTGTCCCTATCTTAGGTTATTTCTTTCCAGTTATCTGCTTGAAGCTCAGTATTATCCTTGTTTATTCGATCTATCCATCTGTTTTCTGGCCTACTATTGAGGCATTCATTGTTGTGTAGAGGCTTCCTGGTGGACTGGTCTGGGCTATATGTCCTACTGATATTAACTTCCTTCCCTTCATATTTGAGATATTGATGGACCAGTAAGCAGTTCATTATTGATCCTTCTCTTCTATATATTAGAACTCAGATCCCAGATCGCTCTGGCTATTCAATATTTCATTATACGGTGCTGGTTAGTGTCTAGGTCTCACAGCTGTATATTAGAACTGGATTTATCATACTTAATTTGAGATTTCAATACCTTTGAGAGAGAGAGAGAAGAAATCTCTGTTTACAATGGTGAGATTGTCGTTTACTTCTGACCGTTGATCATTCATTGAGGTTATTATAGAGCTGAGGCATTGGAATTTACTTTAATTAATCGGAACAATTATCCTCTCACACAGATCCTTTTGTTAGGAAAACTTTTGTAGAATTTTTAGGTTGTTATCACATATTTAGTTTTATCTTCATTTACTTGTTGGCTGATTTGCTCTGCTTCTATGAACTGAGTCTTAAGCGAGTTTCTCAATATCCTCTTGGTTGTTGACAAGGACAGCAATATAATCTGCATATCTAAGGATTTTATGATTCATTCTGACATGATAAGATATGAAGTTATTACCTATCAAAAAACTAAAATCTTTTAGTTATTTAAAAAACTTTAGTTATTTTATACTAAACTACATATTATCTATAACTAATTACCCAAAATTTAGCTGAGGTGAATGTCCTCTCATTTTCAAAATGGAGGCACGATAAAATTCACTTTTGTTTACAAAAAAATTTTGATGTTAAATTAATTGTAACTTACCTATCTGGATATATTTCTTTGGATCCATCAGCTGTTTTGTCAACAGTTCCCAATTTTGCTGATCATAATTCACTCTATAAAACCCTAAAAGATAAACGGACAAAATCAAATTTTAAAATGTCCAGAGAGAATTCATTAAATTAATATAAAAATGCTAACCAGTTTGTTTAATGTTGAATACTACCCAGTGATTAGGTTGTGCTTTGAGATATTCAACCAGGGTTTCTTTAGGTTTCATCCAATAATGAGGTTTTGTCGATTCAAAATCTGGCTCAGCTTGACTTGTGTAACTGAGTGGGATCCACCACTGGTTCTCTCCCTTCGAACTATTTAGGTGTACGAATCTTTGCTGTGAAATTAATAAACCAAATCATTATGAATATTGAGCATGTTTTATAATATAAAAAAAAATATCATATATACAAATTAAGGTTCGTTCTTAGACCTCTTATAGTTGTAAAAATAATCAAGAATAATCGGCTTATTATAACAAAAACAATTGGAATATACCATGCAATATGCCTTAAAAATACAATAAGCAGAATAATATGTGATGAAAGGTATGATAATATGCAACCACTGGGATAATATACAAATCTAGCTACTGGGAGAGAGTAGGGACTTTCAGGCTGAAGCCCTTTAATCCATTTCGGTCAAAAGGGTTCTAGATAACCCACTGGCGGGACACAATTGTTTAGTTTTAAATGAATATATAAAGTCTTGAAATGTAAGAATGATTCTAATTGTACTTTATGATGAATCAAACTATAGAAAATAATTTTAGTTATGTTTCCCATTTTAGGTTTTCTTTATCTGAGAAGTACTTTGTAATTAATTTTCCATCCAAAATGGTTCTCACTACTTCGAAGTCTACATTCATCACAAGGTAATTTATAAATAACTACTTTTATTTTAGTTAAAATGAAACACAATTACCATCTTGTCAAATATTAGCTTAAATAAAAGTTAATATGTACTTTTATCGATTAATCAATTTATTTGCATCAGATTTAGAATTGATTCATAAAAATATCGACTTATATTTTTGAAAAAATTATAAGAAAAAAATTGCATACAAATCCAAGCTTTAATTAAAAATATTTGATAATAATATAATCAATAACCTGCATTATGACAGCAGAACCATCCTGATAATTCCTGGTTACAGTAACGACTGGAAATCCAGTCTGCAAAGTCCAAGTATCCATAATTTCCTTAATCGTGACATCTTTTGCTAAAACTCCTTCTTTGTGACCTTCAACGGTCAAAGCAGACCATAGGTCATCTTGTGTTGCACACTGATAGGCCCTGATAGGAAAGATAATTTAAAAAAATGTTAGAACAATAAATGTTAAAGTATCATTGAGTAAAGACAATAGATCAAAAAAAGGGGAGATTTTGGTTTAATAGACTATCAGAAAATAATTATCAATTGTTAAGCTATTCAAGTATTAAAAATAATGGCTTTAAGCTGTTTTATCATGGCTTTTTAAATAGTTGGCGTTTGAGTAAAATAACAAAGGAAGGATTGTTTCATATCAGAGGATTCTGAGTCAGAATTGGGCAGTATTCACTGAAAATCGTAATCATGAATTTGAATATTCATACAAACACTGATTTTTTAATCTTTAGGCAAATATGAATACTATGTGGTATTGGGTATTGGATATACAAAATACTGTGAATTTCGGTATTTAAATATTCCATAGATGATTACAGTTGTGAATGCTTCACCTATAATAATAAAGAAGCTAAAAAAACATAACAAAAATATCCATTAACTTTTTTTGTTTGAAATTAGAACAAAATGGTTAATTTTCGATACATTTACAAAACCCCGTCTATTCTTATGATTATCTAAAATTTAATGACCATCTCGACTCTCCTCCCTCTTGAAAGTTAAAGAAACGGGATTTTCTATATCAAATAAAATTATAAATATTCCTGTTATACAACACATGTACAAGTGAATAAACGATTGAAAAAAAGAAATAAAAAAAGAAACAATGTTACTCACCTACTTTTTAAGTAATTGGTCAAGCCTTGTTTAAAGATCCTTGTAGTCAAAAAGTGGTCCATCATTCTTATTAAAGCAGCACCTGAATGATAAAATAAGTTTATGAAAAATCCATATTTTCTAATTTATTTAAAAATTTAAAGGAATGTTTCAATTTCGATATTACCTTTTCCATAGGAAATTGAATCAAATATTTCATCGATCTCTTCAGGATGGGCAACTGGAGCAGAAACTGGGTGTGAAGAAGCATACGCATCGAGTTTTAGAACACTTTGCATATCTTGAACTACGAATTGATCAGATGTTCTCCATGTAGGTTCAACCTGAAAAAAATATTTATAATTTGAAAGGATTTATTTCTATTATTGATAATTATAAAATAATCTTTTAAAAAAATAATATTTACAACATCCACTCCAAGAGATTCAATATAAGTAGCAAATCCTTCATTTAGCCAAAGGTCTGACCACCATGACGGCGTCACTAGATTCCCAAACCATTGATGTGCTAATTCGTGAGCAATAACTGTGCCAACATGCTCCTTATGCCGATTTTCAGAGACTCCTTGTTGATACAACATTGTGCTTTCCCTAAAATTATACATGGAATGAATTCCAAAATTATTAAAGTGATATGTAACAAGTGCTACATTGGAATAAAAAAAAAATTGCTTCTTTTCTTGTTAGGAAGCTGTTTAATTTATTATGTTTTGTTGGCAATAAAAACTTCCATTATATAACAAATTGTGTATTTGCTGTAATTTACGCGAAGTTAAATTTATGGATACAATTCCCATCATCAGAACTTAATTCCTATCTGGCATTCATTCGTAGTTAATAGCTAGGAAAAAGGTTTATCAAATTGAATATGTGTTACAATATTTGTCAATGTTAATGTTGTTATAAATTTATTATATTTACTTAAATACTAAGTGTACATTTTTTTTAGCGATTAACTACAAATGAAATCCAGATCGGAATTAAGCTCTGAAGATGGGAATAGTATCCCGAAACATTAACTTGGTGTAAATTATAGCAAATACACAATTTGTTATATAATGCAAGTTTTTATTGCCAAAAACATAATAAAAAATAAAACAATCATTTTTTCTCTTCTAAGAAGATATAAGTTTTATTATATAGGACATCAGTTGTTTATTTCCAAAGTGAATCTTAATGATTAATGACAGTTTTTTAGGAAATGTATAAAACATTTTCTATTCTAATTGTTTTACATGAGATATGGTGCTTATCTCAATTTCCAGAAGAAACGATTTAAGTTTACTTTGGAAGTAAGAGACTCATAATTTATGAATATTTTTTTTCCTTAATTTATTTCCATGAATAAATATTTTTTTCAACTTCAAACTTGAGGATTCTTTTCTCATCTTCAGGAAAACATCTAATTGTTTGTACTGTTTTTACATTTGTACATCTTATTTTATCTATATATAATTATATTCTATTTTGTCCTAATATAAAAAAATAAATTTAAAGAACACTTTAAAAGGTTATATGATTATGAACCAGTTAATTTATTAATATAATGTTTATTCTTTAAGTTTTATTAGGACAAAATATCTGAATGAAAAAGTTTTGTTAGTAATTAGATGTATTCATGAAGATGAGTAATGAATTTTCAAAATTTTGAAAATGTTAGGTATATAATGAAAGAACCAAATATGTAATTAAAGAAAAACAAAATTTTACCTGTAAGTAATAAGGCCCCAATTTTCCATAGCACCCGCTCCGAAGTCAGGAAGCGCAACCATATCGACTTTAGGAAGTGGGAAAGAAATTTGGAAATAACCCTCAAAATGTCTCAAAATCCTAGGGCCAATTTCGAGAGCATATCTTGCCTGTAATTCAAGAGTTTGAAAATGCAATTTTTTAATTGAAGAGAAAAAAATAATACTATTCATGTTCACTAATAAATAAATAATGTTACAATCATCTAGGAGTTTAGTTCTCCATATGTTGGTGTCTAAATAGATTATCAAAATATCTAATATATAGTAGGTTTTATATAAAATTAAAGAATATGTTACCTGATTGAGGGAATCACTTCTCGCCCAAACTGAGAATGTTCCTTCTGAAAGATGTTCAAAATCAGAGACAACGAATGCAATGAGGTAGGTTGACATAGGCACCGATTCAGCAAAACTATCCATGACAAAACCAGGTAGGTCAGGTCTGTAAATAAAAATTTCACAATAAAATATTAGTTCTTGAATTGATGCTCGATATTACAGGAATGAGAACAAATTCAATAAAAATATGTTTATATATAATAATTACATTCAGGAGAACGTTTTGGTATTTAATTTAAAATATTAGTTACTAATTGTTAGTAAGTTTTAAAATGTCGAATAAACGGATGTTACTTTTTAGTTATGATGGCAGAAAATTATTTTTAAAATTCTGAAACAAAATGCACAAAAACTGTATGACATTGCTGAAAAATATTTCTTACATGGGCACAGAAAGTCCATTCCTTGGCATGTTGGAAATGGCAGTCATATTTTCAGTTCTGCCGATCCTCAAAGTGAACTTAGCTTTTAATGCAGGCTCGTCAAAACAAGGGAAGGCTCTACGAGCATCAGTTGGCTGGAATTGTGTAGCTGCTAACCATCTAAAAACAGGAATCTATAATTAGGAATTAATAATTCTAATTTATGAATCAATGTTTAAAATAAATTATATCTTGTGACTATTAAATTATGTATATTCAGTTTGAATTTCATACAGTTTTTCTTAAGTAATTAAGGTAAATATACCGGTTACAGATACTTTTAAGAATACATTTCAACATAAATGTGAACAACGACAGCTGTAGTTCTGACTTAGCAAATGGGTTTTATTGAGAGGAAATTAATTCTTTTATAATTTTTTTTTCTCTATACAGCACATTAGTTAATTGTTCAGGAAAAAAATCGATATCTGACAGTGTATATTAAACCAGTAATAGACACCCGGGTTTGGGGGTCAATAGATTTTATTTTTTATAGATAAATAACCCAAAATAAATTCTGCAAAGTTCTAAATTAAGAAATGGCAAAGTACAGAGGAATAAATCAAAATTTCAAACTTATATCCTGAATAAAAGTTATAAGGAAACTTCCTTGAAACAAACATCCAGCTTTGCTTCATTAAAAGAACAACAAAAATGAATAATAATAATTGAATTTAGATTTGTCTGGTACATAATGACTGGCAAATAATAATTAGATTAAAACGTTATGTAACATTAAAATAAAAATAAAAGACTAGCATAAGTAAATAAATGTCTGTAAATATAAATATTTAATTCTTAGATACCTGTACCTCAGAGGTAAAGGACACCATGTTACATTTTGTATTTGTTCAGAAGAGCCGATTTTCCATAACTTTGAGCCATTGTTTCTTATTTGGTAGATTATTTAATAATTGTCCTTTATTTCCGGGGTAGAGATGTATTTAATTATTAAATACATATTTGCATTATATATAGGGCATACAAAGCTTATTATAAGTTAATGAGTTGAAAACTATTATGAGTACATAGTCTACTAACGGTAAATTTACCTTAACATAATTTTTTTTATATGTAGATTTGAAGTTTCTGATATAATAATATTAGGAAAATTTCAATTTTGAATGAAACTAATCAATGATTTAGTCATATTAATTATATTTAAAGATGAAACAAAATTGTCATGTATTACAGACAAAATTTATTTAATGAGTTAACGGAGGTGGAGGTTTTGACCCAAACATTGGCTAATCCATTAAAGAAATTTTGACTGAAATTCCTGAAAATTTTGTTTCATCTTTGTAATTCCTCAGTCGAGTACTTACCTATCTCTTAATTATATTTAGATTACAGAAGTAACTATATTCTAATAAACAAATATACTATACCTCGTCGTATTTCCGACAGAATAAGAACTTTGGTAGATTCCTTTCAAAGCATCACTCATTAATCCTTTGAACTTTATGCTCAGCTTGTACTGTCCGACTTCCAAGCGTTCATTGGAATAGACGACATAGAATTCTCGATCAGCATCAAGATTAGCATATTTGATCGATACTGGTTTTTCGGAAGTGTCCGAAACTATATCAGACATAATTCGAGAAAGGTTGGTGTCGGAGACATCTAGCTCTGCAGAATGTAGAGTAATGTTATAAGTAGGTATGGTGACGTTGACAATGATATGAACAGTGCCTATGAAGGTGAAATTTCCCTCCCACAGGAAGGGGATGATGGAGACGTCGTAAGCGTCCGGAACAACAGAGGATGGGAGACGGACATAGACTGAAGACCTGGTCCTGGTCGAGGGGTACGCCTTGGGCGGCGACCTGCAAGGGCATGGTGCGAAGTAGTAAGTGGCCGCTACCATCCCGAAGAGGAGGAGGGCCAGGACAGTAGCGAGGGCGAGGGCGCAGCATCTGGAGACGTGGAACCCTCCAGCCTTCGTGAGTCCTCCGTCCATGTCGGCTCCCTTCGGCATCTAACACTCTGTCTGTCTGCAACAGAAATAATATCATTCGATAAATATAACTCAAAGATATGTTTATCACAATAATAATATTAATTATTAAAAACAGACCAAAAAAGTAGAGTATTTGTTGAAGCAGTTGCGGATTCATCATTAAATTTTGAGGGGAGGGGATAAAATGTTTATATTTTTACTTTACATGTGCTTACATTTAGTAGCTAAAGTATGCCCCATAATTTAAAAACAGGACCCATTGTGATTGATAAAGTATTTGGATTTTTTTTTTTTTATTACCACCTACATTGTCAATTTTGACATACACAAGGAAGGATGTTCTAGAGGTACATACAACCAAACCAGTTCTAACCAGACTGGGAAGGTCGAGAATGAAGGCTTCAAACCGGCGTAGTTAGACTTGAGACTCGCATTTGGATGAGATAATTATAGAAACAAATATGGGCTATTGAAAAAAGTTATGTTCCTGTTTAGTAGTAGAGGTTTCAAAAGCTCGCCCCCTTTAATCCACCAGTGTCTTGGAGGAATATGCTATTTCCAGGTGATGGAACTTTATACTGTTGAAGTAAGATGTGTTGTGTTTAGTCCAAAGACCTTAGCATTTAAGGAATATTTGGGAGTAAGAGCCGAAAGTTAGTGAAACATGATAACACTGTTTTTCGCCCTCTCCCAAAAATCACGTGTTGCCCGGCAACCTGAAAAACTGATGACTAGATGTTGGAGTCTCGTTGACGAGGATTGTTAACTCCAGCTATAAGCTCTCAACCTCTCCCCTGGACTTTGAAAAACGCGAGTTAGTAGAGAAAACACGCACTATAATATAAATATTATTAAAGCAACTGAATTATCTTTATATATTGAATGAAATACAAATAAAATATTATTTAATATAAAATATCTTTTTTTGAGATGACAAATGTTTAAGGCCGGGAGCACTAAATGGCAACACTGACTGTAGGCGCGAAGGGTTGGGAAGGTTTAGCTTGGATTATGTGTTAAGTTTCAGGTTGTTGTGATTGTGGTTTATGTTTGATGAATAAATTAAGTGTCAAGTGTTTGTTTCATGTTATTCTGGTTTATGTTTGAAGAATCAATTATTTATTATGTCGGAAGAATCATCATTGAAGATTGCTTTCTACCGAAAGATGTAACTACAGCTGAACGGTGAGTTAGTTTTTTTATCACCCATATAGCTTTTAAGAAAACCGGCCGAACAAAAAAAACAAAAAACTTTTCATAATTGTATGCAATAATCATTTTGTAAATTATGATTACGCAAATTTGAAAAACCAATCATTTTTGAGCCATGCAGGTTCTCTTAATTAGCGATATGCATATATTTATGCACTCTTAAGTATCTATTAAAAGTTTAGTTTTGAGTTGTGCCAATCAGCTTCCAAGATGGCGATATATTACTACAAATTTCAATAGTTCGTTATGAAATGTTATAATGATATCCTTAAAGGTGAAACAATTAAACTATTTTTCTATATCATGCCGTTCGTCAATAGTTACTTGTGAAGTATATTAAATGTGATATATAAAGAATGCAGTACTGTTATATTCTTATTTTTATTATTTTGCTGTTTAATTTATTTTTTAAATATTGTACACAGAGTGTGAATTCGCTCTGTGAACACTATTATAATTGTTCTTAATTGAGACAGATTGTAATATTTCTCAATGAACAAGTGAAAAAAAAAAAAATCACATCAACATTAGGATGAGCACAAGATCACTTGATCACACTATGTTCAAAATGGCCCAGTTTTGACAACCACGGGCGGATCTAGGGGGGGGGGGAGGGCTTTCGGGCTGAAGCCCCCCCTCAAAATGCTAAAATATAACCATGTTTTTCGAAAAAATTATTAAAAAAGTATCTCTTAAAGTATTATTGTCCGTGTAATTACATTTAAAAGGGCTTTAGGAATCACTTAAACACCATTTGATATAGGTAGTTAGCTTCTTTCTTTTATTCCAAAGTAATTATCGTTATTTTTATGAAAAAAAAACTTTCGGGCTGAAGCCCCCCCCCAAAATTAAATTCTGGATCCGCTAGCGTTGACAACAAGGTTAAAAGGGAGGATTGATTTTAAAAAATGTACTTAATGTACTTTAAGATTTTACGTATTTTATTAAGATATTATAATATTTTAATTTGTTCTAGTTGATAAATCAGGTCTAACTACATTTGTTTTAAGAAAACTTTAAATATGATAAATTATTTATTAACATTACTATGCTTAACATACCCTTATGGCTAAGTATAATTCAAGGTGTTTTTAAACCATTTTTTTTATCATAATAAAAATTTATGAAAAAAAATAGAGGAGTTGGTCGGGGGGGAGGGCGGTCAAATAAATACTAAATTTTTAAAAATAGAATTTTTAATTATTACGCCGACGTTTCGACCCACCTTGCAGGTCTTCATGAGAGCTACAAAAGATACAAAATATAAAAGGTACATGGTGAAAATAAAATAAATGAATTATAAGTAGATATTAAATAAGAAACAGTTGTCTGATAAAGAAATAATAAGATGATATCAGACAACTGTTTCTTATTTAATATCTACTTATAATTCATTTATTTTATTTTCACCATGTACCTTTTATATTTTGTATCTTTTGTAGCCCTGATGAAGACCTGGACGCTGGGTCGAAACGTCGGCGTAATAAATAAAAATACTATTTTTAAAATTTAGTATTTATTTGACCGCACCTCTCTCCCTCCCCTCCCCCCGATCAACTCCTTCTAATAAAACTTTTTAAAGTGAAAACATCTTTAGGCGTGAGTGAGGCTGAACTGTCACTCTCGGGTATGCAACGCTTATTCGGGTAAAGTCGACTCGAGTCTATTAAATTTTGCATTTGGATTAAAATATCTCCGAAACTAAAAATCAGACCTGCATACTGTACGCGAGGGAAATGTTCAGCATTTCATTATCGTTGTAATGAGCTATTATTCAAAATTGAATCTTGAACGGTCGCCATCTTAGAGAGGCAAAAGGAAAAAAAAATAGTGTCAAAAACCGTATGATGACGAGTTTTTTTTTTTTTTTGGATTGTTTGGGTTAAAATGTCTTAAAAACTACAATTTGAACCTGCACATTGCAAGTGAGGGAAATTTTCAGCATTTCATCCTTTTTGTAATGAGCTATTATTTATAATTGTATTTTGACGTGACAGCTGTTTTGTATAAATGCAGAAAACTTGAAGGAAATGTGAGGATTAGTTAAATATTGAAGCTTTGTCGATTTTATTAAATTCTCTACAGTACTTCCGGTTGCGAACACGCAAATGATTTTCTTAGATATGCCAACATTTCAGAAACGGCTCGTATGATTTGGCTCAACGTTGAAAGAAAGGTAGTCATTGCTAAAATAATGAAGTTGTAGCGATTTTATTTAATACAGTACTTCCGGTTGCCCATGTCCGTATATATTTTCTCAGATATGCCGATATTTCAGAAACAGCTAGTTCGATCTGGCTCAAAGCTAGAAGAAATATGAGACTTAGTAGTAGTATATCTTGAAATATAGCTAAGTGTGGAACCACTAGCGGATCCAGGATTTATTTTTTGGGGGGGGGCTTAAGCCCGAAAGTTGTTTTTTTTTCATAAAAATAACGATAATTACTTTGGAAAAAAAGAAAGAAACTAACTACCTATATGAAATGGTGTTTAAGTGATCCCTAAAGCCCTTTTAAATGTAATTACACGAACAATAATACTTTAAGAGATACTTTTTAAATATTTTTTTCGATAAAACATGGTTATATTTTACCATTTTGGAGGGGGATGCTTCAGCCCGAAAGCCCCCTCCCCCGTAGATCCGCCCGTGTGTGGAACCAATGGAAATGTTGAAGCTATTCTGGCCTCTGTTGGCACTTTTTTTTTTCATTTTCGCGTAAGTTTGCCGGGCGTAATGTTTCAAGCGTGCTGAGGACACAAGTTTGATATGAGTGCCACCAGCCAATTCAGGGCGAATTATATCTGTGATCATTCGTGAAGAAGAAATATCGATTGATCGATAGAGCAATCAAAGAGGGGATCCCGCAAAACGCTATCAGAAGCAATTTTCCAAACGTGATCAGAGTCAGGCGACAATTTGGACAATGAAGTAACATTTCCCACTCGCCTCACGTCTCAAGAATAGAATTCAATTTAGAATTGCGGCATATGCATTTTTTTTATCTCTCTCTCTCGAATCCATGACGAAAATGGGCGGAGTGAATCGTCTAATAGCGGATGAAGAAAGTGCGCAGGTGCCTCGGCGGGATATTGAATACATGAATAACAGTACACGGCGACTTTTTCACAATTTCACTGGACACATTGAGGGGGGCACCGCTGTCAAGTCCCGTTGTCGCCCCCTCCCTCAATTCTATTATCTAGCCAGCGGAGGATGGATTATCAGTTCTGAGCTTTCTACCTCTCTGGCTACTGCATTTACATCGGCGGGACAGCTTTCCAGAAACACTTTGAAATGAAAAAGAAAAAAAAAAAATGAACAGAGCTGGAAGAATAGTTGTGAAGAGTGTGGCAAATTCTCTCTCTTTGTCCTCCCTCAGGTTCTGGAACAAGACCATAGAAATGGAATGATGATGCATCTGAAGAACACTAATGTTACCTATTTTCTTAATAGTAATTACAGATGATAACCTAGTAGTGGTTACCTCATGTGGCACAATAACATACCAGGTTTTTCTATGCCCTTATTGTATATATAATAACCAGAACCCAGCTAAACGTAATAAGACAGACCAAACTACGCTAAGTTGTGTTTTTCATTAATTCATGGATTATTCGCGATGATCATCCTGCAGAGATCCCATATTTATAAAAACTTCCTTCCATATTTGTTTGATAACTTTTAATTGTATATCAATTTCCTTTTTTTTAATTATTTTTTTTTAACAGAGTTGAGATTCACCTTTACTTATGTGAAAAATTCAGTGATTTGATATTGTGCTGCTCTAGAGTATCTCTATTTTTACCAGAGAGAATCGCTTAAAGTTTCATAAAAGGGTGCTGCCCAATTATATATAAACTGCATACTTATTAATCCTTACAGACAATTTTTTATAACTAATATAAAACGCTGCAAATTATTTCACAATGGTTTACTAGTTTCAAACAATTATACATCTAAAGTAACATGACCTTCCTAGTTACAAAGAAAAATAAATAAAAGGTGATTCCAGTTATTGGACTAAACATTTTTATTTTTAAATCATTAGTAATATGCTAAAAAAAAAAAAAAAAAAAAAAATAGCATTACTTCAGTAGCACATTCAAAATTCAAAAACCAAACAAAGGATATAACAATAACATTTCGAGTAGAACATATAAAAAACAAAACAAAAAAGGAACTGGAGTCATATCTTTGCTCCTAATTGTCCGATTTTAACGATTTTTTTTTTTTGATTTTTAGGAAATTTCGTAAACTTTTAAAAAACCAGGAAAATTAAATTGAAAATAATAAACCAAAAATATCGCGATATCTTTACTAATAATAATTTGATTTCTATGAAACTTCCTTCATTTTTTAGTAAATTTAAATACCTTTGAAAATGTTAGCACACTATCGACAAAAAGTGTAAACTTATTGAGTTATTCGGAATTTAATTTTACCATCCCTCGGAACTTTTTTCCAGCTTCTTTTCGTTGAAATATGTTATGAAATTTAAAGGGCGTCGAAAAAAGTACTTTAGCGAAGTTTCATTGAAATCGGTAAATTCGATTAGGAGCTATAGTCTATAGCTACGCAGGTTTTTCGGTCACCATTTTGAAAGTAAAAGGCGGATAGTATTGTCGATGAAGGAGGATCATCCTCGGGTGACCTCTGATTTTATATCCAAATTTGAAAAAAATCGGTCCAGTAGTTTCGGAGAAAATGCGCGGACGGCGAACGGTGGAGAGACAAAAAAATTTTTATTTGCTTTTCGAATTCTACGCTTCCTGAAACGCGAAACCTCAAATTTGAAGAGGGGTTTAAGTTTTTGAATTTTTTGGTCGATCACATTGGTTGATTATTGAAAATAATAAACCAAAATATACAATATTAACAATATATATGAGCATAGTATACAATTATATATATATATGGGGCACACCCAGCCTCTGTAAAGTGGGTACCCTTAATTAAATAATTGATTAAGGGGGAAACCTGGCGGTTGAGCGTAATCTCGGTCAAATCACCTCCTTGCACAACCGTTGACCTAGAAACAGTGCTTTCCCTCAATAGTACTGAACCCCAGACCCTTCATGGGTTGTAGTGGTACAGGTTTATATATATATATATATATATATATATATATATATATATATATATATATATATATATATATATATAATATTTTGTTTCTTCTTTTTTTGACAGTTTCTTTCATTCTTTAGCATTCTACATCCCTTTGTTTTCCTTCTCTATCCTTATACATTTTTCTTATTCCTCATATTCTCTCCTCTTTCTTCCTAACCTAATTCATAAAATACAGTGGACGAGTTCAATAAATAATATAAAAATACTTAAATAAAACAACCGAAAAATTATTGCAAAAATTTAATTCTTTCTTTTCCTTGTGACCTTACATCTATTTTAGTAAATACTTAAATATGAAAATACTATTTTTATTCATTAAAAAAAAACTGCTTTTTCAAAAGTTTATTATCTAAGGTGATAATGGGCCATTGTTTATTATACAGTTGTCTGTTGTGGAACACAGATACTGTGTGAATCTCTACTTAATTCAATTTAAAAAAAAAACTCAAATTGGCATGCAATTAAACCTTTTTCAAGAAAGTTTTTATAGAAGTGGGATATCAGTAGGATGATAAAAAAAATCTTGCGAATAATTCATGATTTAATGAAAAACAACTTGGCGTGGTTTGGCCGCTTAAAAGTCCCCTTTAATTGGTTTTGACAAAGATAAACTCAACTTGTGTTTAAGGAAATTTTTGTATAGTTTATTATGATCAAGTTTGTAATTAAATAATTATTGTATTATCGCTTTCTATGAAAGAGAAAACGTGATCACCTAAAGAAAATACAAAATCGGTCTTAACTCCTTTCCCGTTCGAAAACATCCGTTACATCAAATGAATTTTTTTTGTTTGAAATTTTATCTAGAATCACCTTCCAAAGTTTGGCCATTAAGCCACCGTGTGTATATTTTTTTGTAAACTTGGGACAGACTATACAGTACTCGCAATACTGAACGATTGTGCGGGTTTAGAAACACATACCTGCGCACGCAACCTTTTTATTATACTAGTTGGACCGTGCAAATAATTCGCAGAAAATTTTGTTTACTGAAAAAATAGCAAAACAATATGGAAATAAGTAGTTCGTATGTATTATGTAAGGAAGGAATTAATATTTTTTCCTTGGTCGATTACTACAATATTCTATTAAACGTGATAGACCAAAATATTTGTACAAATTGCTTTGCTAGGACCTATTTTTAAACACTGACTGGAAACATAATAAAGGGAAAATAATTCCTCGATCATGGGATTTTCTAAATTATTAAAAAAAATAAAATGTAAGAACAACCAAATGTCTTTAAGGAATAATAAAATTAATACATCAGCCAGGAAAAAGAGTGTAGTAGACTATTCTACTTCTAAATGCAATATCTTTAAACAGGAAGACATTATTATTAAGTACACCAAAACTAATGAACTGTATCATTGTTAATAATTGTCCGATTTTTACAATTTTTTGTTTGTTTTGTAGGTAATTTAGTAATCTTTCTAATTATCATGGGTACAATCCAGAAAAAAATACATACTTTTTGAGTTATTCACAAATAAAGTTTCTTTTCCTCCATAACTTTTTTCCAGAAATTTCGGGGGGATGCGACTATTTTTCGCATGTGAAGGAGAAGAATATTTTCAGAAATAAGTGGTCAATCATTGAATTTGATGAAGAATTGATGAAGTTATGGCGTACCGACAAAAAAACACCTTTTAGAAATAACATATAGGATAATTTGTTATCAATTATAATTTTGCTTGAAGTTTATCTCAAGGTTGAGCATTGATAGTGGCCAGATCATTTCATCTTGTAAGTTCCTAGTATCGTTTTTCAAGGAAATATATAATGGGAAAAATAAATGTATTATTATATCATAAATATTGCAGTTTATGATAAGATTAGGAATATTTTGAAGGATATTGACGGGACTGTCAGAAGGGTAGTACCAGTAGCAGAGGAAGCGGATGTGCAAGGCACAGTCCGTGCAGTCGATATTATATCGATAGTAAGGGCCAACGAGTTAACATTTCTATATCTCGATAGTTACTTCGAGAGAGGTAAGGAGGACCTCTTTAGGATACTGCGTTGTAGAAAGGTCCTTAACCTACAAAAGGATAATAAACTGAGATGATCAAGAGAAAGCACAACCTTTACCTTCCTTCCAGGGTACTCCAGCTTAGATTTACTACATTAGAGAAAGTTCATTTCGTCCAATCTCATCTACGGTTATATTTTACTAAAATATGGTCTTGAACTTTCCAAATGCTTTAATAATAATAATAAAAAAATTAAAAACTTAAGCCCATTTGTACCTATACTTCACATATATACGGGACAGCCCGAAAAGACTCACATACGTAAACTACAGACTTTTCAATCAAAACTTTTCATGACTATCACCAAGGCTCTCTGGTACGTCCGAAACATTACTTTACATAAAGACCTAAAGATGCCGACCGTTAACGACCGTTGGCGTTGCGAGTATATTCGTTTATAAAAAAAAATACCGTAAAAATTTAGTTTCGAAAACAGTCCATGGTACAGACCCCTTATCCTCAAATTATTAACATCCGGATTCCGGACGGATAAAAGTTTTTATTCCATTTTCGAGTTCTACGTAACCAGAAACGTAAAAATTCAAATTTTGAGGGGAAAGTTTTTTTATTGGTTGGATGATTTCAATGGTTCATTATTGAAAGTAATAAATAAAAAAATGGTAAATAGTAAAAAAATAATTTAATGCATTTTTATATATCTTAGGAAATCGCGATTTATCATGCAATACTTGATATTCGATATACTTATTGATATAATATTATATGGTGGGATAGTACTATACTATACTTTAAGCAGTGGAAATAAAATAAAATAACTGAGCCGAATAGAAGCTGTTGGCAGAGATCCACGGCTTGCTAAATTTAATATAATAGGGACTCTCCATCTATCACCGCTATGTCAAATCGCCCAACACTTCTCTCGAAAACTTTTCAATAGCGTATTGAAATTTTAAAAAATAATGATAATTACAATATTAAATTATTCACCATTAATTTATTTGAATTTACGAAATTAATTTCATTGGTATGCTTTTGGAACTGAACAACTGAACTTATGCCGCACAGTGGGTCCGAAATAACGTTTTTTGGGGGGGAGAGGAGAAGTATGGAAATGTGACAGGAGGATAGAAAAATTATGTTTTGCCCTCCTGCTGGAATTCATACAAGCGGAGGTTACGAAGATGAGGTTCACTGATTTAAATGCAACTTTTTTTTTTGGTGATACTAGGTCCAAAAGTATTAGACCCATGTCCAAGGGTTCTTGTTAATGCACCCTAGGAGCCGAGAAAAAAAAATCGAATCATTTCAAACAAAATTTATTTTATTAATTTTTGCCTTTGCTTTGTCCGTATTTGTTGGTTATTGTAAGACCAATCGATTTCTTTTTTTTTTTTGTGCGGAGTAAAAAAAAAAACCAAGGTGTGTGCTGTAGACCACACGATATAAGTGAAAATATCTACAAGGCGTGATTAATAATGTGAAATATAAATTATAAATAATAGCTCATTAAAAAGAGGATGAAATACTGAACATTTCGCACGCTTACAGTTTGCAGGTCATATTTTTAGTTTCTGAGATATTTTAAACCATATTTACCATAAAAAACAATTAGGCATTTCGTTTTCGACACTATTTTTTATTTCCTCTCGCGTTAACATACAATTTTGAATAATACATCATTACAAAGAGGAAAAATGAGGAATATTTCCCTCGCTAACAATATGCAGGTCCGATTTTTAATTCTTAAAATATTTTAATACGTTTGCAAAAACACATCTATTAGTCGACTCCAGGCGGCTTTGCCCGAGCGTTACCCATCGGAGATATGACGGATCAATCTAATCCACTCTCCGAAAAAAAAAGTGCAAAACGTACTTAATGAAGTTTTCTCTTGAAAAATATTGAATATGTTTTTAAATGAGTTATTTATGAGGTATTTAAATTTCTTAAATTACAAAACCAAAAGGCACTTCTAGTAAATTAGGCCATATAAATATTTGTTATGAGAAAAGAAACACATATATTTTTAGAGTTCTTTAAAAAACATAAATACGAAATTAAAAATTTTTGTACGCCATTTTCTAGGAATCCTTGAAACGCCTCCTGAGACCAATGAGAAGACTTGTTCACCGATCCAGGAAGAAAATTTATACTATATCTCATTGAGAAAACAGTTCTGGGTTCATTCATGTTTAGATCAAATTCTTTGCCTTCTGAATCTTTATCCATCCTTCTGTTAAAGCATTTTTAATCAAATAATACAACAACTCAACTTTTTTATTTCGTTTTGTCATTTTTAAATAAATCAAATCGTCATTACATAAATATAGTAATAAAATTCACAAACTTGGTTTACAATACAATCATAACCTTATTAGAGGTATTCATGCACTTGTTGTAAATGCTTAATGTCCTAACCTGCTGAAGTGTTATTAGTTGTAGTCAGGTTATGCCTGTACTGTAAACAAAATTCATGAGTTCTTATTTGATCTACTAATGTATTGATTTATTTTTAAAATGCCAAAGCGAAGTGAAAAGACTTGAGTTGCTGGATTATTTATATTTATTGCTGGATTATTTTGTTAAAAATGGTTTATTAGAAAGCATGAATAAAAATATAACTGATTCGGAAAGCAAAGAACTTGATGAAATCCTAGCAGTCTTTACATTCTATTTCTCTGGATATTATACAGACACAAAAAAGTGGTGCGGTGCGCGCATCACACAACTTTCAATAACCACCTTCTTAGCAGAAATTAGTATTTTTTTTAGATAAAGGTGAAGTGAAAGTAAAAATTACAAACGCTATATTGATCTACTTTTTAATTGTGGGTATTTTTATTTTTACAAGTACCCTTATATATACAAATTTTAATATTTATATAGCTGTAATCTATACAATTAAATATTAAATAATACCAACAACAGCTTCTATGAAAACGGTATATTTAAATAATCTTGTCGAATTCCTTATTATATTAAGCTCATGTTACATATGGAAGCGTGTTCTAATCTTCTAATCTTTACGATCTCTTATGTCTCCTGTAGTTATTCATCAAATTCTTTCATATTTTACATTTAATTATCTTTTATATTAGAGATTAATGTGAAATTGTTTCAAATAAAAAAAATTAATGATACTTTAGGGGATGCTAATATTGAAAATTAGCCATTTAAGCCCTCTTAAATTGAAAATTTTCACGGTCGCAATACTTTCCCTTACTATGTATGCAAGTGAAAGTAAAAGAATCAAAACCCTAAAATAACCTTCTCCGTGCGTTTACGAAGTTAGTAGCACTTCACAGGACCCTAGGCTGCGTTAAAATCGAGAATGCTAGCGGCCATATTTAACACAGATTTCGTAAATAATTTTATCGATTTTACACATTTAAGAAGTTAACAGTACTTAGCACTGGTTATATGAAATCCCCCTACTATAACTAATAACACAATCTTTTTTAAGCAGGTTAGCACACAACGGTCATTATCATTCGTTTAAGATTTATTCTGACTGCTTAGCATGATAATACATTAAGCATTTAACATAAGCAGTATATATTTCTCTTTAATTGAAAACTGTTAGTAGCATGCCTATCTCGCTGTTTTTATATACATAACCTTATACCAGGCTTAGAAAAATATCAACTGTACTTCGGGACACTATTAACAGTAGAAGGAGATTAGAATATCCATCTCGAATCGGGACACAGAGCGCTCCTACATCTTCCAGGGAGGTATTGAATCGGGGAGCCATTGTTATTCTAAACAGGCTCAGATAGGCCTAGAGGGGGAGGGAGAGAGATATCTCGATCTGACGGGAACTGTGCCGTACCCTCCAGCCCCCCGTAGATCGGGGTTCTTGGAGTCCTTCCAGTCGGGGGTATTCAACACGCATTTCTATGCCAGTTCATTATCTGCTGTATCGGCCTCAGTCAGATAAGCGAAGGCCTACCGTTGTAGGTTACAATACGTAGCTCCACCACGTCGCCATGTTGCCGATGTCGTATTGTAGCCCTAACAGCTGGAACTGTTGGAACTGGGCGTGAAAGATTATTTTGCAAAGCTTGCAACTATTATATTGGCCAATATAACCTTATCTTTCACAATAAGGACAATTCTTATAGTAAGAACAAAGTTCTTTCCTACCGTATTTAAAGATAACATAAATAAAATAAAAGATAAATAATAAAAGGTACCCAAATGGGGGTTACATTAAGCAAGTTACAGTGTCAAAATTTTATTAGGGACACATTTTGATGACGTTATGATTTTTTTAGAGAACCATATTTTTGAAGAGAAAACTTCTTTTGGCGGATTTTGCACTTTTTTTTTGGAGAGTGTATTATAATATCTCCGTCAGATCTCCGTTGTGTAACACTCGGGTTAAGTCGGTTAGAGTCGACTAATTTAAGTGTTTTTGCATATGGATTTAAATCTCTCGAAAAATAAAATTTCAATCATCGAAAATTACACCTGATTACAATACTCTGGTGGTTTTAGTGATTAATTGCTGTTTGGGAAATTAAAACTATTTTTATTTCTAATAATTTCTAAAAATAGTCTTTTGCACATTATCGAATGGTATGGGAGTGCATTTTGTATCCTTAACTTCTAGAACACCATAATGAGATTTTCGGAGATATATGACAAAATTTGTACATATTTTTTAATTTCCAACAACAGGGTAGTTTTATGAACGGAATAATGTCTTAAAGTCATAGGATTGGGTCGAAACGTACATGAGTTGATTTAGTGTTACAGAAGTGTTTTGGTTGTCTGATTTTTTAAAAATTTATTTAGATGTAATAAATAACGAAACAATACATGTGAAAAAAATTATCAGAACTATTATGCAAAATTAGACTTTTTGAGTGGGGTAGTTGAGTGGGTTGTGAATTGACTTCCATAGTTCAAGGTCCCGGGTTTTATTCCACCGATGGTAGATAAATTATTTAACCATGCTTGGGCACACTCAGCCTCTATAAAGTGGTTACTCTTAATTAAGAGGGAAAACCTGGCGGTCGAGCATGATCTCGGTCAAATCACCTTCTTGCACAACAGCTGACCAATAGACAGTACTTCCTTACAAGGTACTGAACCCAAGAGGTTTTTTTAATATATTTTTTTAAGTTAAGCATTAATGAAGCAATTAAATCTCTTTCTAATACCAATATAATAGTATAGTATTATGGATTCAATAATAGTATTATGGATTCAAAGTGACGAAGTTCTACTGCTTACATTTTTTTATTTTATTGTAATATTATTTCAATAGATTTATATTGCATCTAATAGAGCACGGTAAAATTATACTTTTGACTTAATGTGTGATATATGCTGATTAGTTTCCTACATAGAGTATAATTCAAGCTGGTGATTTAGGAAGTCGACATTACATTGTCAGGCGATATTACCATTACTGTTATCTATATATCAATGCCAATGCAATAAGTAAATTAATGTTTGTAAAGAAGTTCTTTCAGGGATTGTACTAAATAACAAGGGAACTCGTATGAACCCACAGTACGTGATAGTAAAGCGAAGTATATGAAGTCCAGTAATGACTACAAATAATCCTGATATTACTAATGATATAATCAGATATCTATACGAGGGTAGTTTTTAAAGCGCGTGATGACGTTTACATGGCAATTTGTCTCGATAGTGTGACAGAATAACATAACTTAATTGCTGCCACGACCTTTGCGATAGAGAGCAACAATTACCGAGGAAGGCCGTACGTGAGCCGCTTTCGAAAGGGCTTCACTGTCTCTCTGTCACGAGTTGCTCTTCATCATTCTTCGAAGGCGTCATTCTTGGATCGCCATTTTACAAAGTATATAAAAATAAATAGAAAAAGGAAATTATATTTAACTCGAGTCATCATATAAACAAAGATAAAATACTAGTTATCAAAGGTGCCTAGCACAATATTATTGAGTCCATAATGAATTTTATCAATATATTCATCATGCGATGTGTATATATATATATATATATATATTATAACGAGCTTTGCCCGGCCACGCTCTGCTGTGGCTTAGGCTGGCAAAATGAAAAAGAAAGAAAATAGAAAGCACATATGAGTAGATTACTAGATAAGGAAATCTGTCATTTTTAAAAAGTTGGAAAACAAATTTGTCTGTAAAATAGCTTCAATTTAAACTAATTCTAATGGTTTTTTTTTTTTCTCATGATTCAAATTGAACATTCATAATCATCTGAGTGAACATGCCGTCATTCATAATCATCAGAAACAGTCTTAGTTAAACTTATAAAACTAAATTAAAAATTAATAAAAAAAACGTATAATAGTATTGACCTACATAAGGAGAATCGTATAACTTCTTCAAATGATAATTTCAATTACTATAGTAATTATAAAATTTTCGATTAATCAATAAAAAATTATAATAAAAAAAAATGCTTGCCGACGTTCGGTAGTGAGGAAGCGAAAGGAAACGGCCTTTTCTGAAGAGAAAGCAATAAATGTTTAAAACTCAATAACTTTGCAACGAACCGTCCGATTTCGATGATTTTTTTTATTTTGTCAGCAATTCAGAAATCTTTCATATAAATATGTGTATTATCAGTCAAAAATTGTGTACTTTTTAGTTATAAATAAAATATTGAATTCATCGTAACATTTTTCAGCTTGTTTTCGGGAAAGTATGTCATACACATAAATTAAAAGAGTTTCAAGGGGAAGACTTTAGCCAAATTGCGTTAAAATTGGTAAAGCCATTTTGGCGCTACAGTTTATAGCGACACATTTTTCACGGCTTTGAACAGAAAAACATTTATATTTTTATTTTTTTAACATATATAAAATTATCGTAAGACAAAAGTACGTACTATGCCAGAAACCTTCCCAGGAGTGTACGGAACAACTTCCCAAAGTTTCATGGCGATCGGTTGAATGGTTTAGTAATGCACTAAGGACAAACAGACGGACAGACATACATTCATTTTTATATGTATAGAAGAAGATAATTATAGTCCACCGAACAGACTCTTTTCTATCATATTATTAGCATCCGTATAAAACTTCGTGATAGTCTTCATCTTATCATAACCTATAATTTTTTTATATATGAAAATTCTCAGAAATGGGGAATCTTCTCATTAAATTGATTAGTTTTATATTTACTAAAAACTGATGAATATCCCTTTGATTTATACTTGAATCTTGAGATAATTTTATCATAAAATCTAAAAAAAAGGTGACCTACAAAAACATTGTTGGCCGTTTGGCTTATGTAACCTTGTTGTTTTGACATATTGATGGTAAAGGACAAACGGCCCAATATTTTTGTAAGCCGTCTTTTGTTCTCGATATTATGATCAAATGAACTTATTATTCAAGTTGAATGAAAACCGGTTTTCATGAGTTGTTATAATTAAATAGACATTGTTTACCGATCTCCAGATTAGAGCTGGGCGTTTCTGTTACTTTTGAAAAACGTAAATGAACTGTTCGTTAACAAAAATAACAGTTCTTAAGAACTGTTAAAAAAATAGTTCATAGAACAAAGCAAAGATGCATGGTGGAAGACCTATTCGTTTAATAACAGTCTTACCGTTTTAAAACGGATTCTATTCGTTTAATGACGAGTCTGGAAATGAATGAAACGTTTTATGTATAAGGTATTGTTCGAGCTTGAAATTGATAACCTTTTAATTTATTTTAATACTAAACGAATGCTGAATCTTAAAAATTACTTTTTAATTAATAAAACTAAAAATTATTTTTTACACATACAACACTTTTTATTTTAATAAGTTCTTAATCTCTCAACGATGAGCTTATTGATGACATCCTTTCGCCCAGCGTGAAGATGGATCCGGTACTATCGATGAGCTCAGCGCTGAGCTTATGAATTTTCCCTTTTTCAAACAAATTTGATATTAATTGTTTGCCATATTTCCCTTCCCCTAGTCCTTTCAGATCGGCTTAAACGCTATCTTCCCATCTTCGCTTTGGTCGATCCCTCGGACGTTTACCATTCGGTACAGCAAATATTAATGTTTTTTGAAATATTTAATTACTAAGCCTAAATAATAAAGTAATTATTTTCCACTTCATATCGAAATCGCATCCAAAGCCAGAGATCGATACTTTAAATTAAGTTGACCGAGCTTACTCGGTGTAGTAGATCCCTCCCCCCCCTTCTCAAACTGCTCATCAACAGTCAAGATAAATAGAATTCCGTGTCGACACTCCAGCCTTCCTCCTGTTGAGATTTCCATCTCAAAGACATTGTTCTAAGTGATAATGGCACACCCGAGAACATCATTGGTTTGGTATATATGTTCGCTGTTATGAATTTAAACACAAAGGATACATAATAATAATATCTAAGTAAACCACTCACCAAAATGAAAAAAAAAAATAAATGGATACGGTTAATTTTGGTGTCCTGGCTATTTCGTTCTTTCCCCCAACCCGGACTACCGTCGAACCTAATATTTTGAAATATAGGTGTTTAAACAGGTTTTTAAAAATAGGTACCTCCAATATAGGACCGCCTAGATAATGTACTAATGGACATAATATCTGAAGGCAGTAAGGTAATATATTTTCCACATGGATTTGAATACACACCGACACAGAACCAAAACGTTGTTCCTTGATGCCCAAAATGTAAATAGTGAGAGGTAGTTTATTATATAAAATAAACCATATTAAAAATACTTTAGAGGAATACGTATATGAACATCAATGTGGATAAGACCTAGCTGATATTAAAAAAAAGAGCTGTTTTCAAAAATCGCAAAAATGTGCATCCCGCGTAAAGTGGCACTTCCGCATAGCCGATTTTAACGAACATGCTGCTATCACATTGGACCATATACAAATCTTAAATACGCAATTTAAGTTTCGTACGACTTTTCGATTTTGAGCTAGGCTGATCATACACACAGACCATTTTGCGGGACTTTGTTATTTCTACTCAGGAGATCTCAAAACGTT